AATGTCGCTCTCCCCCTCCCTCCTCCTGCGGCTCTCCTCCACACCATCCTCCTCCTCCTTCTCCTCCATCTCCTCCTTCTCCACTACCGTCTCTCGGCTACAACCACCGGTCTCCCCCTTGCTCCACCGTCCCTTGTGCAACAGAGTGTCTTCTCTCGCTCTATCACACCGGCGCAACCCCGCCGCGGCCGCCAGCTTCCCCCCTCCCCCCTCCCCACCCCCCTCGCCTCCTCGCCCTCCACCCACCTCCTCGCCTTCTCCGCTTGCTTTTCGGATTCAATGGGGTGAATCTTCGCGGCGTATGCTGCACCTCTCTCGATGCGATTCACGACGGGGAACGGACGGTTGCGATAGTTAGAAGTGATTAGAAATAGAACCGCATGTTGACAGAGCGCAAATCGGTTTCCGATGTTTTGGACGATGTTCCTCCGCCTTTCACAAAACTCCTCTTCCTCCTCTTCCTCCTTCGGCGTATCACGTATGTGCATCAACGTATCTTAATGACGATTCTCGAGGAGTCGAGTGAAGATAGGAGCATTGTTCCGCGAGCGCGAGGGACCGAGGGCGCGCTCGCCAGCTTCCTCCTCTACTTTCTCTGTGCGGTTGTAGCGAGAGAGAGAGACGCGTGTTGCCGACGTACTCGGGTGCTACCCGATAGTAGATCGTAGACGTTCCTCCTGCGCGAGAAGCGGAAATAGGTTGCAGACTTTATGCCGCCTTAAATGTCACGACTGCGATTATGCGTTTCCCATTTCTATGGTTCAAACGACGTGTGAAAAGGGGATTCTGTTTGACGCGCGCATGCGACGCGGATGATTTACGAGTCGGTGTCTCTGCAGTGCTACATCTATACTCGGCATACTCGCGAACGCGGCCAACGTGTCAACGTTTTACGCTCGTATATATTTGCAATTGGCGTTTAAATAACGGCGACCACAGATCCTTGCGAAATACGCGCTTTTTCAAAGCGCAAATTAACGAGCCAGCGATCGAGCATATATAACTTGCGTATATATACGCGAGGTCGAAAGAGTTTCGCGAAATGTCGGATTGCCGAGTGTCGTTTTAGATTTTCACACTCGGTCTCGCCATCCCCCATCGACAGTGAATTTATTGGCAGATTTACCGATCCATAAACGTACAATGAAATATTCCGTGGCAGCCTGAGAACTTGAACGCCTCGATGCCTCGCTTATCAGATTGTTTCATAATACGGCAAACCGCTTATCCTCTTGCACAACACGATTCATCTGTTTTGTTCGATAGAGCACGAGCACGGGCTTCATGCCGTTGCGTACAACTGCGAGAACGTTCTGCCACAATCGCCAACAGGTCGCGATATAATTGCTGCTTAATGGGGCGAAAAAATACGAGCCCGGTTACTCGCCGGCTATTGTATTACCGTTCTTTAGTAAACTCCGATTCCGGCCTCCTATTACATGTCTGGCTAAAAATAATAATGGTTTACACTTTGCTACCTATGTTTGCACCACATATCCATAATTGCCGGTACGTGATTCCGTCAAAGTGTGCGCCAATCTTGTGCACAACGGGTGGCTCGTTTGCCCGAGCAGTCCAGGTTTCGTTAGATGTTTGCTTTATCGGTACGTGTCAAAAAACTATAACAACCGGTCTGGAAAAGTAATTATAATATTTATAATCGCTACCGACGTTTGATTGAAGGTGCAATTGATTCCAATTCAACGAGAGACATAGATGTGGCAATCAATTTCTGTTAAAATTAGGCAATATAACGAGATAAATAAAAGTCTTATACGATAAGTCATATTTTATATATATATGTTTTTTTTTCAGTTATTTCCCATTTTTTATTTTGCTGCAATTTTCCATTTATATTTCCAATAATCACACGCGTCATAAAATATAATTATAGCAAGCAATTCATATATGAATAATAAACGATGAACTAAATAAATATCAATACATTCTACTATCAGAGAAAATAATGATTTTTGTGAGTTTTATACATTTCACTTTTATGCTTTTACATGCGCCGATTACTATTCTATCTTCGATTTAATATAAAAGCTAGATATGTAATTTCGTATTATTTAATTGATGTATAATTTAATATTTCTGTTGCTAATTAGCATCTTATATAAGTTTACAAGGAATTTATTGCGAAAAATATCATTTTAGCCAGGTTTCAAGAACCTGACTTTTTAAAACGGATATTTTCCAATTTGATTACCGAGGTAATCGATACGATATTTATCGCGATAAACAATAAATGCTAATAAATGAAGATTTTTTTTTTAGACGACGTAGAATTAAAAGTAAATGATAAAAATCGCCATAAATGTCATGGCAATGTGCGCACCCAGCACATAAAATCCTATATGTAAAAAGGAAGACGTATTGACTGGGAATTGTGTCACCCGATGTGCACCGTGTTGTCGCTCCGGCCAGCCCAGACGTAACACGAGACTGACCATGCGAGGCGACCACTTGCTTAGTGTACATACCATCTCTACCAACACCGATTTAAGAGCACCATAACACCGCGTGGTCACCATGATCACCAGCTTGAGCCGCACGAAACACGAGGAACGCGCAAGCGAGAGAGAATAGATGTTCGGCAGGAGTCTGCTCCTCTTTCTTTCCCTTTTTCCTTTACATTTTTTCCTTTTCTCTCTGCCTCTTCCCTTCGTCCCATCCTTCACGAGCTGTGTGTGACCAACGGTGTGACTGACACATTGCCTGTGCTTATCGATGACCATAGCACTAATGACGGTGCCACCTAGACCACCGAAGAATTTGCGCGCAGTGTGAAGACTGACGATGCATTTTTCAAACATCTATTAGTAACATTTTATGTATCCTGTGAATGCATTGAATACGATCTTAAATAAGACAGATCAAAATATGGATCTACGTGCCAAATCTATATAATTAATAAAAATAATATAAATAATTATGTCGCACTGACAAAAATTACGGCCACATTTTATTTAAACACATTTCTCTAGGTTTAAAATATTATAAAAGACTTTTATTTTTCTTTTAATGGATTTTTATACATTCGGCATTTTTGCTTGAACTTTATATAGCGACTTAGGTACTTTTTGAATATTGATGCTATGATATTATATATGTATATAATGATATATCACAGAATATCTCTAAAAACTTTTTTCAAATTCTATAAAATATTGTGAAATGTTTAATGATCTAATTAAATATTATTAATCTTTATTTACTACATGTGGCCAATATTACACTAAAATTATTCTCAATTAATTTTAGAAATTTTCAAAGTTTTATTTTGTCGTACAGCGATAAGTTAGATCGCAAATGAGATGAGAAAATATACTTCTAGCGCAATCTTTTGGAAGTTACAGAAATCTACCTGATCCTTTTCTTAGCAATATCGATATGGAAGAATGCTAACATGTATAATTTTAATTAAAGATTTATAGAATAACAATTATATACTAATTCGTAGCTCCAAATAATTCTCTGGTAAGATCAAAAATTATGTAATCTAATTTGGAGATATTTTGTGCTAAGCATTATCAAACATCACTTACGTGAAATGTATATAAAGTCAATAACCGGAATGACAGGATATTTTCGAAATGTAACAAAGTTAATTTTAAAGGGAGATATCAATATCTAGAAGATGAATATGAGTTGTTTATAAGCACGTTGTTTCTAAGATTGCAAACATGGCGTAGCGCCAATATTCGGCGCACCGATTAATCGTCTAGACTCTCGACTATACGGAAGCTTTGATCCAACAGTCTATTAATAAGAAAATGCCTTCCCAAAATTTATGATTCTCATGAAGTTTCGCACGCTCATTCATGTAAGATAAATGAATTTAGAAGCTTTTGGATTAGAAGCTTTCAATATAAAAAAACAATTGGTTTTAGAAGCAAAATAATATACAATCTTCTTTTCTATTATCGAAAAATTTTTTGTCAAATATTTTTTATAAAATTAACTCTAAAAAAATTGACGCCTTGAAAAATATCTCGTCTCGCAAAATATCTTGACATTTCTACTATTCATCTAATTGTTCACTTTTTAAATTAATTTCAAGAGAGTTACATTTTCTTTCGTAAATGAAAGCATATAATTTATTTTTATTTGTATATATTATTTATATTTTTATTTGTAGAGAAATTAAACAGCTAGAAAGAAAATTAAATAGCTATTACTTTACACAGTGAGAATAAAAGAGTCGTTTGCAAGTGTAGCTAAACCAACTGTCAGAATCATCACTCAATTAAATTATGGTAGCGTTCTCATTTTTAATTCAGCGGATCTATGCCTACTATACTGCTACATAACCACACTGGTGTTATACTTACCACGGTTTATCTTCGATCTTTCGTTCTTGGCTAAACTAGAGTTTCAAAGAAATTGTAAAAGGAGATATTAAAAAGATTCTATCTATATTTGTTTCACATGTCTCAAACGAAAAATAATTATACAGGAGCACCTTGGTTTCGAGGATATTATTATATCATAAAATTCAAATAAGACATTTGTTTTTTTTTTATATATATAAAGTGTACAATATTTCTACGCCGTTGTGCACACTTACCATAAGAAAATGTTTAATTCGATTATAGCGGTTTAATTTACGTTACGCGCGATATTATATATATATATAATTGACGACATTTATACTGAATTATGCAGGTTAATCCATTTGATTCGGTTAACGTTTCGAACGTATACAAAAAAATGAAACACCGTTCACATTATAGAAATCTAGTGAGTCCGTGCTTTGCGATTTGCTTAGTATTAACGAGAGGTTGATGAAACTTTCAAAGACGCGGAACGCGGACACACAGTCAGCTCAAATACAGCCATTCATCTTTACGTCTTCTTCTTAGTTTTCGCCGTAGTCTTTGAGGGCGTAGCTTTCTTTTTGCTCGGTTTTTCGGTCTTCTTTGCGTACTTGTCGATCAGAGAGTCGAAGAAACTGTCCGACTGATTGGCGCGTTCCTTGTTACGATTCTGTATCACCAGCGCGAGATCGTTCGCGGCTGCGTTTTCCTCGTTCTCGATCTTCAACATCTTCTCCAGACGTTCGGCTTCCGCCGCTTCCTTGGCCCACTGTAATCAGAGAAGCCGATCAGGCAAGCCAATTAACATGAGAAGTCGATGGCTGTTTACTGTCCGGCTGGAGAGGCGGCTTAGTCAGCGCGCGTTTAGTCTAAATTGATAATTCGATCCAGAACTCGCCGCGGAAGGCAATAGATTTTTCAGAATAGATAGCGGCCGCTCTGCAAGACGCACAAGCGCGTTCCCTGTTAACGAGATTGATTACGACCCGCACGTAACAAGCGTGAGCTCCTCTCTACGCGTTATGTATTTCTATTTCAGAAACGCGCCACGCGCCGTCGATCCTCGAGAGTTTATTAGGTGCACGCGACTTCGCGTTCAGAGCGGCATGAAGCAGCCTCTCTTCTTTTTTTTTTCTTCTTGGGGAACGGCGCAGTTTGATTTCAAGGGGGTCATCGATTTTATCGGTGGTCGAAGCGACGCTGGATGTGCGTCACTTACAAGCGCGACTCGCGGGTCGCCAAGCAAAGACGCAGTACCGCGGCGCATCGCGGTCTACATCAAGGTCTACAGAGACTACGGGGCCGTGGTAGAATCCTAGAACGCAGCATCGCGAATCCGGTTCGCTATGTTCGCACTTTTCAAAGCTTCCGCACGGTCGGATTTTGCTTTTCGGCAGCGTCAGACTACCTCCCGAGGTACATAAGCGTCGATGACGCTTCATATCGCGCGTGACCTACTCCATAATCCGCTGCTGAAGAAATTCCGTTATTTATAATTTCTGGCAAGTACGTTTAACTGGCTGCCTAACGTTGGTGCATTGCACAACGCCACGCGAGAGATTCTGACTGTACCGAGTCGCGCGACGTGGTGGATTCGTCAGCGGTTAAAAACGAGAGGGATCTTATAACGTTACTTCGTCGATAGTATGTTGTTACGACGCGAGGCCTTATTTGTCGAATAAGACTCGGATCATCCGCCTTCTGTCTGAATGAAATGCGCAAATAACAGAATACGTTTTGGAATAAATAACATTTTTCTATTTTATGGTCAACTTTTTTTTTTGTTGAGTTACGTCAATCTCGAGATGACAGAACTATTGCTCGAGCACGCGGACGAGGAAAAGCATTGCTTTTGCGCAAATTATAATATTTTGAAACAGATCTCTCTCAGGCCGTGCCAAATATCATCGAGGCCGTCAACACGTGCCGCGTATCCGCCCGAGTCGAAGGCGGGAACTTTTTTTCCGCGACCTTGCAGCGTGGTCTGAGGTCTATATTGATCGGAATATCGCGCCATGTCTCGGCCCAAGGAAATCGCGCTAAATAATTGACAGCCATCGATGGCCACGGATGGCGCGAAGTCATGTTTAACACGATCGTGTCATCGGTGTGGAATCCTACGGAGAATTGACTGCGCGGCCCTCAAGTTCGCCTCGTGGATCGACTGACGGGAGAAGCTCTTGGAAAAGCATGTGCGCGGAAAACGCTATACGCGTGTCTATATATGTTGAACGATAAGGATCATCTTATGGAGAAACGCAGTTTCTCGTTATAATGGGACGCTTTATTAGCGCTTTATTCAAGGCCGCTCAAACGAAATCTACGCGAGAGAACTCATTTTTCTCTCTCTCTCTCATTCTCTCTATCTCGTTCTGTCCTCCGTCTGGCGCGACCGACCTCGGCGGATTCTCCGCGCGCGAGATGCACCTGTTGCACGAAGAATGACGGAAGCTGCCGTGCGAACTTGACTCCTAACAGTGACGCCTTTGAGCGTATATTTAACGCGTTTGTGCGGGGCAACGCCGAATGCAAACCGTTGCAAGGTCGTTACGTAACGCCCGACCGCGCGATTGGACGATGACACTTGGTAATTATTTCATTACCACGCGACGACCGAGCCGCCGCTTTAATTGCAATTAAAATTGTTTCTCGGCATACGCATACATTCCGCTCCATTGGCTTTTCCACTTGGCAAGCGTTCCACGATGTTACAACATGTTACCGCGCCCCGAGTGATTCCAAGAAACGAAGCCATACGTTCGATCACGAGATCAAAGATTCGCTATGTTTAGTAGTAGCTGATAAACTTTCGGCAACACTTTCGATTTTCTCGGGAATATATTGAATCAGCGTTCAACAAATTCATGCCAATTGGAAAAGTTGCGAAATCAAAACTCGCGCATAATTTATCTCTATTTTGTCTCATACCGTTTCACACTGTGTCTCACAGCAGCAACGTTACTGACGCCTTATCTTTGGAGTGTATATACACTGTAAATATGTATTTTTTACGGCTACGTGACAAATTAAATTAAATTAAATTTCCTTCAGCAGAAAAAACGCGATGATCAAATTTAGCAAAGGGCTTTCGCGTGCCTGTAATAATGTACATTTAGATGAATTGCCTGGAGGTGGCAATAAAATAAATTAAAAATATTAAATAGGTATAAATTAAATATTAAATATAGAATTAATTTTTTCTCGCAATTTTTTAATATCCATCCACGACACCTACGCATCAGGTTTAGCTGGTGTTGCCATTTCTGAAGAAAAGTTTTTTAATTCTGAAGAAAGTTTCACCCATCTTGACCACTTCTCGTTAATTATCTGCATTTGGTTAATCCTACGAAGCGTCTTTGGGAAAATGCTCGGTAGCTATAAGGATAAGTTACAACGTTAAATACATAAATGCGCGCTTAGAAAAGTCCAGGTCACAACACAATGAATTCGTTCCTTAGATCGGCGAGATGTCAATTCGATTCTCTCCTGCGTGGCCTAATTGAAATTTATTCTGTGCGACCCGCTGATCTGGACGATAAAGAAGGCGCGCTCGTGACTAAAATCTTTCCGCAAACGCATGCCCAAGGACGATGACGGCGATGAACGTCACTAGTGCAGCGGCCGGTCGGGTCTTCGGTGCCGAATTCTCCGGACACTCGGTCGGCTTGGCCGTCGTTATCGGTCGAACTACAGTCACCCTCCCGTTGCCATCCTGATAATTCTGCAACGGTGGATGTACGGTGACCGTCGATTCGTAATACGGAGCTTGGTAGAACTCGTCCGTCGAAGGTGAGTGCATCAGTTCCGGTGACGAGGGTCTAACATAATGCATGCCGGATGCCGTCGTAGTCTGCGGTCGATCGTACTCGACGGGATCCACGGCGATGATCAGGTCGTCTTCGACGTTAGGCTTATACGATGTTTCTTCGACAATCATTTTACGCGGGTCGTGCCCGTAATACGGCGTTTTCGTCGACCATGTCGTTCTGTCGGTCGTCTCTTCAGCAGGACGGCGGGATTGCTCGTGACGTTCGTGCACCCAAGGCGAATCGACCGAATGCTCGATTGAGTCATCCGTGGACCAAATAATCATGTCCGAAATATCGGACGGTCGCGTCACTTGAATGGACCCATGCGGCGTTCTTTCGATACCGTCGGATGTTGTGGCATACAGTGGATACGTCATAGTGTTTCCCGCCTGCGATGATCTGCCTGATTCTCCTACCGTTTCGCCCTCTGAAGATCCTGTAACTCGTGATTTCTCCGTGGGATACGATGGATAAGGCATCGTTTCGCGCGTTGGAATGTACGGCGGGTATGTTGGTGGCGGCGGTGGCATATCAGTTCCCGCTATCCCGTTGTCTTCCGATAATGGTACCACGGGTGGTACTCGTGTTCTTTCCGACGTTGGGTACGACCAATAGGGCGTCGTTTCGTAGGTCGGATATGGGGGATACATTAAGATGTGTTCCGTTCGCGATGGTCCGTCAGTTCCCGACATCCTGATGTCTTCCGAGGGCTGCGCTCGCGACGTTTCCGACGTCGAGTACGTGTAAGGTATTACCTGATGCGACGACGACTCCGATGGTACCTGCGAGGAACTTGTGTCCGGATATATCGGTTCCACTCGTGGCAAGGGCAATTCGTCCTGTCGCTTCGGTGTCCATGGCCGTACGGTCGTGGTTGACGGTTTCCTGTGGCGCGCACGATGCTCCGGAATGGCTGGAAAAAACGTCTTGTCTCTCGTCGCGTAAGGTTCTTCCGATTCTGGAGGTGGTTTTCTATCAGGGTGCAACCTTTCGCGATACGCTGGCACGATTTCTCTGTCTTCTTCCACGTAGCCCCTCGGTGGGACATGAACTTCGATTGTGTCACTGGTAAGTCTTCTCCACTCGGGATCTTCCACGAAATCAACGCCCTGATTCTCAAGGAACTTGCCGACGGCATGCGGGCAGGCAAACTCGGAATTCTCGCTGAGGAATATGCGCTTTAGTTCCCGCAAGCGTGACATCTCATCGAGATTCAGACATCGCAGTCGGTTTCCCGAGATTCTTAAGTCCACGAGACTGGGTAGATTCGTGTAGACACCGTCTTCAATGTCGCGTATCTCATTGTAATTGAGATCAAGATACGTCAGCTCGTCTAAATCTTCGAACCATGACGCTCTCACGGTAGTTAAGCGGTTGTTGTCCAAGCTGAGTTGCTGAAGATTGACGAGGCGTCGAAAGGCGTCCGCATCGATGTCGTCAATCTCGCATTGCGAGCAGCTCAATACCAAAAGATTTCCGCCGAATCTCGAGAACGTGTCGGCGGTTATGCTGCGAAGTGGCATCCTGACGATTCGCAGTTTCTCGGTTGTCTCGGGTACGGTGGCCAACTCAGAGGGGTGGCCACCCTCGCAGAGATATTCCGACATGTCCTCATTCGCCACTTTTCTGCACGATGCCGCGGCATTGCCGACGAACGCGGTTAGCAAGGCGAATAACACTAAACACGCGGCACGATCCATTTTTTTTTTTTGGATTGGCGCGTAAAAAGATTACAGGCAAAACAATGCAATTTTTCGCTTCGATTAATGGTAACAATGATTGTAAAAGAAACAGCCCTGTATTGTAATCATTTCGACGATTAAACGGAACGAACCATCGCGAAAGGGATTTTTCGTTCGAGCTTTACGATTAACGACAAACGGTCGAACTAATTGTAACGCGGACTGAAGCAGTTCTCGCATTCGTAGGTTACTTATTTACTAGACCTTCCCCTCCTAGTGGTGCTTCTATTTCTCCTACTACCTTCCACCCGTCAAGCTGTATAGTCGATCGGTAAAAATAGAGAAGCTTGAAAATAGAGCGGCGGGGCGTTAAAAGATTGTTGAAGTGACATTTAGCGAGTATGTGTTAACGCGATTTAAAATTCGCGCTACGATTGTAAATGATCGATCACGGTTAGAGATCGATACACAAGTAGTATACGAACGCGGGTGTTGCGAATCGGAAAGTAGCATCGGGTGACAATAACGTTTCGCAACAATGTTTTCCATATGTTAATTCAATTGGTTCAAAAATTGATTTTTTTTAACATTTTAAAAAATTTCCAAATCAATAGATATAAAATTAATTAATTTTGTAATCGAATAATAATTTTGATTTTACGATTTTTATTATTTACGTCGGATAGATGAGAAAACTATTGAAAACGATATTTTTTGAACATCGAAATAATATTAAAAAAAGCAAGCTAACATTTGATGATAATAGGATTAATAGAAATTATAATTTTACAAATGTATCAGAAAACATCTTTTTAAAGCATTACAATTTTATCAATTAAATCGAAATTTTGAAAATGGAATAAATAATGTTCACAGACGTACTACTAACATCTACTTACAAGTTTTAATTCGTCTTTTGTGTTCTATTACGATTTCAAAAGCTATTTTCTTATAGCTCATTTAATATATTTTTTATGATGTTTTATTTATAAATTAAAGACATTATATGCAATATCTTACCTTTCTTTTTCTGCGCTGCTTTTTCTTATCATTTTCATTAGTGAAAGCTGTATATTCTGGAACTTCACCCCTCTTTATTAGGTCTTCAATTATGGCGTGTAGTCTCGGTTCTTCATCACAGTTGGTGAACGGAACAGCTTCCAGAATGTAATCCATATCTCCTTTACCTAGAAAAAAATATAAATATATATAGACTATATGTATAAAATAAATGTCAATATACTATAATATTGATACAATATATGCAATATAAAAGTGTTTCTCTTGTTCCACATCTAATCTTGGCAAAATTTATACCAAATTTATTTTTTTCTACAAAAATGTATTAAATATCTTATTTGTGTTAAAAAAAATTATTTTTAAAATCATTAATACGAACAAAAAAACTAATGTTTCTAAGATTATCTATACTTACTGTCTGTATACGCTCTTTTGAGATCCTTGATTTCCGTCTCTGATCCCTTGTAATTTTTCTCATAATTATTGATATCCTCCACAGTGATTGGTTTAAATAAGGACCGCCAATAATCTGCCCAATTCCGCATTACGACCTCCTCGCTTTCTTCGTCGTACTGGCCGGATTCATCGTAAATCTTGCGCTTTTCGGTGTCACTGAGGATGGAATGTATCCTACCGAGAACTTTGAACTTCTCCGTCGCCTCCGCTTTGATATCCTCCTCGACTCGATCCGGATGCACGAGTAGCGATAGCTTATGGTAAGCCTTCTTAACTGATAACAGAAATAACGAACGATTGTTATTATAAAATAAAAATATTCGGGAGTCAAAACTAACGGAGAGGTTAGGACGCTCCAATGACAACATCACCAATTACCTTGCTTGTCGTTCGCAGTCTGCGGTATTTTCAATACATCGTAAAAGTTACGAGCGCCGAAGTACTGCTCGCACAGATCCAGTAAGCTTGCCATATCGTCAAGTATTCAAATAAAACACCACAAATTTTTAAATCCGCAGACCGTAAATAACGAATGTGACAACGACGCGGTCAGCTGTCCCTCCGCCACATTTTACCGGAACCGGGTTTATACATAAACTATTTAAATCGACCGTCGAGGGTGACATCTACCACCGCGGCACGGAGGCTCTCGCTTCGTCGGTAACGACACTCCCGTCGTTACCGATCGTGTCACCGCCAGCTGCGCCTGCGCTCTCTGTCGTTTCCGCTGTCTTCGATCGCGCACGGGCCGCACGGCTCTTTCTCGCGTGGTTTCTTTTCCGGTTTGTCAAAATGGTAAGACGGTGCGAAAACGTCCTGTTTGATCGAAAAATCGCGCGATATTACGCCGCCGCTTGTTAATCGCGATAAATGAACGTGACCGTAGGACATTGAATTGCTTGAATTCAATTAACGACGAATATTTCTCTTCGCAGGGTATCGACATTAATCATAAGCATGATCGGAAAGTGCGGCGAACGGAGCCCAAGTCGCAGGATGTGTATTTACGACTCCTCGTCAAGGTAAAATCGTCTTGCCTTTGATGTTATTTATCTCACGTGTCTGTACCCGCGAAGCGGGGCACATGTCGAACCGTACCTCAGAAACCCTCATTTCGATTTTGCTGAGAATTAGAGATAATGCACGACTGTTGCTCTTTCACGACGGTTTCTCATTGAGGTTAGTTTTCACATGTATGGTTACATGTGACATACAAGAGCGCCGCTTCGTATCGTATACTTTTCTTTAATTTCCTTTTACTCCTCGATCGGGTGAAACGAAAAAGATTTAGTGTTCGTGTAATTACTGGCGATTCGTCAACCTTGAGTTTTCAAGATTGCGAGCTGCACTCTGTGTCAGATCTCTGCGTAGGTCTGATTCAATTTGAAAGTTCGCTAGAGAAACATTTGTCAACTATCCTATCTCGCTTATTTGCAACATAAAAAGGCGATTATTATAGTTGATACATGCATTAAATGTAAATACATATGTTTTGCAATTATAGTTCTTTTAATTGTAACGCCTCCTTTTGTTGGGACAAAATTTTATAGAATTTTGATGATGCGCTTTACAAATATTTTTCTCAATTAATTTCTTTATACAAGTCTTTAATAAATTGTGCATTCTTATGAACTTTCTAAAGGAAGCTTCAGGTTTGAGAGCCTACAAGTTTACTGGGAATTGTAATTAATGTAGCAAACGCTTTATTGCAGCTGTATCGGTTCTTGGCGAGACGAACAAATTCAAAGTTCAACAAAATTATCCTGAAACGACTGTTTATGAGTAAAATTCACCGACCGCCAATTTCACTGGCACGAATCGTGAGGTTTATGAAGAAACCTGGCAGGGAGAATTGCGTCGCCGTGATCGTCGGTACCGTCACTGATGACGCCAGGATCTTCGAAGTCCCCAAGTTGACGGTAAATGGCCACACAGATATACAGATATACTGACATCGAAAATCGTGTTAGACTCGTATTATATGGCAGTTGATTTTTTTGTTTATAGGTGTGCGCTTTACGCGTGACTGAGAAGGCTCGGGCGCGCATCTTGAAAGCCGGCGGCGAGATCATCACGTTCGATCAACTGGCGTTACGCGCCCCGACTGGAAAGCGCACGGTCTTGATGCAGGGACCGCGTAACGCTCGCGAGAGCGTCAAGCACTTCGGCCTGGCGCCTGGCGTGCCGCATTCTCACACGAAACCTTACGTGAGATCTAAGGGCCGAAAGTTCGAACGGGCGAGAGGCCGTAGACGCAGCTGCGGTTACAAGAAATAAGATGTAACACGCGTTTCGACGGACGTTCCGTCTGTCGTAGTCTTTTTTTTTCACGCGGTCAAGTGGCTGAAAAATAAACATTGGCTTCACAACAATCTCCCGTTCTCTTTTTTGTCGCGCTATACATATCCAGATTTCATTCTTTCGAATTTATTAGAAACTCTCATGTATCTCGTAATCTACATAGTCTATTAAGTTTATAAATTAACATTGATAATTCATAATTTTAATGTCTGCAAGCATATAGTAAATGTGTCAAACATTAAATATAAAATGAAATAAAAGATTATGTAACATTAAATTAATTAACAAAAATAGTTTTGTTTTTTAATCAATATAATCGCGGTGATCGTTGGTTGAAAAACAGTATGCATGTACATACTACGTTTGACAGGTTTGACTTGACGAAATAAGGCACGCGTTGAGGTTAGGGTCATCTCGAATCGAACTCGACGAGAACTGCTTAATCGAGTCCGACTCGACTTTAACTTTGACAATGAGTAGCGAGTACCCGTACATCCCGTTACGCGAACCGTGGCGCGGTGTGGTGCGGGCCGTGCGGGTGCTATCAGTCGCCATCTTAGCGACCGCGATCGGTCCCATTCTCCGTGTCCTCGGGGTACCCGTCGTATGTTCGGCGCGACTGTGCGCAGCGTCGTCACGGTAGGCAGCCAGCCCCCCGTCGTCGATAGTTAGCGCGGTGCACCGGGAAGCGAGCGGGCGGTGACGGTTTGCCGGTGCACGAACGGCCGGCGGCGCGGCGCGACGGCGACGGGAGAGCGGGCCATCTGCGGCAGCGACGGCGGTGGCGGCGGCGGCGGCGGCGGCGGTGGAGGAGGTGGTGGTGGCGGTGGCGGAGGCAGCGGCGGCGGCCGAAGGTGGGCGGCGGTACGACGCGTCGAGCGTTCCTCTCCTGGCCCCAGCCCCGGCTTTAAAGCCCAGCTCCAGCTCCGGCTCTAGCTGCTCCCGGCTCTAGCTCCGGCGGCTCTAGCTCGAGTATCCCCGGTACATCCGATCGCTGCTCTCTCGCTCCGCTTCGCCTCGGTCCGCGCAAGACTCCGCGCGACGAATCCCGTGACGTAGCCGTAGCGCGTGACAATTTCGGCTGTGCGGCGTGAGGTGCGGAAGCTCCGGAGGTCCTCCGTCGAGCCTAAAATTCGGAAAGCGAAGGAATAAAAGAGCGCGAAGGAAAGAGAGAGAGAGAGAGACATAGAAAGAGGATAGTCCTCTTGCACGGCAGCTGCAATCAGCGATCGTCTTTGGAGGGAACGAGAAGATGAGTTGCCAACGTAACGCCGGCAAGATCACGGTGCCGGACGATCTGCGTGACGTCCTGCTAGAGTTCACAATCAGCTACCTGCTGGAGCAGCCCGGCGACATCATCGACTACGCCGTGGACTTCTTCACGCGGCTACGCGACGCACGGCGTACGCAGATAATCCAGGCGGAGGTGCCCACGCCGGACGAGTATGTCGATGAGGGTGAGTCTCGAGAACGAGAAGGCTACATCTTCTCTCTCCTCTCTTTCTCTCTCCTCTCTCTCTCTCTTTCTCTTTCTATCTCTTTCCCTGTCCTCGTCTCGCGTTATCTCAGGGTTCTGTCAATGACGCTTATTCACAGCTAACCGAACCAAAAGGTCTAAAAACAAGATGGATAAATCTATAAAGGTCCATTCTGCAGCTTTACGATCAAAACGGAATTATGGCCTTGTTACGTTTTATCAAGAAAGAAATAAGAAACAATATCAGTCAAATTGATATTTGTCAAGATTTTTCCATTTCGCAGGCAACAGTGTTTCGCTATTGTCTTTTCTTAATTTCTTAATTAAATAAAAAAATTAAGACTACAGATAATCGGCAAGACATTTGAGAAACTTGTCCGATAGTAAGGATTTGCAACTGTCATCTCGGATATCCGAGAAATTAAATGGTTCTCTCGATATATCTCTCTTCAAATTATGAGAAAGAAAATCAGATATTGTTTGTGCAAGCATAGAAAGTGACGGATAGCTCGGTTAACTGGTCGTGATTAGTGTCAATCATAACGTTGGTAGAGTCAAGCTTAAACTGTGGTGGAGAGTTCTGCTCGAATCGATATCGGTTGTAAGTTAAAGCGTGTAGGGTCGATTCCGCCAACGTCAATTGACTCGTCGTCGTCGTGGTTTCGATTCTCACTTTCCTTCCGGGGGTGGGTAAAAGAGGGGCGCGCGCGGACAGGCAGGCGGAGGGAGGAAAGGTCATAATTCCGGATATATAATACAGAATATACCGTAATGTCAGTAATTTACCAGCGATAGATAATAGTTTAATAACATCGCGCAATCTGTCATTTATTTCTTTTATCTCGCGCTGTATCTCTCTCTCTCTCTCTCTCTCTCTCTCTCTCTCCTTATTGATTGATAAGTTTAATGATATTAGACGATTGTCGATGAACGGGGGTGTCGGTCGGATCGGTCAATTATCTGGATTTTGCCGATGTGCCAATTAATTCCGGGGGTTAGTTCAACCAACTCACCCTTTTCCACGGGATCGTGATATCGGTGATGTAATATGGGCAATTATATGGAATTAGCGCCGAACGGTTTATTGATGGAATCGGTTTTCAGGCCAACGCACGTAATGCAAAATGTATGTCTGAACATACGCCGGGATGTTCCACTGACAAGAAATGTGATGTCGAAACGCTCCTATTATTTGCATCCAATTTTGAGTCGGCGTCGAATTCGATGCGGCTTAGACGTCCTTCTCCTCTCCTCTTTTTATCCTTCTGTGACACCGATATCCGATTTCTTTTACGAAAAACAATACCGCTCTTCCTCTTCCCTCTTTTTTCCAGATTAATTCAATTTTCGACTCCTGATCTGATCTGAAGGAGGAAATCCCTTAAATCTCTAATGGATCGTAAGATAAATGCTTTTAGGATATTATTGGATCCCTCTCACTGTCAGACGGGCGAAAAGAAAGTACCTCTGCCTCGAGTTACACGAAGTATCCCTCTTTATAAAATTGCACGGATTATCAAACTCCATCGCTCAACTATTACGTTTTGACATTTTGATGAACAACTCTTTGGGGGAATGAAAATAGATGTTCGGGTTAATATTTCTTCTTCATCAATATGTATTTCCTCTTTCTATTTCTTCCAATTGTCTTTCTTATTGCCACATATATGTACAGGCTCCTTCGCGAGTTATCTGATCGTCGCGAAGATCGACCTTGCGGTATCCCATGTTACGTCGCCATGGGTAGAATACTGATAAATTATTCGAGAGAGTCTCGAATCAAGATTCTCATTCTTTCGCGGCTCCTTTTGTCATCCGTCAAACGCGTTTCTCAATCTCGCTCGGGCTGAAAGTATAGTATAAGCGGCAATCGATCGGGATCCCTCCGGAAATTCTCTCACGTGGTTTCCGCGCTCTCCTTTCCCTCTACCCCGGGACGAGAGCCAAGACTTTATAGATATCGTCATCACGTGAGGCGAGGGGAGAGCGTCGCTTCGCCCTTGCCGAAGATGCGCGTCCGAGGCGCGTCTGACAGAAGAAATTTCCGCTTACGAAGTGGAAGTACTTCGGTCGATTTTTTTTTGTTGTTCGAAGTAGTTTCGCCGAAAGTCTGAATGCCACTTCAGCTCGCTTCCGCGCTCGTACTTTTCCAAGACCTGCGCGCGATTTGAAAAACCCGATCGCTCTCTCGCTCGCTCCTGCTCGCATCGCCAACACGATCCAGTCCGGTCCGGTCAGGCGCTGTCGCGAGACGAGATTCTCGGATGCGCGGTGGATTCGACAGTTTCTCGTGCAGCGCTTAGCCGGCACAGCGACCGCAATCTCGTCCCGTCGCGTCGTTCCTGCCTGTGCGGTGTGGTTGATCATACCCGATTTCGATCGCGATTTTTCTGTGCTTCATCTTCGCTCCTCGAAGAGGACCCACGCGAGCGTGGATTAGCGCGAATTCGATATCTCGTAGTAGATGTATTCGCGAAGGGAGTTCTTTTCCCAGCCGAAGTCATATAGTTGAACATCACCCTTCGACAGTCGGAGCACATCCCTCCGATTCGTTCGACTGTTCTGTTTACTCGCGATCGTTATAGAGATAAAAATGCTCATAGAAATTTACGTGTAGGAGAAGGAAAAAGAAACGCCGATTATTTATGACTGCATTATTCTGCACGCGGATGTTACGTTCCGGAGTTGTTTACCGCGCGCGCCACGTTTATTTCGTACCACGTCGAAATTTCTTCCGCTCCGCGTAGTATTGTGATAAAATCGTGTCTGTGAATCACCTGTAAGTAGATACGAAACGTCGCCTACGACATATATACTTGTTTCGTGTCAAGTGTACGTTGGACGTGCTGTCAAAGAAGGACGAACGTGTCCCTCGTTCCTGCACGTTTCTGCCGTGTGTACTTTTCCTCCCGCGGCCCAAATGTCGCTCGTCTCCGTCATCGAGCCAGTGGATGACACAGGTGCGAAAGAACGAAATACCGTGAAGTTTTTTTCGTTGTCCGAATTAACGGCATTAAAGGCGAAACTTTCGGATAATTCGTCGCACGACACTTTCGCGACACTGAAAACTTTGTCACTCCTGCGGGGATTGGTAAAGAAGTAACAAACTTGCGTTTGCTCGGAACAAATACCGCGAGTTTTTAACTGCGTAAAGTTACATTGTTTTTCTCTCGAGACATCTTCGCCTAACGCCGCGAAATAAAAATGAATACATCGTCAATTTTTACAAAATAAATTATTAATTAACCTTCGACTTTTCAAAAACAATTCTCTTGGAAAACGAAAAGATTTATTCTATACGTTTTCGATTTGTCTACTTTACATAGAATTATCCTGTTACCACTATGTCATGGAGAATCCTGTGTTGCGCAGCACGACAGCTGGAAAATACATTTGTAATGAGGACGAAAGACGCGACGAAATAAAGTTTTTTACCTCACAAGGAAATTCGTGTCTCTTGAAGAAAAGAGATAGTACGGTATCGCGTTCGATACATTCGCACTCGACGTATCCGAGGTGATTCAAGACGAAAGGTCAACACTTAAGAAAGACGTCGACAGTGTGCCGTTACAGGGGCAAAAAAAAAAGGTGTCGACGAGTCTCAAATTGCGAAGAGAGATCGAAGATGAAATTTACGCAAGCTCTTCTATCGCGTAAAGGGTTACTTCAAGGGATATGGCATTTTTCTTTGTGATTCACCATTCAAAACGCTAATGTGTTAAAACTCCGAAAATTGCTATTCCTCTTTCCTTTATTATCTCCGGAGACCGGAGATTTCGTTGCAGCTAATGACTGAACGGCCAACGCAGCCTTTCGCATTTACATAATTGAACGACAGACCATTTTTTACGTGACGGCTTTCGCAATCCACGCGTTGAATTCTCGCGGTGACTGTTTTTTCGAAAATATAATTTGTGCAATTAAGTAAATGTCAAACTTGACGCGATAAACACGCATACACATTGTCATATATTATAAAACATCTCATTTTATTATCGCGTATGGTTGTGTATTTTTAGATTCAAACCACAGCCAACTAAAAATCATTCATATTGAACGATATTGTTAACTTTTTTCCTTGTTCTTCCCATCGTTAATAAACACCTGTGCTGAGTTAAACTACGCCATTCTTCGGCCTTCTCTAATTATATATCTTGTTTTACACTTTAATCGATCGACATTTAATCAATTTAATTAACTTTCATATTTTATTCTTTTCTCAGTTTAATCGTAAATTGTATTTCTGCTTAATCGAAATGTCTCTTTTGTATTTTAGAGCCACCAATCGGCCGGTTTGCTTCCAGAAGGAAGAGCGTTTTCGCGGAAACTTACAATCCCGAGGATGACGAGGAGGATGACGGCTTCAAGGTACATCATCTGTGTTATTATTATACGATCCGCGAAAACTATCGTGCACGTTCCTGATAACGAGACCGCACGAATGAGGCGATCGTTTGCGAGGTCTCGCTTCCATTATGCCTTTCAAAAAAAAAAAAGGCCTGCAGAAGTCTTTCGAATCGATTGAACAATTTACGTGTCGATGCGTTACGATAAATTCTCTGTCGATGAAATCGCGCCAATGATCGCCCGCGTAATGACGTTCTATTGGTTTGATGGTTGCTTGAACAACGGCAGATTTGTTCGTCCTAAAACGCCGTTTCTCTTCTCCGACACGTCGTCGCAGTGCCGTCGCTTTTAAACCTTCTATTCTCGGATGTCGCAACGTCCGATATTTTTCCCAGCAGCGAAGCCTTTGAAAGTATGCACTTTTTACGCTCGTCACGTCCGTCGAATTGGCGAAAACGACGACACGTCGATCGTAGCTGCGTAAGTTAATCGCCGAGACCGCAAAAATTGCGCGTTCCGCCGCAAGTGCGTCGCGTCGACGTAAATAAAAAGTTCCTACGCAAATATGAAGGTGAAAATAAAAATTCAATACGGGAGAAATTATAACGATAAAGTTTTCTCGGAGATTAAAATGTTGGAATCGCACCCCTGGTCGGCGGTCTCACTTTTGGCGTGATGCTGATCGAAAGAGCCATTCACGCGCTCTTATACGCGTTTCATTAATTATTTTCGTAGAGCTAGTGAATTCTAAAATCGGTCGGCGCCGAGGAACGTGGCGCGAAGTAGAGGCACGCAAGTAGAAGACTGCAGGTTTATATAACGCATTCGCACGTATTCGCGCGTTATCGCCGGTATGTATTTCTCGTCGACGAGAGGCGACGCGGTGACGAGCGCGCTCCGTCGACATACGAGGTAGTTTAGGTTTTTTTTTTCGGTGGTGGCAGAAAATAGCTCTCTCTCTCTCTCTTTCTCTCTCCCTCTCGCTCTCTCCCGTTACGAAATGTCGTTATACGTCGCGCATGTATATATATGTGTGTGTATTATGTACACGAGGTATATAATATATATCACAGTCTATTAAAGCATAGCTGACGCGCAGTCTCTCCCGCTCTCTCTCTCTCTCTCTCTCTCTCTCGCGGCCTGCTGCCGCGCGAGTGACGAAACGCGAACGAACGAAGAGTTACTTTGCTCGGCGATGCGAGGTCGACGATGTACCTTTGTGACGTCAGGCCTCGTGTTCGATAACCTGGCACGGACGTGATTTACATGTATGTATGCATCACCGTCGTGTGTACGTATCGTACATACGCGCACGTGAATGAGGGAGAAAGAAGCAGCGTGCACACGTGTGTACGTGTATGTGTATCGGTGGGGTAGTAAGGGGGTTTTGCGAGGGGTCGCCGGCGATGGGTCGGGTTCGACGAGAGAAAGAGAGCATTTTCACAAAGATAGCCCTGGTGAATCCGATTATCGTCACCCCGTGGTGGCTGGTTACTCGAAGAGGAAAATCGGCTATCTCTTTCCCCCCGTAGGCCAGGCCGACCGACCGACCGACCATGTTTTCTCTCTGCATGCTACGACCAGGACAATAGCAGAGAAAACTGGGACACTCGCGATTTTTAGAAAGGCCAAGACTAGACTACTTCGACATGTACGCAAACCTCCTTAACCGTTTTACGATAAAAGGTACACTAGATCTGCGTTTTTTTTTTTAATGGTAAATTTCTCGGATCAATTTGGAGTCGATTTTTCCCTCGGCGAAGATATATAGAGAGCAATTGCCTACGATATTCGCGTTAAAAGCAAGAACGAAGGACTTTCCACAAATTAAACTTCAGGACGTTGAATAGGTAAAAAAAAAATACATACACTCAACTAATTTCTTCAGTTAAGGAATGGAATTTTAACTAAGTTGAGAAGATAGGAAAATCGATTTTAAATTTCGGTATACCGAAAGCTTAAATACATCGTTAAAATATATCGCGCGCGAGAAAAACGGGACACATGCACGATCGAGAGGATAACGCCGCCGAATGTGCGACGAAATAACAGTTTTGCAGGTGGCAAACGTCGACAAACGCGGTTGACCCTCGGCGAAGTTCTAATCATATACGACACACGCGGCCCGGTCGCACAATAGCGCGGCAGATGGGACACGTCGGTAATGGGAACGTGCAGCTAACGGTTCCCTGCGAAATTGATCGTTTCTGTGTGCAACAATTGGCGACGATAACGAAACAAAAGAACCCGCCGCTCTTGCGCGGAGAGACCGATTACCGCGTGTGTGCACTTGCCTGCAAGCGAGGAGGTAAGTTACGGCTGGCCGCAATAACGCCAAGTCGCTAGTCCGACGCTGCGGAGACGCGAAAGTGCGAAGTTTTAAAGGCGGAATCATTTTTAACGGCAGAGACGCGCGAGCTTTTACGGGCGGAAGAATGTATTAAGATGTAAACGTAATATTAACAGCGGCTCTTCGGGATGGAGGCTATCTCCCGGTTAAGAATGGAAATTTTTAACTCCATGCGGTAGCTGTTTCCTTATGCAGCAAATTTATAACGATTACAAAGATTACGCGCCTCGTAAATGCTTCGAGGCATTAAAGATGCGACATAGATATTAAACGTCTTGAACTTTACGCTTATTATTCTATTTAAAAAAAAATAATAATAATAATAAAGAGGCTCCGCTGCGTAACTTCTATATGACCTGGTGACGTTTTGGCTGTTAATAATTTCGCGAAATACTCTACGCGAAATTGTACAGTTTGATAGTCCTTAAAATCTGACAAACGATGCACTCTATCTCTGAAATAATGGCGAGTGGAGCGTGGGAGAGGTCAAAGTTCACCGTTCCAGGTATCCAGCATAAAGGGCAACATCTCAAGTTTTAGTCAAATTATTTGCTCGTTGTATCTTTAAAAGAGAATTGCACTCTTACGGAAGACCTTATTGTATAATTTCTAGAAATTGAAAATTCGAAGAAATCCAAATCCAAAAAGAATAAACAGCAGAATATTGAATGCAGTAAATATATATCGATGTAGTGATAGAGAATAATAGGTATAACTTTAAATGCTCAATATATATGTATATATATATTAATTTATTAAACAATGTTTCTTGCAAAGAAACGAGAATTCATTTTTGTTATTTAATAAATCAAGACTGAACGAAATATATACTGTACGTTTCACGTAATTTTCACTTGTTCAGATTCTGACTGCGTTAAACTGTTTTCTAATTATTCATCAAGGGAAGAAACTTTCTCGCGGAGACAATGAGGAGACGATGTCTCAATTATGCTGGCGCCTTAATAATGAATTTAGAAATTTCGTGTAAGCTGCATATTTTATTTAAGCTTCATTTTGTCTTCATATGGCTCATTGATTTCAGATGGTCCATCCGAAGAGCGACGAGCAGCGACAAAGGCTCGGCGAAAGCGTGAAGAACATACTCCTGTTTCGCGCTTTAGACGAGGTAAGTTAAACATAGTACATTCAACAGCCATGATCGCAAATAGGAATAGATGTAACAGCGGCTCGGTATACCCGCGCCAGCTGGGCGAAATACCAAGAAATCCACGAATAATCTCTTATTAGAAGCAATCAGTTTTGCCAGCGAGACGATTCGCATAATTGAGATAATTGTTTCTTTCATTAGCGAGTTGTCGATGCGTTCAAATATAAATTTGTTGGTTGTTTCTTGACTAGCAGATAATATTAAGCGTTATAAAATATTTTACTTTTCAATATATATCCTATTTTGCCAGTTTATTTTAATAATCTTTAATTTTTAGTCGATGCGCAATTACACACGTCAAATTATAACGTCGCGAATTGAGAATCGAAGACGAGAACACGAGATTAGTCTAAAAATTTTCGCTTGACGAAAATCGATTTCGTGCTAGTCAAAACTCAATTACGTTAAGAGGAAGCGTGTAATGATGAAACACCTTTGTATACGTATACAAACGTATTTATGTAGTACATTGTGAAAGCGCGTACATCGATTAACGCCGCGATATTAACGTGACTCCCCCTGCTTGCGTACTACAATTTTAAAGCCGATATTTTAAATACCGGACGGTAATATCGCGCTAAAACGTATTTATACGTGTATAATAAAATTACTTTTGCAGGAACAAATGGCGGACGTACTGGACGCAATGTTCGAAAAAACCGTTCAACCGGGAGAATTTATTATCCGACAGGGCGACGATGGTGACAACTTTTATGTGATCGAGAGGTAATACTTTTTCTTTATATATTACAGTTAACGTATCGATAGGCTTCTCCCTTCAGCGGGAAGCTCCAGTGAACCAAGAGGAGATGCACACAATCGACCATCAGTGCTTTTACTCGGAGCTGAAAATATTCGAACAACAATGCTTAGCAGTCTAATTATTTGATTGTTTATCTTGTCGGAAATTCGAAATTCTGTTTTGTCATTGTCGGACAAAACAGAAATACGTAACTGCCTTGCAATCTTCTAGCTTCTAACTTCCGAACTCGCCTCTATCCCTATCGCGTTTCGTGTTTTCAGAGGGAAATTCGAGGTGTACGTCAAAGATCCCGTCACAGCAAAAGATAATCATATTCACACTTACGATAATCGCGGCGCTTTTGGAGAATTGGCCCTTCTGTACAATATGCCCAGAGCAGCCACTGTCAAAGCTTTCACGTCTGGCACACTCTGGGCCATGGACAGACAGACCTTCCGACGTATTCTCCTTAAATCCGCGTACAAGAAGCGTAAAATGTACGAGAATCTTATTGATAAAGTGCCGATGTTGAAGTCTCTGGAGGTAAATATTACACAGCTATTTATATAATTACTTTTCGAGTAGGTTTCGAATATGTTTGTGTTTTTTTTATCTTAAATAGCTCTTGTAAGTTCCTATTTTAAGATCAAATATAATTACTGCATATCTTCTTTATTAAAGCCGTTCCTTTTCTTTAATTAAAAAAAGTATTCAAATTCAAAAGAAAAATAATCTCCAAAAAATATCAGCCTCCCTACGAGATTTACACCGTATTAAATTGAAAAATTTTCCAGTCTTACGAGCGGATGAATTTAGCGGATGCTCTAGTACCGAAACAGTATTCAGATGGCGAGCAGATAATCAGACAGGGCGACACCGCAGACGGAATGTACTTCGTCGAGGACGGCGTCGTCAGGATCACCAGACTCGGCGAGCACGGTCGTGAAATTGAGGTACATTTATAATATAATCGTTAATCCCCGCGAAACGATTCGATTACCGCCAAGCACGACGAGCGCGCCAAGAAAATTCTCTCCTTACTTAACCCGGCACCTTTAATGTCCTGCAGATTAATCGTGTTCCGGCTGGCGGTTATTTAGGCGAGCTGGCACTCGTGACGCATAAACCACGCGCCGCTTCGGCCTACGCTGTGGGGGACGTCAAACTGGCATGTAAGTTTATTTCATTACTGTCCACAATTCCCGAATTGATAGGTAATCAATAACGTTGCGCCGAGTAATTGCGGATATCGATATGTACCGCGGTAATCGGGCTTGTTATGACGGAAGATGGTCGCAGTATATATATACATATACATGTATATATATATATTTTTCTCCACGCGTTTAAATCTATTCTGAAATTTTCTGTATACAGGATACCATACTTTAATGGAATCACACACAAATGACAATTTGTGCTTGCCTAAAGTGATTATTTCATTGATTGAAAACGTTTATTTCTTACGCTTCCAGTTTTGGACGTTGAAGCTTTCGAACGTTTGCTCGGCCCGTGTATGGAGCTTATGAAACGTAATATCGACGATTACGAGGAACAACTAGTCAAAATTTTCGGCAGCAAAACCAACATCTCTGACATTCGATGAACTGTCTCCGGACAGAGCCACGTCGCCATACTGCTGTACCAAAGGACGCGACACTTTCGTACAGCGTATAATATATAACGAGCACAAAAAAGAACTTGTACCACCTACTTCTGAATCTCATCCCGCGTGTTTTCGGGTATCATCTCGGAGTCAACAACTGTTTCGTATGACTGTTCACTTAGACGTATTACCGATTAAGATTCGTCGAATAATAGTTACCAAGTTTATACCTACGACACACATTGAACAAAGCTGTAGGCTGCTCGATTATGTGCGCGTGTATAACGTAACAACACGGTATTAATGACTATTTCTCTAAGACTGTATTGGATCAAAAAGAGAGTATTAGTGCATTCTGTTTACACGCTCGATCGTTTTTTGCGAAACGAATATCTTCATTTGTTGCCTCAGTGAAAAGATCGGAATGTGACATTTTGAGATTTACAGGACATACAAAGCATTATTATAGTATTTAACTTGTCCCCGGAGTGACTCAAGTTTATCTCAATGTATCCAATCTATACGCTCACACACAATTCGTGTATACTCTCGTGCATTATCCATTTTTAAGCAAATCAGCGGCTACATTTGTAAGACATAGTAGGAGTCTAGAATATTCGAAATCGAATGCCCTTCTACCGCTACTCTCTGGCAAAAGAAAATTGCAAATGTAAATTTTACAAGAGAAACGACCACATTATTAATTGAATATTGAACGCGAATCTCTTGCAAGATTTCTACGAAAAATACCTATATATATATATGCATATCACTCTTTTGGAGATAATGAAAGTAACATTGCCATTTTTAATGAAAGCAGGCAGAATTGTACAATATTCTTATACATCCATTTAACAATGTAATATCTTGATAAAATATCAGATCAGACAATCAAGATTTTGTCTATAATTCGCGACACGTAGTAAATACGCATTTCGCGAATAAATATTCACATATACTTACATAACTATGCATCACACGCACATAATAGTAAAATAATTTTCTAATTTGTTATTTTAATTTTACTTTTCTTAATAGAAATTGGTCTCTTATGTATATATGAATTACTTTTTTACGCGTATTAATATAACTTTTATGTTATATTACAAACAATGATTCAGAGATGTTGTTATAACTTTGCACATAATTATTTATGATTAAATTAGTATATATATCACGTAACAGATTTTTACTAAATAAAATCAATTATTTTCTAGTAAAAAAAAAATAAATTCTGATAAAAGATTGTTATATATGTTCTTTATTATAGAAATTGAAAAGATAAATGCCAGAGTCGTACAAATGCATTCTATTTCGGATATAGAGTACTCTCTCTAAAAACTTGCACTAGAAAGTCCAGGTCTAAAGGAGCCTTAAAATTGACTTAAATGCGCGGATATAACGATGCAAAACGAATATGTACATTGCGCGTGTACAAAGTAATATAAAAGAAAATATGTATAGCAACATGCATATAAATGTTACATGAGAAAAAAAGGGGGCATATATTTTCTAATTGCTTTGTACTTGCATGTATCAGATTAGGTGAATTTTAGCGTAAAAAAAAAGATATAGCCGCGCGTTTAAGCCAACATTAAATTCAAGTGTGTCTTGCCATAAATAATGGTAACTCGAGGATCGTTTACGAGAAACCGTCAACTTATTTTTATTACATGTGTACAAGACACGTTATGTGTATGATGATATACATCTATCATCGTGATAAAAGTCCAGTCAAAAACCGATTCAATTATAGTACGGACAGGTGCGAATGCTAGTCACTTTTTATAACCGTGTTTTTGTCACGCTCTCCTCTGACAATTACATCGGTCGCGAAAAAAAAAAAAGAAAAAATACTTTTTATTACGGTGAACCGTATATTTACTACATGACTGAAACTCGCGATATGAAGCGGCAGGGCTTTTTAAATAATATCACAATCGTGTGAGGGAGAAAAGGGAGACTAGTACGAAAGTGAAGAAACGGAGAGGGGATAGCATAGGAATTGATAACCGTAGTATTTTATCAATTACTCTTCACTCGCGGTATTGACGCCTTGCATGGCCTTAATAATTTTTTTTCTCTCTTTCCATGCTCGGCTCATTCTCTTATTAAACAGTGTAACCAAATCTCGCGGAATTCTTCAAGTGAACAATTAAATGAATTAAATGGAGTATCTCGACAATTTGAAGATAATTCACACTTTAGAACGTTAACAGTTGAAAAAAAGCAGTTTGTTTGCCGATATAATATCAGTATCTTTAGTCTTCCACTGTGTCTCCAGGCTGTGATATTATTTTCGACTGAGTATTTCATTCCTTTCTTGTAGTCTCTTACAAGAAGCATAAAAGAATATCGTAATCATTATCGAATTCGCGAGGCATTAAACTGGTGGATTGATTTTTAAATGATTCAACCAACCTATCTCTTATATATGTAAGTGCGACAAAGATTTTAATGGATTAAACAAAAGTGACTTGATCATTGTTGGACACGAGAACAACTCTATACGTATCGCAAAAGGGAAAAAGAAGAAAAAAAAACAAAAAAAAAGCTGATTCGCATACTGAGTAAACTCGATACGCATAAGTACTTACTTGTGTTAGATTACATTCGCTAAATTAAGTGTGAAGTGTTGAAGTTAGAATCTGTCCAATTCGCATTACTGTATCTATCATGAGATTTATCTTATGTGTTGCGTGTTGTCGTTTATGTATGGATGTGAACGTGTTTGCATGCGTGTATGACGATCGAGCCAGTAATTCGTTAATTTATGTTGCTACTATCGATAGTTTACACTCTCCAATAGTTGTATAATTCATGTTATCGTCATTAAAGGCAATACACCGAAATATGTCCTACGGATAAATATTGTAACAGTAGTTGTATGCCTTATCGTGCCACTGGATCTTCGTCTTTCTGCTTTCAAAGGGAGAAAGATTTGTGAAAAATCGAAGATACAGATTTCGTTGTACATCCGCGATCTACACTGCTGGATAAAACGATTAGACACTTTAGTAAATTGTCATAAATGCCTTTATAAGTCAATAACGTTAGTGAATTAAAAGTTGTGATTTCACATGGACGATAAGACATTGACAAGAATTATATAAGATAACTACGTAAAGATTTACTCAAAAAATGATTCAGAATAATTTTATTATTAATACGAGATATTAGAATTTTATTTTTACAACGTTTTTCCAAGAAAGTGTCTTTCTTGGAATTTAAATGTTCATTGTTTACCTCTCAGTTAGAAATTGGTATCAAATTTTATTCATTTATTGAAATATTATTTGAACGTTAAAATTTTTATTTGTTGCATAATGCTATGTAACATGCTTGTATGAACTCATGTCCCAGTAATTTTCACAGTGTTTTGTCATTGTGTCCAGCAATGTATAATTATGTATCCACGTGTTATATCCAACGATGGGCATTCGATTCTCTTTTCTGCAAGTTTTTAAGTAATTCAGCTAGTATAAAATTTCGGATAATTTCGAATATTATTAAAGAATTTTAATGAATTTTAGCGAATCTTTAACTTCTTGAAAATAATTAGTTTTAAGAAATTTTTAAAACTTAAAATTGTTAAAAATTTAATATATTGATAGCTATGTGTGAATTATTGCAATTAAGTTAACAGTATCGCGATTTATACAGAGAATAATCTTAATTTAGATTAAAAATCTCTAAATATACATTTCATATGTGTGTGGTATATGAAACGGTACATGTATCATAAAAACTTTTAATGAACGCAAACGTTTCAAGATTTTCGAAACTGGGGATACCTTTAAAATTCATAAACGTTTTTCGTTCCACGTAATATACAAAATAATTCGAAACTTCCGTAATGATTTAAAGCACTTGTTTCAGCCCATCACTAAAATTACATCGCAATTCTAGTCGAGAGCGACATGCGACATTGAGAAATGTTTCCGACCAAATAGCATGTATCGAATCAGAGAGTTGACGAATTGACAGCAGTAATCCGTAACGGCTAATAATGTGCCAGTAATACTTAGTTTTCATATTTGACTTACGTTTTTCCTTGGTGCAACGATATATTCCTAATGTTTTTAATTTATCAAGCGTAGTAGCGTTAGTAGCTGTTATGTATGTATTAGCAATGTGTCATTGTGCATGTAACAGTGCACTTTGCATCGGACCAATTTCAAGGAGCAATTGAGCTTGCGACGTATCTTTTCTTGCTTTTGCTCGTATTCCTTCTTATCGTAACGTAGCTTCAGCATATTTTTCGCCGATGTAAAAACCCGTTGTACGGAATTCCGAAGTATCATGCGTACTAATAACTGTACTGCCCTCCCGCCCTGCTCACGGTGATTTTAAATATTATTTCTATCGCGCGCGCATCGCGAACTGTAAAATTCATACACAGAGTCTACACGTGACTCGACGGATATCTGCGAAAAGTAAATTTTCAAGTAACTTTCCAAAATCTCTTCCTGCATTAATGCACTTAAAGAAAAGCAATACGAGTCTCAAACTCGATTGCATGCTGACAATCGTCCGGTGTCATCACACGAGAAACGCTTGTATTATGAAAAGTATTTTATGCCTTTATTTATTCTTTTAGAAATCTCTATATTAGCATTTAAATGCTATCGAAATGCTTTCTTCGCTCGTGATCAACAACTGCACTTCTTTCTCCATAAATGGTGATAATATTAATGTTCCGCCACGAAGAAAAAAAAAACAGAGATTATGCTTTTAAATTCCTTCGACAGCGACAGCACGTAAGTTAAACGCGTCGTAGATGCTTACGTGCAATTATAATAAAATGAAAGAGAAGAGTACACTCTCTATATGCGGTTAAACAAAAAAACGATCGGTGACAAAATTTAGGACGTTTGAGGGTCCGAAAGTGTGTACGTCTCTTTCTCTCTCTCTCTCTCTCTCTTTGCGTATTCCCATTGTGTCCCATTGTGTCATTTTCTATTATGTCTTCGAACCAAAGCATGATAAAGAGGAACCTCTCTGATTGTACTGTGAATGTTGAATAAATTTAGAACGTAATTAGCCTTAAAATGTGTCTGTGTACACGTTGCTTGAAGTGTATTACATACATATAGCGGATAACATCAGAATGGTTCTCCTTGTGTTCCACTAGTAATGTAAGTCTTTTAGCGAATTTCTCGGATGAGTTTGTACGTGCCGTTTAAAGGCGAACCGGCGTGAAAGCTTAACTGCAAAGTGTATTTTTTCATTTTGTAATCAGTTCGACCGACGTATATTCGCCTAGCGTGTCAAAATCCTTTGCGTATCTTTGGAAGAAGAGAAACGACAAAAAAGAGAAGGGACACATACTTAGATTATATACGTAGCCATTTTTTAAGAATAATCGGTAAATTCTTATACATATCGCTTATTTTATATTTTAATAAGACTCCGCAGAATTTCTTTTAAACGCGCGTATGTAGACTCATTATTATTATTATTATTGTTCATACCCTATGTGTTTGGATAATATTGTTTGGAGTGCGGCCCTCCCCCCCCCCACCCTGTACATTTAATAGATTTTATACACATATGCGCATACGTAGGAACGTTTTTTAGGTATAACAAACTGTTGTAAATTACAAAAAAAAAGTACGTACTTAACGCCCCTTCGTTTCGCAATGTGTTATAGTATTGTATAACGAAAAAATATGCGCATATATGCATATATTTATGTACATATACTTTATATGTACATATATATGCATATACATATAGTATATTGTACACAATTGTTAGATATATATATATAGCATATATATCTAAGGTGTATATATACATATATACACGTTGGATATGCATGCAATTATATGAATATATATATATATACATAAAATATCAGTATATATGTCGACACTCGTTTCCAGCTGGTCTGATCGGGTATTCTAATAATTATAACGTGTTGACCTGACAGCGATACGATTCGAAGTAATCTATATAGCCGAATGCGCAATCGCATCACGATCCGATTTATTGTACGATACGATGCAGATGTATGTCCATATATAATTTGTTAATATATATCGAGAAGTAAATAGATTTTACTAAAAGATTTCTGTATGCTGAGCAGCAGGTTTATCTACATACAATAGATAGATGTAAACGGAGGTAAAAAAAAAAACGTTGATAAATCGAAGGACGAGGGCAAATTGAACGAGTATTTATGCGCACGCTTTGTAATATAAATTTGTAAGACGCGCGATCACATGTCGTCCACAGTCTCTTTTTCTTCTTTCCGATAATACAAGAATTCATTTATACAAAGAAAAGAAAACGCCGCAGGCGCTTACAGACTTGTGTAATGTTTATAACAATTTATGCTTATATTATATGGGTCATAAGAGCAATCGATAATCGAGAAAGCTCGTCTTTATACGCCTGTACCTCAGTGATATCTAGCAGCTTATGTCTTTCTTACTGAATTTGTATATTGCATTTGACGATTTTCGGAGCAAGAGTGACAATGTCTTTAGATATATTTTCACCTAACATACTCGTTGGAACCAAAGATTCTTATTAAAAAATTATCCTAATTTCAATGATTATTAATTATCATGCCAAGTTCTTTCTTGCTAAATATTTTATAATTAAGTATTTTTGCTCGATACGAAAAGAGGAGGAACAAATTCCTAGCAGCATATCTACAATACGTTCACATTCTAATATTGGTATGCACAGCCATAAACTGAAATTAATCGAATGAGCTTGTCCATGCATACAGCTGTAATTTATCACTATACTCATTTCCTCGTACAGGATGTTGTAGGAAAGTTGGATGCTGTTTTAAAGGTTGCGTTTATCGGAGCAAGGGGAGCGATTTATACAAATATTTCCGGATCTCCCGAGTTGCGTTACAGAAAATTATTATGATCTTCACGTTTCTACGGTCGTCGTCATTGCAGTTTCGCTACTGCAGCTTCAACTTTTACCATCGCAACATTCCCTTTAAACAGCCTCCAAATATTTTCCGCGATACTCGACGTGTACGCGTCTCGTCGCGCGTAAATTAACTGAGCTCGGACGTTCATGTGCGTATTTTTCGCGATGGAGCCTAAGCGCGGTTGTAAACCAAAGTCAAGTCTCAAATGCATACAATGGAAAAATAAATATTTGGTGTGTCTCCCTTTGTGCTTGATCAGCTAACAATTCGTAACACACGCTTGTCACACAGCGTCACTGCCCGAGATTAAGTAGCGGCATTTGATATATCCCCACCCTCCGCGTAACACGTCGTATCTCACGTTCGTCGTGGTTTCATACATCTCGGCACGAAGAATTCTGTAGGAGGATGTATATTTCAGTTCGCCAGGAAACTTCTCGTGTCCCATTCGCGAGGCTTCGCCTCTTGCTCTCGTAATATACTCATTCGGTGGTTCTGCAAAACATCGTCCGGGTGATCCTATTTTTTTTTTCTTCTGGAAAACGCCCCGGTACGTTGTTACAATCTTATATGAAATAACCGGATGCGAGTTTGTATTCGAGCAGCGAGCAACAATATACACTTGGTACACTATAAATAGATAGCATAATAAAAAGTGAGAATATAATAAATGAATGGACCTGTACAGAAGTCTATTGTATTTATTATTATTATTATTATTATTGGTATAACGTTTACGCACACTTTTCGATTCTCGTCACTACGCAAATAAATTATTTGAAATGAAATACGAAGATGAATGCTTTGCGTATTGCGAGAATTGTCAATATCCCTTTACTAATTTACATCCATTAAATTTGCAAAATTAAATGTAGAATCAATCATATATAATATGGAACATATATAAATGATACTGATTGGTATTAACCTGAACAGTGTTAGAAAACAAAAATGCAAACTTTTTTATCCATACATTTTCATTATATAAATTTACTTCATTACAGCATTATATCTAAATAATTATAATTGACAGATTTGTTCTGTTTTATACGATTTCTTGTCTTGATTACAATGATCCAAATATAGCAGACTTTATTTGGAATTGTTTCGGAGTTGCTATTCCTTTTCTGCCATATATAAATTGAAAAAATAACAAAAAAACTATTCTCTATTCATACTATAAGCTATAAGCGATCTGTTCACAAAATATATTCATTAACAATGTTTTCTTAGTAAAATTACTCTTTTGGCATTGCTATTAAATTAATAACAAGTAACATCATGTTTTAATAATCTTTGAGAAGATTCACGAAGGATCATATCAGTTCTCTTATGTACGATTAATTCTACGAAGGCTAACGCTATTAATAACGGCCAACCAATCTGTTCTTGACAAATAGAACTTTGTGCGTGATACATATCTATTAATTCCGGTCCTATTAACACTTTTGGTTCCTTTGTTTTTATCACTTCCTGGTTTTCTTGCAGTAACTGTTCCAACACGTATCTCGTGGAAATAGTCTCGTTGCCCATTGCAAGTCCGTAGAGTTTTCGTAATACACTCTGCCGAAGTGTAAAGATGTTGTTTGCCACAAACTCTACTGTAGTGTCTGAAAAATTTGTGTAACAAAATATTCATATCTCAGATTTTTCCCCATACAATATATTACAAAAATATCAGCACGACGCAAGCACGTATCTTTCAAATGTTAATCATGGTTGCAGCTAGAAATCCTTACATTTATTTTAAAACGAATTTTTAATTCTTTTTATAAAGAAACAATTCTAAACAATCGATAAATTTTAATCGAAGCATTAATGCGATTGACAAAAAGTACAATTTTTATACCGTTAAATTTACTATCCAACATTGTCAGATGTGACAAAATGATAGCGCCTCTTACAGACCGCTGAACAAAGTTTTGATAAAAATGACGGTTTTGTATACGGCCCACATCACCGCTGATTTCTTGCATTATATACCGATCAGCCTTCGGCAGTTTTCTAGCAATTGGTATTGTCTAAATAAAAAAAAAGCTATAATGACAAAACATTTTTCTTAAGACGACAATTAAGATCACTAAACAATAGGTCATTTTTACTAATTGTAAGTGAATAAGAAAAACTTTTTAATGCTTCGATATTTACTGCTTGGAGTAAAGAATGAATATTTTCTTTCTTCTCTTTTTGTGGAAAAGATTTATAGGTCCACTGCAATACTTCGCAATTGCGGTTCAATAATGTCCAACTTATGATATCAGATCCTACGTATATGCCTAACACCGTGTTGACATCCTGCAACATATAGATAAAATATGGAACTGATAAAAAAAACTACATGGATAAGAAAAGAAGTTATTATATTTTTCAGGTAATCATTTTTTTAATTAGAAAATGAAGAATTTGGTCTCTTACCTTTTGATCAGTATTTTGCGGCGTTGCGACCAAGCCCTGCAAAATCTTTTTAGGCTTTTTCTTTTTCTTGCCAATAATAATTGACTTGTAAAAGTTATATACCCATTTGTTATTCGTATTTACTTGTAACAACTCTTCCCATGATTCAAATGATCCTTTATTCGCACGATACGATTCTAATTTCTGTGCACGCTTCTCGGTAATCGAATACCTTTGCAAAAATTATTTTAACGGTAACGAATGTTGAAACGACACTTTATAATACGTCATCGCGCGTGCAAGTTCAAGAAATTTTCTTACACAAACAGTTAACTCACTGTAGTAAATCCTTCACAGATTTGTTATTTATTACTCGGAGTATTTTCTCCTTTTCCTCTGGGGAGAGAAGATTCGTATCAAAAGTGTCAGTACACATGCTGTTTGTTTTAAAAACAGCTGTACTTAAGGTCCAATGCTTATAGATCTGTAAATCGAGAAATAAAACAGGCTGTTAAATTCTAAAAACAAATATTAAAAATTTTTTGAGAGAAATTGCAGAAACAAAGAACTTAAATTCTAAAGAACATAAAACTGACCTGGAAATATCATTGTAAAATTAACTGTGTTACGTACTCGTTATTAAAATATTATTAACTACTTGCCAAAGAAGTGCAATGAATATATAAACTCTTACCTGCACTCTTTGATTTTTAACAACTGTACTAAAAAATCTCGTCAACATTACGTTCCACATTTTGTTGCAAAATTATTGTCATAAAATGTTATACAGTTGATCGCTAATTGTGTTACATATGTTTAACATCTATGCATTAATACACATATATATTTAATAAATGTATCTGATAAATCCAATACAATTCAATTTGCAAGCAATGTAAATAAGTGTTTCCACACGTAAGTACTGTGCTTTGTGTCGGTATTATGGTACACTTTCTGAACCTGAAATCAAATAAATATATAAATTATATGTTGGAGAGAAGAGGAGAAAAGATAGTAAGTGCAGAAAGTTCAGCTGTAAAGAACAAAACAATCGACCTAACCTAACCTGATATGAAGATAATTCTGCTCATATTATATACACTTTACGCGTTTAAATTATACATTGCGACTTTCGAGGGAGAAAGCTGACAAGAAATGTGAACAGTACAGTCGAAATCCTTTCTGCACAGAAAGTCCAGCTTAAAGAACAAACCTAATATGTATTTTGTCAACTACGCTCAAGCGGCTCAAGTGTTCGTGCACGCACCGCCTGCACATCAGAGAATTTTACTACCTTGGATTGGCAACGCTGGGCTCAGCTGGATAACTAGGACAACTGAAAATTCAAATTCCATCATTTCCATCTGACTTCTCAGAGTCGACAGTCAACAAGTTCTCCGAGGAGGTGTTTTGTGTGGTTTCGCGCGTTGCCCTCGCAAAAATAATCATGCATCCGAATTCAGTCAGACGTAGATCGTCGAGCAATCCCGTGAGGATATCCGCGATCGAACGGGAGGACAAAAGCTTGACCCGGACCGATCAGCGACGTACGCAAACATTGAAATCGAAGGGCATGTCGATCGGTGAAGCCTCTCATATTCCCAGACCTCGCTTTAGGAGCTCCTCCAGCGACCGAGCGGGATCGCTCGGCAGAAAATCGTATTTGAAAGTGCCAGGTAAAGTATCGCAACGTAAAGGCATACTGAAAATTCCTACTTTTTCCAATTATTCGATACGAGTCAGCATAGAATGGAAATGTGTCCTTGGCTGCGTTCCACGCATGATGCGCATGATTTATCCTTTCATCTTTGTTTAACATGTGGTGAACAACAAAGATACTATGATATATCATGCGCATCATGCGTGAAACGGAACGCAGCCCTTGATAAAGTAAAGGTTTAATTTTATTTATTTACTGAATATATTCCGATTTCTATTTGAATCATCGGTAGCGTGCGTTTTTAGTCAACCTATATTCTATATTTTATCAATACGATAAATAAACTGTACCATTGCGATCTTTATATTTAAAGAGAATCAAACACATAGTACACATAGGATTAAACAGTGTAAATATAGCCATTTTCAATCTATGTATGTATTTGTACAGGTAGAACTCCACTACGTCAACCGACAACTCCAATCATCACCCCGACAAGAGTTTCCACTAAGCTTAATGTGCCAGGGTTGGTGCTTACAGCGAGTACCAGTAGACTTCACGTGGCCTCGTCAGTCGACCGTCGTCGATCGCCGTCTGGCGATCGTGCTAGCAGCGTGGGAGCTAAAGGTCCCAGGAAGGACACGAGGCCCCTGACAGATAAGAATTATCAGATGACTCTGCTAAACAAGATAGACAACTTCTTTTATGAGAATCAGGCCTCGACGATGCTAAACAGTAACGGCAGCTTGAAACCGATCACACTGAAGATGTTTGTGGAAGTTTCTAGCTTCCTACTGAAGTATCTTGAGGTCAAGCACGATCTCACGCTGACGAATTACATAGACGAGTTGCCGAAATGCGCGAAGAAGCTACACTATCCTGGCGTGATGACCAAATCCTGGCTGAAAACTGCCAATGCGATGCACTCGTGGCCCTACGTTCTCGGTTGGATTGGCTGGTTAGTGGAGGCGTGCCAGGTGAAAGAACTCGCGTTCAATAAATACCAACTGGATAGCTTGCCGTTCACGGGAACGAAGAAACAGGCTCAAAGTGCTAACATGGAGTTTCAAGCCCTGTTGGAATGCTACAGAGCTTGGAACGACGAGAAACTCGACGAGGAGGCGGAACTGTTGGAGCGATATCTGCAAAATATTTTAGTTCAACAAGGCATTACGGATGATGATATAGATCAGGCACACAAGGAACTGGAAGAAGAAGAAGTAAAGTTGGAGAGACACACCGAGGAGTCACAGAGTCTCGAAGAGAAAATTAAAGATAGACAGCAAATATTAGCGTCTTTGCGCGCCAAGGAATCCACGCAGTTGAACAATATTAAAAACATGGAGGATTATATCAAGCAGATTTCCGCCGAGACAAATCAATTAAATGCAGAACACGATGTCTTAGATGAGCAAATTAAGACGGGAAAAGCGCAATACGAAGATTTAATCTCGAAAGTAGAAAGTCAGCCCATGTCTAAAACTGAAAAGGATAACATTATTAAAAAATGCACAGAGATTCAAAACTACATACATCAATTTGATGAACATTTGAAAGATTACCAAAAGGAATTGTACACTTTAGATATTAAATTAGCAACTTCTAATAATAATCTCAATAAGACCATATTGGCATATAATAAAGAGGTCTTTATGCATATCGATAATGAGATTGGGGTGAATTTCGATGAATTAAGGCTGCCAGAAAAAGGATTGTTGAATCCGCAAATGATGGATATAATGGAAGAAAAGGCTGCTTCAATAAAAACCTTCAAAGGAATATTGATGAAGCAATGCAATGAGACAGAGTCTGTCATTCGTTCTGAAATCACGAAACAGGAGAGACTGGAAGAAGAAATTAAATCTTTACCAAACGATAACAAAATGAAGGAGGAGACATCTCACATTGATAAAATAAAGGAAGACGCGAAAAACGAGAAAAACAAACTTACAAAACAAATAGAAAACTTCAGAAAGGAAATTAAAGAAATGCAGGACATGCTGCCGGATATAAGAGCGACAGACCTCGAAATAGAAGAGCTAGAAGACAAATTAGATGCAGTTACGAGAAGAAAAACCTATTTAGAACAAGCTGCTAGTCGATTTTTTGAAGAATTTTACAAAGTCATCGGCGAAAATAGAAAAGAGCTTCATAATACTTTAACAAAAGACAGAACGTCGTAATATAATTACATGTATAAAAATATTGTATAATACTGAGAGATAAAATACCAGTATTAACTCATATTATTTGTATTACATATTCTATTATATATTATAATATGGTTCCCATATAAGTAAAATGTGCCATCTTATTAAAATATAATATGTACAAAAATTTGTTTATTTCAAATAAAGCATTTTATAAATATGTTTTCATCGCAGAATTTTCTTATGCGCGTGTATTTATGTACAAATAAAATAGATACACATTCTTATTTCGTATCTTTTTTCTCTCTTTTTTTATACAAAATGATGCAAATTCTAGTATGTAAAATATTTTTATTCTATTAGCTCTATATGTCATGACAATATGCAACTCGCCTTTTTTTTTCTTTTTCTTTTAAGGTAAGTTTTAACATCATCTGATAAGTTACACAGTTGAAACATACGTTCCTTAACTCCACAATGTATATGATACATTAATAGTTCATCAATAACAAAAGAGATATTAACGAACACTATATATACTACATACAAGAGACGTTTGAATAAAATATCCGCCTTTCGGGAATATTAAATGTATTTTACAATGACATTTCGCTCTTAAATAATAAATATGAATAATTGTTCTTCTATTGAGGAGTAACTTTCTTCTTTAATTAGCTTTCTATATAATTTCACTTCGAGCTTCAATGTTTATATTAAAAGTGTTTACGTCAAAATAAGTTTTGTTTGAAATATAATAGATGTATGTGTTATGCGGTAGAAAATCGTGCTCCAACTAAATATTGGAATGTGAATTATGTACATCTGATCTGTATCACGTCTGATATTTTAGAAGTCACTCCTCAACTACGCCTGAATGTTGTGATTTAAACCGTAGCTAGGTCCCGACTGCCATTTTCTTACTTTTAATATGTACATATGAAACATATTAATCAGTGTGCAATGTTGATTAAAATGCATTGAGATATTTAATACAATTGATTTTAAAGAATTTGCAATTTTTCCTAGCTTGTTTAAAAATTAGGTTTACAAATTATTCAAATATCTCTAATTTTTTTCACTAGCTTTACATAAGACAAAATTAACAAACAAAGAAATTTAATTTATTTCATATATTTGTGTGAAATTCTTAAAATTATGAGTTATATGAATTAAAAATGTGGCAACAACATGCAACTTGATATTAACTTTTATATGTATAAAAATATGATATATATATTAATTTTATCTTATGTTGAGCTTTATATTGCCTTATTTTTATATAATGTATATGCAATCGTATCAATCTTTTCGCTTCTTATTTAAAAAGGAATTAGCTTATATGCATGCGCTTAATGAATTCTTTCTTTGCACAATTCGATGAACTTTCTTATCGCAAACTACCACCAGATAACTATGAGATCACACAGTTACATACTGTAAAAATGTATCCTATTGCTGACTATTGCGAAAGGATTGAGAAAGAGAGAAAGATATATGCTATTTGTTTTTAAGTGCGATTACAAATAACAATTGATGAATTCATAGATGCTCTAGACATCCCCACGGACATACATATACGCACATATTCACATACACCACAATCGTACGCAAAAATAAAAAGTACCCTACATATATTTAGTAATTTTGTACTAATCTTTCGTATGCCTTAATGAGTGATTAACACCTCCAATTATTATTCGCATGAATAGAATAATATTCCGAAATTTGCCATTATATTAATATTGCCTATATTAATTTAACAGAAGTATTTTCAAATATAGCCTACAAATTTTTGACATCTTTTGTACATAAAAAAATAAGTTTTATGCACACAATACAAGTTTTATGTAATATATACAATAACCAGGGTTGGATTTAACTACTGCCTATAGGCACATAAATAGTGCCACTCAAAATAAAAATTATCTATTTGTAAATATATATATATATATATGTGTGTGTGTGTGTGTGTGTAAGTACATATTTAAAAAAAAATTTTTTTAATTAAAGAAAGTAAAAATTATTAAATATACGCAATACTTATTATTTCTTTGAAATATGATATAAATGGTATTTATTTTTATTAATATATTTAAATATATATATATGTATATATATATATATATATATATATATAAATACATTAATAATATATTAATAATATATTTACTTTATAATATATAATGATAAAGTTTTTTGGAAAATTTCTGTTCTAGGCCGATACCTATAGTGCCTGATAAATCCAATCCTGATAGTAACGCTAAAACCGTTAATTTCAAATTTTAGGCAAATAAAAAACTTTATTTTTATCTAAATATATTTGCGACTTATGTTATAAAATAACATAAACAATTTTTACCATATTACGTATAGACCTGTTCACTCTTCGCGTTTATTATTTAGACTCTTTGTTAGTACACGCCGAGTTCACTTAGAGTATTTATTATTATTTCGATGCAATCCTAAATTGTGGGATAATTCAACAGATTGCTGTTCCACACATACACACACGCACACACACACACACACTCTCTCTCATTTTATGCTTAAAGACTGTAAAAACCAGTATGCAAAATAGATAACGATCTTTTTGTTATTGTATGTACAGCTGGCAAGCTGAACAAGATATTTTTTGACGCATAAATATAAAATTTATCGGCTAAATACATAAATTTAACTCACGTTACTTCAACCAATTCTCGTAGATAATTCGTACATTTGTGGTTTCAGCGAACTAAATTTCCAAATTGTTGAATGAACAGATAAATATTAAAATATCATTTAGAATAACTATATCAATCAAAAAATATAAAATTGTGCAAGCAGCATTATATATACACGGGATATGAACGAAACACGTTCATCTGCTATTAAAATTATTGGAATCGTTATTATTCAGTCAGTACAGTCAATCAATACATAAGAAATAAGTTTTCACGTTCCATGAAACTTGCCTTTTATACTATACAATAAACTGAACACTGTTCAGGTTGAGGTTTTACGAGCGTTCGCGTAATTTTAGAAGCTCTAACGCATATAACACATGATTTGTAACAAAATAATACATGCTAAATCATAACAGTGATGAACTTTACAGACAAAATTGACTGTCATCATGATTAAGCATCCAATTAAATATCTGCATTTTTCGTATTGAAATATTTATAAATTCGAATAGTAAACCATATATAAATTGTCATTCTTTATATGTACGATATATTTCTCTAAATTAATTTACCCTTGCGAATTCGTAATTATATATTTTTGATCCTTGTAATGGTTCTAATTGAGCTATTTACATGGCGCGTTGTTTCTCCCTGTTGAGAAACACGCACTCGTCACATTTCGATAATCACTGGTACCGGTTCTCCGTGATGTCCGTTTATTTAAATACTTTGTCACACGTCGATTTGTATATCACTATCTTCCGCTTCACTTTCAGTACTCACGATAGCGTCCTCCCCAACTAACAAGGCAGCAGGCAAGTTCTGCGGTACATTGTCGATGTCTAGTCTCGGAGTAGAATACACATTTAACACTTGTATCGTTGTAGGAGACGTCGAGAGACACTGCGGCACAGATCCCAGAGGATCTCCACTTAACGCGTCGCAATCCAACGAAGTGGATAATTGTAATTGCAAATTATGAAGTTCAGGTATATGTGGACGGATCTGAAATACACAAGAGAATTATATGTAACACTTGACGACAGAATCAAGCATACAACGAACTTTAGTCCAACAGAGACGATACCTTTAATCCATCTGCCGTATGAGGATTTCTGCAACCTCTACATCTACACTCCACGCAAGGTTTACTTTCGACGTAACAAGGACATCTTTGACCGCAGCAGGTAAGTTTCCCAGGTATTGCGGTGGCATTACCACATCTGCATCCTTTTCTTTTACTTCTAGCGGAGCTTGACCTTGGCTTTTTAAAACTGCCCGAAGACTGCTTACAATAAAGCGTATCACATTATTGTCAATATTCATAAGGACATGTATTACAGATAAGTATTACAGATTAATGCAGAAGTAGTCATAAATTAAAGGCTAGAACGAATATTTCTCTTTATCGAGGATAAACAACAAACATCTGCATTAATCTTTCTTATGGGACCTAGGTAGAACGTAAGTCAAGATTTCTCTAAAACTAGTATTAGTATAAAAATAAGAGCAATAAATAATGTACAAAGGTTAATTAAGCTCAACTATAATTGTTAATAGATGCAAAGTCAGAAAAATTATTGTACCTTACAAGAAGTGTTAACGAAGGACGGAGCATCTTTAAGCATTGAAATAAAGATTATAGTGCAATGTAAATCCTGTAAGGTGTAAGATTAACCGAATATCTATTTGAAATTACTTTGCTGCTCTTTGAAGATTTTTTCTCAGAAGGGGTCCCATATTTAAGGTGGGAAGACGGAATGCATTTTACCCCTCCTACAGAGCCGTGCTGACTTCCATCTGTCTCCTGCTGCCCCGTGTTTTCCGTGTCCTCTGTAGCTGCCGCTTTGCGTTTTATAGTAATTTTATTACCAGACCCAGCGTACATCACGGAATATATAGAGGAGCCATTTGATACCGTACGAATCGTTGGCGATTCTAATGTGACAGTAAGAAAATACAAAGGAAATTATTCATGTATCACTTGCATGACAAACGACACACTCGCATTGTCATTAGTACAATTGCATATGCATATTTATTCGCAAGAATTTGAGAAAATGCCCGTTTCTAGGAGGGAGCATTTCTGTTCTACGTACCAGGTATACTTTGGGATATTGCCTCAGTGGTCTGAATGCTATTCCCCTGCGTCTGAGTGGAGGTAGTGCTGGTATAAACACACGGTAGGATACTGTACGCGGATTTGGACAGGCCGGCGTTGCTCTTGAACTCGTCCTTAAAGCCGGCACCCTCCTGAATAAGCTCCATCAGACTGGTAGCACCGATGGTGGACGGCGCGCCATTGGTGGTAGCGTTGCCCGCGGACGTGACGGTGAGCAGCAGGGTGCGGTAGATGTTGGTGCTGGTTAGGTACTCGCACAGCTTCTTGTAGCACTGCAACAGTATCCGGAGCTGAACGTTCTCCACGTATTTGTCGTAGTCCTTGCACCAGCCGCACGACGGCTTGAGCTTCTTGCGGCCGCCGCGACAGCCGCGGCACACGTGATGTTGACAGTTGGTCTCGGTCGGCGTGTGCGGCTCGATGAGCAGGTTCGAGCAGACGGTGCAGCTGAGGCTCTGCCGCAGATACGGCACCAGCCGATAGAGATCCGTCCAGGAGTTGGGGTCCTCGGCGTCCGCCTGCAGCACCAGCCGACACGTCGACACGTACAGGCTCGTTGCGTTCATCGCGTCACGCGCCACTCCACGCGTCCGGACTCATGCGAACCCCTCTCGCTCACCCTCTCACCCCTTTCGCGGGCACCGAAAGTATCAAACCCTAAATCTTACAGCCGTCGCCGTACGCTCCGCGCGTAACCATCCTCGCGCACACAAACAAAACATACGCCATATTTCGTCGGCGGGTTCCCCGCTTCCGCCGCGTTCCCACAGATGGCGCGTCGTGTACCTTTTCGGCGCGACGCGCGAAACGACGCGCGTTGACGTCACTAATCGCGTACATACGAAATGAGATGATAATGAGGAAATGAGATCAAATACGAAATTAGACGTGCGATTAAACGTGCGATTCACGTCAGTCGGATAATAGAAAATTTCTCTCTTATTTTCGAATCTTTTTATATGTGTATGCAAAATGATGGGATTTGCGTTTATATGAAATATTTCTTCGCGCGTTATTTTCGCCTTCGAATTTTGTTTTTTCTTTTTGATACTAAAAATTAAAATAATTTCCCAAAGTCTTAGCTAACGATAAAACGTGCAATTAATGCTTGGCAATGTTGAATAAATACATTTTTAACCCGTAAAGGACATCTCTCTTTTAAATGATTTTGTTTAACAAAAATTGAAAACAATTTACGTTCTTTTTTCAAAAATTTAATATTACCAATCGATTGATCAGACAATTTTATATGGAGAAACACATTTTACTTTAATTTTGCTTTTTATTTTCAGAAGATATACAACTTTAAAAAAATTCACTTGGTGCGAATTCGCACTCAGGTGTCCTTTATGGATTAATAAATATTATTTTGAAAGGAAAAATATTTTAAAAAGCGACTTCTTAGAGAACAATATATATTATAAAAGAGTCGTTCATTACAGCCTGGCGTTATCAATGAGATAACTTTACATCGTTAGTTATTATTTTCTGACGAAAGACAAAATTGCATTCTTATCAAACGGCACGTGCATTTATTACCAAGAACGCACGTAATTAAAAGTAAAAAAGTAACGCTCAAAACGCGAAGTTTAGAAATAAAATATATATACAAAATGATCAGAATGATTTTCTATGTTATCCTGAACATTACGCGAAGTGCCCTGCATTGTGTATCTCCGTGTCAATATTATTGGTGTCACAATATTACGTGCGAGCGGAAAGGAAACCTAAATATTACTCGCTTGTCTATTATCTACTTCAGCGAGGCATCGTCTTCATAAATATCGAGGACTGTCAGTCGAAGAGGTCGTCGCGAAATGCGCGGAGAAAGGAATTTATTTCGATAAAGAAAGAAAACTTACGGGATGTAACACGGTAACCAACGGATGATTTGCTTGCACAGTGCCGAAAGGAATGCAGCTCCGAATTGTTGTTACGTTACCGTTTCGCGAATTTTGTTTTCAAACGTCAACGTTACATCGCCGCCGAGACACAACTTGACACAACTCTGGACTGGACTTTCTCTCGTCCTGTCCATCGAGATGCGGTATCCGATCGTTACAGATGAAATTGAATCTGTGTGAAAAATGAATTCTAACGTGGTGGATGAAACTTGGATAATTTAAACCCAACTAAAGGTATAAATATGACTAAAATTAACTTTGCAATGAATATCATCAGCGAGGCGATAACAATACCTCTTAATTTGAATTTTAAATTATTATAAGAACACCAACTATTTATTGTAGAAAAATTATTGATATTGTAAAAAAATTTATATTACATATATTATTGAAAAATAATTAATGCATCATACATTATACGTTTGCGCGGCTACACACACATGCAAAACTTCATATATTAAATTTTAAGCTTGAAATTTTTTTCTAGTCCTACGTTCTACTCATTCTTTTTTTTATTTTTAATATGTTAAGAATCATTAGCGATATAATTGAATAAAATTTTAGAGTGGAAAAATTTTTATCTTTTAACATATCTTATCAGTAGACAGACAAATAATATATACATATATTTGATTCCAATATCAGCACAATTAATCATAAAAAGATGAAAAAAAATTGTCTTCCGTGTATTAAAATTTAGAATAAATATATTTAATGCAAACAATTACACTTGTAGTTACACTCAAGTACATATATCAAGTTTTAACACGAAAACAGCGCGCGTGCAACGTATGTACAATTTTTGACGCAAATGCTAAATGTACAGATGATTAAAATCATAAGTACGAGAATCCTCTATGATAATGTATAATGATTAAAATTGTGCATTAATGGGTTTTCACGAGAAGGAAAACTGAGGGAAATATCACGCTGACACACGCACGGATGCGCCGCTCCGTTCGTAACGTTTTCCACATTTGCACACGTCTCTTGTACACCTATTTGCTTTCCATGGCCCTTGGATTTTGCGGCCATGGCCTATCGCGCGGTTGGCTAGTTGGATAAGACCACCTACAGTACAATGTAGATAATTTGCCACTTTGTCTCACGATGCTCCCGTCTTACGTTCATCAATTTCGTCGCTATTCCTTACGCGTTCTGCATCACGCGGCCTTCGCGACCTGTTCCAAATTATGTAATATGCATCAGCAACATCTTTCTCTCTCGCTTACAACGCGTTTCAACGCGTCTGTTCTTATATCTGCCGAGTTTAATCCATAGAGAACCCGTTCTCCGCTTCTCTTAACGCTTTATATTATACATTCTTCGAAGTGTAGAGGGATAGTCAAGGTAATCGTAATACTTGATGCAAAAATCAGCATTTCTCATTGTTTATAGAACCGTCAAAAAATGATGGCGAATCTCGTGTGATAATCTATATCTTTGACGATCTATCAACAAGAACGAAATTATTAATTATAGTGACAAATAATTTGATAATAATAGATCTAATAACTAGTAAATAAAATCTAAGTAAAAACTGCTCGCTTACATCATGAACTATAATAAACCGATTACAGTGTACAAACTAGGAAGTTCTTGTAAAATGATCAAACGTCATCAATTGACGTGAGCTGGCAACTACCTGTTACTATAAGTGTTATACTCGTTTGGCGTTGACCTTACAGAACGGGGAATTCCCTGTTTCATGGGACTCTTGCCAAAGAAATGTGAATCGATATCCATACCGATATCAACTGTCTTATTTATAAAAACTATGCCGAATAAATATATCATCTGGCTCGGCGCCTCCTTTTTACTTCCGCCTCCATTAATCTCCCAATATTGGTTTTGTAATAGATAGGTACGATTCGATATCCGGGATTTGCATATATTCGTATTTTAATATAATAAAAGAATTAATCGATGTATTTTCATAAATTTAAATATAAAGGGATTTAATCTGTTAAAGATACAATCGAAAATCTTGACGGAAGTTTCGTCTCGAAAACATCTCTTAATCGTATCTTATCTGAAGAAAATGACGTGCATATAAAATGTATATCAGCATTTATCAGTAGAATCTAGATTTCTTATAGTGTCGGAAGTGTTTCACAATTAAGATACGAATGTCACCACGCTGCCTGTAAAATTATTTTAATATTGTTTCACATAAAAAATGATGCATAATAATTTTCAATATGTTAGTATCGCAGTGTTCACGGTCGTAAATAATTACAGATTATTTTTAATTTTTGATTAATTTAAAGATTAGCATAATTATTTTCAACAAACAGTTTCGTATACACAGAAATTTCGTTATTCGGCTATTTAGATTCATATTTCGCGAATATCTTTTACGAGAACCAGTTGTTGAAGATTAAAAATTCATCAAGTGTATTGCGAAGTCAACAAAGTAAATTATGACATTCTTCTTCCATTTCTTGCAGGATTTAGTCGGATTAGCGAGTATTTTAAGTAAAAAGATTCCTTATCAATTATTATATGCGCGTTTAAAAAATATATACAAATATTTACATTTCTCACTTTTCATTTGCGATTACGCAAGCTGCTCGATTGGCATCGTAAGTACCAATTATGGTGTAATATATTACGTAATTGCCTCATTAATTAATTCAAACATATGCTTACGTATATATGTATATACATATATATTGGAACAATTGCTCATACGCTTATCTGTGTACGATCGCGAAGTACGCGTTTCGTTTTCATGATCCGCGAAAACAATGAGTGATACTGTACACGACATGTGCACTTAATAATTTACGTATGTGTGTGTTTATTTATGGTGATGTGTACAGATCGATCCTATAGGAACTCATTCTTGGTTAATTAATTGCATTGATAAAAATAGAATTCATTATAGACAAAATCAACAAAACACGTCATTTCGATGTGCGCAATAAGATGCGAAAATATATATATATCTGATACGCTTTACGTATCTCAGGAAAAATATATATACATTTACGTGCATAAGAATTAAAAAGATAGGAATTCCGGTGCACTACTGTATTACAGAACTAACAGAATTGAATACAGTCTGTATCGTGATAAATTTTATCAATTGTTACAAGAATTTGATAAGAGAATGTCAATTTTGCCGAAGATATTCTTACTGAAATCTGCAAATCGTTTCGCTTTAACAAATCAATTCTTCTGCTATAATTTTGTGCTCTGCGAGGAATACTCTATAATCTATCTTTAATGGAGAAAGAGGGAGACTGAAATAATGTGAAATCATGCTGATGTTACGTGCGTGCGCATTGAGGTGGTGACGTGACGCGTCCAAATCCTTCTGGAATTTTACGAAACCGGTAACATACTTATCGCGCGTTCGGCGGGGTCCGGGTATTAAGTCTGATTTCGCCAAAGATAACAGCGATTTTTCTTTGAAATTAAACACGTAGCGTGCCGCGCGTTTCGTATTCGAGTGAGTGCGTTATCGAGTTTTCAAGACGCGTAACTCGACGTTTCTTCTTTTCCTTTTCTTCTCTTCTTCTTTTTCTCCCTCCTTCTTTTCTTCTCTTTTTTTCTTCTTGTCATCGTTACGCTACATTCTCATATATATATATCTATATAACAACGTATCTCAGGTGTCGGCGATGAACAAATCGCGAATAATGTCACGTCAATCGACAAGATAAGTCGGTCCACAAACATCAGCCATTATATTTACGAAATTATCAAACTGCGAATCCGAGACTGACAATGAGAGCTACGATGTCACGTAGCTGGTGATCCTCCGATTACGAAAGAATTGAAATTTGGTATATGCTGAAAGTAAGTGCGATTAACTATAAATATCTTAAGTTGTAGTATTTTATTCATCAGGAAACTCTCTATTCGATAAAATTAAATAAATGCGTTCAATAGAATATTCTTGGAAAAATTTATTCGTTATCATTGGCAATTTTTGAAACAAATTTAAATTATAATTAACATAATTAAATCACAATTACATATCATAAAAATAATATAGATTATAGATGATATTGCAATTTCTTTTGTATTTACAATTGCCATTTATAAATTACTTTATATTAATATAATTATTTAGTTTTGTGTAATGTGTGTATGTGTGTATGGAGGGGGAGAGGAAGGGATGTACGCGCGCTTTCATTCGAAATCTTTGTATTTTATTAAGCATCAGATTTCTTATCTTATTCGATTGATAAATTGTCTCTGTTTTTTTCTTATTTCTGCTTTTAATTACATTAATATATATAAATATATATATATATGTATATACATACACACACACACACGAGCTGTTTGTCGATAAAAGATGACTCGAATTTTGATTTAAATTTCAGATTATATTTTTTGCGATATTGACAAACAATTACAATTCTTTCTTAAACTTACATTAAGCTTATATAAATATATGAGTACTTTTTTAAATAAAATTACTACATATTAACGTAAAATTGTTTGCATTGATCAGGTCGCGATAAGTTATATAAAAAATCATATAATATATTCATAAATATTCTATTGTTTATTGAAGATATATGATTAAAATTTCGAATTAATTGTGTGTTATCGATTTTAAGCAGAGAAAACTGTTTTTAATCTAAAGTGATTTCTTCCTTCAAAAATATTGAAGAAGCTAATCGGTGTTTATCTATCTTTGCAATCTTCTTAGTCTTCTTAATTAAGCTCCAGTTCCGTTCGAGTAGAGTTCGCGCAAAATTATCTGAAAAATCTAATCTTATCGTTTGTTTTCTCATCTGTATAAAGTTTAATTCGCCGGAAGTCTTTTATTTTCAGGTATTAATTATTCAATCATAAAAACATATTAATTTTTTGTTAGGAGGAAGATATTGAAGATACACCGGGGCATTCGTTTCACGCATGCACCGCCACTCGTGTATCCGCTCGTGCACACGTGCACACCGGTCAACGAGCTTCGGATAACGAGTGGAAAGTCCACTGACGAATTCACTTTCGGGGAAAACTGTGGGGCACACGGTTATTGGCTGCAACGGACTTGAGCGGGGGAACTTGAGAACTAGAAAAGTGGAAAAGATCTGTGAATACCCTATGATCTCGTGTCATCGGCATCGTGTGTGCGTCTATACCTGACCTTCCAGGTAAGGCAAGAAGCCCCTCTCGTGGTGGCTACTCTCGTGTGGGGTATGCACGATCTCCACGCGGTCGGGAGAGGAGAAGACTCCTGCTATCATATAGAGAAGCGAATGGTCGCGACGCCGGTTCAGTTCTCTGTAAAGCGTCATACACGTAAAATCATCCGGTAGTGTGTCTTAGGTATCGCGTTTTTTTTTTGTTACAAAGAACGAGAGAAGAAACTTGAGTTCCATTCTCGATGTAAACGCACGCGTAGCATAGTGCGCCCGAATCTCGGCCGTAGCCAGGAGAGTTGAACGCCCGGCGACGCGCATCGCGTATCGGTTGCAATAGTGCGGATTAAATTTATTCTTGCGGGTTAGTGCTTTTCATCCCCCACCCCGTGATACCTCATCGTCTGGAATTATTAGTACGTGATTGAAACTGCAATGCGGTAAGGCGCGTTAATCTGCTTACATCTTTTTTCTCTCGAAAGAAATGATCGAAAGCACAGTAGATATTATTAAAAAATTAAAAAACACCCCCTTTGTCGGAGTATCATCTCATCGATTTAACAATATTTAAAAGGTCGACACACATCTAGAGCTCGTACAAATTGTTTTTTAATTATGATATTTAATAATTTATCGAATATAGCGATAATTAAATGTTAACTTTGTAGAATATTTTACTACGTGTACTTACTGTATGACTAATGCTCTTGGTTGTTACTCTAGAATTTGACTTGCTAAAATATCCTTGAAATTCCCAATCTTTTATAATGATTTCCACTACGGAAATCCGACAAACACCTTGAGATGACGTAATAGAAAAAAATTTAATTGTTGATATTTTATACAAAAGTCCATGGAAAATATTTTTATAATAAAAATAAACTGCAATCAATATTTTAATAATTATTAACAATAATGATATACGGATTTATATTTATAATTGTTTTGATATTTAAAATTGTTTCATCATCAAAAAAAGATGTATAGCACTGTAGAAAATTCGCTTGAAACGGAAAAGCTAATTTTTATAATAATAAAATGATGATTATTAACATAATTGCGGATAACAGCCGCGTCTTGTGCTGCAACGATGCAATACGTTGCGTCAAGTTGTGCTAAATGTAAAGCTACAGCACGTATGTCGTATATGTTGTGTTGTAAGATGCGTTAGGGATTTCAACATTACCGATATCGACGATTTCTCGTTGAAACATTAAGCGCAGTTTTACACGCGTCCATGTGGCAATTAAACGAAGTATATATATATCTCCCGCATAAATTGTCCATGCAATATAATTATAATATATTGTGTGCGTGTCGAATTTTATATTATAATATGCTTAAAATGAGAAAATGCGTTTGGATATTACGAATATTTTACGAATTAAGTTTATAAGATATTAAAAACAAAACAGATTTTACAATACTGTCTCAACGAAAATGTTCAGTCCCTATAAATAATGGTTAGTTGGAATTAATAGTTGAAAATAAAAGGTTTCTCGCAAATAAATTACGTTTATTTTAAGTAACTTGAAGTTTGCAGTTAATTAGATGATTTCGTACTATTTTATATGGTATATATATATGATATATTATTTTAAGGCAATTTGTTAATTAAAATATTGATTGTAATAGACATGATAGAGAGCCTTAGAAAATCGCTAAAATCGATAAAAGATGATTCTTGACACTTTGTTTGAGGAAAAATCTTATTGCATGTTGACTAAACGATCTTTAAAATGCACCAGAAGTAGGACATTCTGTACACGTGTATTATCTTACCATATAATTTTATCGCTATATTGACGTAAGAAAATGTACAGTCTAAATGAGGCTCGATCGTTCAAGCTGAACTCTTAGTAAAAAATAATCCTCACTCTTTAGTAATTCCCCACTTGGGAAAATCATTTACACAGGAAATTGTAACTTTATAACTACAATAATATCTCTGTGAGTATCTCTAAAGGTATAAAATATAACGCTAAAAAAGCTTACGTAAACAAGGTTATTTTTCTAATTAAAATATTGCGAAAAAAATTAAGCGATAAATAATTTTGTTTGATTAATATAAATATAGAAAATATTAATTAACTGTTTCACACACAAGAGAAATTTAGAAAAAACTGATTTAAAATTTATTTGCTTTGGCGATATATTCATACAAAATGATTCTGTAATGGAAAAAATAAAGATTCAAAATTATTTTCTAATTCATTTTTATTTTCAAAGATTATAAATTAATTTTCGCTCGACTCGAATCGATTTACTTATTTTTCTGTACGATTATACAATGCCTTAAGCAAATTAAAAACTCATAAACCGCTAAAACGTTGAACGCTTTATGCTCATGCATTACGTAAGGCAAAATGGACGTATATTTTTTAAATCTACTCGCTTATCTTTAGCTTGAATTATCTCCATAATCTTTAATAAAATTTTACAAATGTATGTCTGATGACTTTCTGAATTAGACTGCCTTTGTTACAGACCGAGAATGACAATCTGGAACGTGCTGTTTCTTCTGCTTCAGCTGGTTATTTTTAAAAGTCGATCGGGTGAGTGATACTTTTCGTTATTAATTTCATCGTGGCCTTGTAATTCTTGTGTGACATTAGGAAGTTTTATTTTTTATCGTATTTCCGTACATGCTTGGATGGTATTGACGTTTCTCTATTTAATATTCGAATTTTTATCTTGTAGTTATGAGAAGAATGTATTCAAACATTCGTATTCTCCACATTTTTTATTTAAAATAGTATAATAATTGGGCAATTTATAGCATAAATATAAAATAAAATATAATTCTAAAAAAATCAATTGATCAGCACTAATTACATTGATACAACAAGGATTTTGCTTCATGACATGTGACAGATTTCTGGGGCAGGTTTCTTCCCATAGATTATGAATACATAATTAAAAGTGCTCCAGCACGCCAGATTTTTTAGAAAAATCGAGTTAAAAAGTAAAAAAATGCATTTTTTAATCATTTTTTAAGTTATTTAAAAATGACATACGTTATAGGTATGCACTGTAGTTGATACGAGCTCCTCAAAAAATTGATACTACAAAAAAATTTTTATCATGTTTATCTTTATTTTACGATTGTATACGTAGTTACAACTAAGCTAAGCTAGTTTAAGATTCAAGGTCGAGCTTTCGTTCAAATTAATTCTCGAATTTCCATAACATCTTTTTTTTAACAATTTGGCCAGAAACACGTTTTTTACTTTTTAATTATTTCAAAAACCTAACGTGCTAAAGCATTTTTATTAATGGATTCGTAATCTACGGAAAAAAATCTATCAAAATCACTTGCCACATGCATGTCATGAAACATGAAGAAAGTTTAAAAATGTTGAACAGTGTTATTACTATTGTCTGATCTGCGAAAATTAGTAACAGAGAAGTGATTATTTAGAAATATATTATTTGAGAACCTATGTGAAAGTCACTGGAGAAATAAAAAAAATGAAATTTAGATAGAATCTTTTTTTTAATTGGCATTTATCGGATTTTAGAAACGATAATAACGGCACATAATGACTTCGGTCTGGCGCCGATTGATCCGGAAATCGCCGACGTCGTTGACTGGAAGCGTCACGCGTGTCGACGAACATGCAAGGATGGTGCGGCGCCTTTGGACTGCTATTACACTTTTAAGCTGGAGTATTATCACACGATGAGCAAGGCATGTTACGATTGCCCGTTCAATATCACAGATTGTTTTCGGCCTCATTGTGTCCCGGCGGATGGCATAAAGCGATCTGTCATGGTCGTGAACCGGCAATTACCAGGTCTGCCGATCGAGGTAAGTAATATCGAAAAACAAATTTCGTTATAGATTTTTGAATTTCTATTAGATTTTTCTTATCCTCCTGCTTTATTTACTTTGATATCATTTTTATTCATCATCTTTGTTCTTCATTCATCTGCAATTATTATAGAATTTTTATAGTGAAGTATTAGGAAATGAACATATGAGCAAATTTGAATGTTTTACTAAACTGAAGAAAGCTTACTGCCCAATTTAATTAATATCCACTTATTTTTCCGTTAAGCTTTAGCCTCCTGAATTTCTTGAATTTCGTGAAAATAATTAAAAATGATATTTAGAAATAATGTGCACAAATTTTTATCGCGATACTCATTTGAACGTTAATTAGTAATTTCCTTAGTCAGCGAGATTTTTTTAGTTTGGTCTATAAAATGGAAAAGTGATTCACCGCTTCGTCTGCAATCTTCCGCTTATAATTGCCGCTCGCTGTTGCTTCCCTGACGATTATGCAATGATACCACGAAAACAGCGCAGTGGGATTCACACTTGCAGAGATTCTATTCCTTACAACTTAATACACTTTGCGACGAGATGTTGTAATAATTGTTTAACGAGCACTCGGAGGAATTATCCGTGCGGCTATTATTTTGTTTGTCCACATGCATATCTAATTTGTTCGTCTCCTGTATCTTTGGATTTCCCTTGCAATTCCATCCCAGTTATTTAGATATAAAAATAGAATTCTTCGCGGTGTCTAGGAAGATACTGTAATTTAGTCACGCGAGTTATCTCGTTTTAATTACAAGCTATATCAGATACTCGCCAATATCTACGATCTTGTTATAGTGCGATCGATATCGCCGCGAATCCGCAGACCGCAAATTAATCACGTGAGAATAACAATTTCAGGGGAATTACTTTATAATTACAGGTATGCCAAGGTGACAGGATAATAGTCGATATGATCAACTTACTGCCTACGGAGAGCACCACGATGCACTGGCACGGTCAGCATCACGTCAACACACCGTACATGGACGGTGTACCCTACGTATCGCAATGCCCTATCCATCCTGGAGCGACCTTCCGTTACAATTACATCGCCACCGAAGCCGGCACGCACTTCTGGCATTCTCATTCAGGTGCGTTAAATCCTTTCTGTTGTATTCGCATATGATATTATCTGCTAAAAGTTTATGAAAAAAAATTACCGACTATTATCCACTTAATGCATAATAATATATTGACAATTCTCAACAGTAGTGCCATGACAAATTATAATCAATTAATAAGAAATAAAGGGCTATGAGCCAAAGCAGGGTGTTATATGCTCCAAGTAAATGTTTTAATTAAAGAGTTACATTTACTTGGAGCATATAACACCCTGCTTTGGCTCATAGCCCTTTATTTCTTATTAATTTATTATTTATTGAGCTGAAAATTTCAATTTAAATTACAATCAGCTGTTTGTAATATTTTGTATTGCATGTCTGTCTACAGGATATCAGAGAGGTGACGGCGTGTTCGGTCCATTAATCGTTCGTGTACCTCCTAAAATAGACTGGCACAAAGATCTGTATGATCACGATGAGTATACGCTAGTAATCGCCGATTGGATTCACGAGCTGGGTCTCAGCAAGTTCCTGTCGCATTACCACTCGGACGGTCACAACAAAGCGCCAAACTTGCTCATAAACGGTCTGGGCCGTTTTAATACTATTGAGGATGAAAATGAAACGCTGGCCGATATGCCTATTACGACGTTCGTCGTAAAACCGGTAAATTTCAGTCACAAGAGAAAGTATACTCGTGTATAACATAAATGCCTGACAGGTGTCTGTAAGACATTTAATTCCACTGTGCTATTCAGGTCTATTTCGAGCAGATTTTCAATGTAGCAACTGTTGTATTTAACGCTTTCAAAAATTTTAATTTTGTTAATCTCGTAAATGTGTATTTTCATATACCTAATGTAAAAGCCAAGTAAAATACTTTTATCAAAGAAAAAAAAAGATTAAAAATTTAGGGATTAATCTATTTTATCGAAGGGAGTCTTGTATATAATACAGTCAGTATAATTTTATTCTAACAATAAATGAATTATCTTCTAAGGTTTATGAAAATCATTTTTACTTTTTTTCCTCTTTTCAAAAATAAAATTTTTGATTTTTATTTGTTATTTATGCTTGCAGAATTTCCGATACAGATTCAGGCTTATTAATGCAGAGTTCCTGAATTGCCCTATAGAAATTTCTGTCGACAATCATACTTTGTACGTAGTCAGTTCGGACGGGCGTGATATTGAACCGGTACAAGGTAAGATTTCACCTCCACGTGCCACTATTTTTTCATAGAAATCATTTATTGCGTCATTTTTTAATAAGTATATATTGCGTAACGATTGCAGCCGAATCCCTGGTGAGTTACGCCGGCGAAAGATTCGATTTCATAATTGAGATGGATCAACCGGTGGACAATTATTGGATGAGATTTCGAGGATTGATGGATTGCGACGAGAGATTTTTGAGTGCCTATCAAGTCGCAATAATGCGATACGACGGCGCACTCGAGGAGGAACCGGCGGTAAATGTTTCGTATCATCGTGTAAGAAATGACTCCTATGGACTGGTACGTATACTGATGACGTTTTTATGATCTCTTTATAATGTCTTTCAATTTCAAATAGCTTCTGAAATGTTATTTTATTTTTATCTCGGATTTCTTTGGAAGATATTAAAAAAAACTTCTGATTTCAGCAAGTAAATGCTCTAAATGAAGGAACCGAATCGAATAATAGTATCAGTATGCCACTATTAAATGCGATGGACAACGACGACGCTTCGAACATCAGAGAACCCGATTATCAGTTTTATATATCGTATGATTTTTACGCAAAAGATAATCCGCATTTTCATCGCAAGGATTTGTATGGTTATCATCAAGGTAAATACATTCAAATTTGTATTTTTTAAAATAATTTGTAATAAAATATATAAAAAAAATTTTTTTAAAGTCTATAACTAATTTAATTATTGAAAAATATTCCACTCACTAAATGCCTCTGATTTTATTGTACATATATGTGTATTATAAATCATTATTATTGTTTCACAAAATATTTTGATTGCAAATTTTTAGTGAAACAAAAAGTGTTAACTCCGCAACTGAATCACATATCAATGAAGCTACTACCGTTTCCTCTTCTGCCCGGAAGACACCTTATTAAGCCGGAGCAGTTTTGCAACTCCAGCACGATCAAGAGAGATTATTGCGAGAATGATTATTGCGCTTGCACTCACGTGCTTCAAGTTAAGATTAACAGCGTAGTGGAACTAGTTCTGATCGATGAAGGTACGCAAGCAATAAATATCTCTTTCGTATCTCTAATTGTTTAAACTCCGCTTAAGCTTCACTGTAACCAATGATCCTTGACAGGCGTTCCGTTTGAGGCAAATCATCCGTTTCACCTTCACGGCTATCAGTTTCGCGTAGTGGCTATGGAGAAGGTAGGAGATAATACTACCGCCGATGAAGTGAGGGAACTAGATAGGCAGGGTTTGATACACAGAAAACTCAAACGGGCACCTCTGAAGGATACGGTGACCGTGCCTGACGGTGGTTACACTATTGTACGATTTCACGCCGACAATCCAGGTAAGACTTTGCAATAGCTTTCATGTAAACAGCTACAAAGTAAAAAATATAAAAAAATAAATAAAAAGAAGATATCAATGTGTGCCGGTAAATAATCGGGCTGATCATTAATACTCTTCAGGATACTGGCTGTTCCATTGCCACATCGAGTTTCACGCGGAGATAGGAATGTCGCTGATCTTCAAGGTGGGCGACGACAAGGAGATGTCGCCCGTGCCCAATAATTTTCCTACATGCGGCGACTGGAAACCGAGTGATGAGAACGAGCACAAAACAACGGAGACTAGTACAACTCCACTGACTGAAGGGAAGCAATCAAATAATAACAAACGTCTCGCGAATGTAATAACGCATTTCTCGGCATACATGGCGTATTTTGAGCAGCTTTTGAATTTACATACATCCTCGGCATCCAGTTCGAGTGTGACACTGCTGCTTTTTATCGCTTGTCTTTTGAGTTCTGTGATGCGCGTGCAAACGTTTTAAGACATCTGTGTAAACAACTCTAAAACTGACGTCACATTATACAAAGTATTTTACAGCAAATTTACTTTAATATGACCATGAATTTGCTGGCAAACGTTTTCTTCTCCTTCGCCATATTTCGAATAATGTGACAACCATTGCACGCGTGTGATATGTGTAAAAACGTGATCAACAATCAAATTAAAATATGTGCCAGTAAGAGACGGATATTTAGTCATAATTGAATATTACGAAGTATTAATATTTATAGGAAACATCCGTCCGCATTTTTGTTATCGCTGGCGGTCAGATAAGCGCAATCGCGCGAACTGACGAACTTTTGACGAAATAACGATAGGAATTTTAAACTATATATTTTATTTTTCGCGATATTGTGTATTTTATCTCCGACGAGCGAGCGGACGGTATGTTAACAAGTGACTTACATTTCTGTGATATATAAAAATTGATTATAATTATTCTATAATTATATATCAAATTGTCAATTACGCTATCCAGTAACATATACAATGTGTTCTAATTTAATTCTCATTAATTTCAATCGCGACGAATCGATTTTATTCGCATAACGGAATCAATGTATCCTCAGCAAAAATGATCAAGCGATAATATTTGTGATTCAGAAAAGAATTTATGAATTGAAGAGGAAAGAAATAGATAATGAGTTTCATACATAGATAATTTTTTTCTTGAATGAAATTAGAAGCTGCATTTATAAAGATATGTAATGTTAACGTATTGTCGCTGTGCATTTTCTTTGAGGAGAAATTGACTAAACTTCTAGTAAACCAAAGAATCAGTTATTGAAATATGCTCCGATAAATATGTCCCGATGAAAAACCATCGGGACTATCCTTGACAAATGCACTACTGTAATTATTACGAAATTGTGTATACAGTATTTAATCTAACATAATCGATAGACGATTCGTAAGCGTAAGTTATCAATTGTAAGGTTGTATTTCTTTACTTTGGATATGTGTATGTGTATTTCCATCAAGGAAACGTGTACCATTATTTTTAAATATATAGAGTATCTGTAAAGCTTTTAATTCTCGAAAAACCCTTTAATCAATGCAACACATATGATATATGTAATATTTTTGTAATATTTATAAGAATACTTGCGAAGTATGTAGCATTATTGATGCGAAATCCATTTGAATTTGAAATTTAATCGTAACTGAACATGCAATCTTAAATAAGCAAACAAAATAAATAAGTTTCTACGAGAGATTGAAGTTTAATTCAATTAATATTTTTATTTATAATACTCGTAAAGATATTTTTATTGTGTGTGTTATTCCTTCTATAAAGACCGTTTCTTCGCATATATATGTGTAAATGTAACTGTGCATCTGTATTTGTTTATACGCATTTATCGGAGGCTTTCTGGACGCCAGTCGGGTATTCCCCAATAGGCACTTCTACTACGCCACAATCACAGAGTATTATCCGTTTTTATCGAGGAAATCTACGTTATTATCTAGGCATATTGACAACGGCCGATCCGCTGTTTCTTTTCTCTTTGCTTAGTCTTTCTGCTTTCGTGTTTTTTTACATATATACGTTAATAACAACATTCAGGAGTATGTCATGCAATGCTCAAGGACGCTGTCATTTCTGTTGTAAAAAACATACCGTGCCCATATTCGGAAGCGAGGAAGTGGTACACACGCTTTTACAAAAGTTAAATTTGAAGCTCGTGGTAAGTACTATATGACACTATTACGCTGTATGCAAGCAAGACGGCATACGAAAGATAAATAAATTGCAAGCGAGTATCAATTATCTCTATACAAGTTATTTTGAAAGGATTTTCAAGTGTTACTCATATATTTTCTCAGGATACAAATAAATGTTACAATAAATATAATTGTGCAATAGAGAGATTTATTGAGCTATTGATAACTATTAATTTTTGTAACATTTATTGTATTTATATATTTATCATTGTAATATTGATATTTTTTAAATGACTTGTAAATTATATCACACTGTAATTATCTCTAGAAATCATAAAAAATATCGCATATGCTAAATAAATATTTATATATAGCATAAAAATAAATATAGCATATTTTGCAGCATTTAGAAAAATCGGTGGGCAATCAAATTTATATGTTCATTTGTCTTATTTCATTACATCTTATGTATAAAGAAATTTTTCTGATTTTAGTACTTTGCCTTTGTCTGTATTTAGGTTTCGAACACAATTTGTTCTCCTTGTATTATTACACTCGAAAATTTTTTCAAAATGAATTTTCCCGATAAACGTTCGCCTTTTGAGGAAACAATCATCAGGAAAGGTCATATTGAGAGTCCGACGGGCTCTGCCTACCCGAATACCGATCATTTAGAGATAATGGAAAAGTCGCAAGTCAACGAAAATTTTCAAACTAAGAGAGCCACGAAAACTCACGTTAAAGCCGAAAAAAGCGACGATTCTAATAATACAGAAAATAAAGATGATGTCAACAATTCGCAAGTTCGCAAAAACACCGGAAATATACGAAAGAGACAGTTAACATGCGAGTTTTGCCAAAAGAAATTCAATCACGCGGGAGATCTCAACAAGCACCGAAGGAAGCACACTGGCGAGCAACCCTACGCATGTAATACGTGCGAACGGAAGTTCACGACGTCGTCTAATCTTGTTAGGCATCAACAAATACATCTCGGTATAAAGCCGTTCTGCTGTCAGATTTGCGGAAGCACTTTTACCCGAAAAATCAAACTTTCCGCCCATTTAATAGCAAAGCATCACAAAGCTTTGAAATCTGATTAATCGACAGCACAATGTACATAATTAATATAATGTAAATTATAAAGAAATATACTTGAAAAAGCAATAGGCTATAACAAAACATAAGAGTTAATAAAATAAGATTATTGTATAGGAGAAAAAAAAACTTTATGTTATGACATGTATTAGCCTCTTAAAATTATAGAGTGAGTTCTACAGCTGATTCGCTGTAATGTAATGTTTGATTTGCTTGTGCAAGATAGACTATTTTATAAATCTATATAAAAATGATTTTATTTATTTGATGATAGTGTTTGAACAACAATATATACCATATAACTATCTTCCTTGCTATATCTTCTCTAATAAACATAAATAAAGTTGTTTAAAAAAATGTTCGAGTACATTCCTTTCGAGTTATATCGTATATTAATGATGATCTGAAGAATACGTAAACTTTTTCCATAAAAATAAATTACTTACTAAAAAAAAATGTACATGACACTATACATTAGTATGCACTTCCTGGTTGGCTGTCATTGAGTAAAGAGTATACGAGGCGTCCTTCTGTGGCGGACGCTGCAGGGGATGCGCCAGGAGTTTCGCCATATTGTCGTGTATCTTAGCAGCGTTCCTGCCTACCTCGAAGATATACGAGAAACTCGTTGTGTCCAGAGCCGCGATTTCGGCGTACACCGCCTCGCACATGTTGTCGTCGCTGGGCGGCTCGTGGGCGAACAGCACGTCCAGGAAGAAGTACGGGTTCTCCGTCAGGTTCTCCAGAAGCTTCTGCCCGGTGTGGAACTTGGGGACGGAATTCGAGCGTCCGTAAATGAGGATCACGCGCGAGGTGAACGTCGGCTGGCACCTAACCGGCGTCGCTATCCGCGTGTGTATCACCTCGAACAGCAGCCCCAGGTCGCAGGTCTTCCGCTCCTCGTCCGGCACGTCCTCCGCGATGCCCTCCAGATGATTGAGAACGGTCTTCGTGTTGCTGGTGTAGTCGCAGAGCCAGGTAGCGCCGCGCGAATCCAGGCTCATCAGCGCGTACTCGTGCACCCCGGGCTGTATAGTGGACTTGGCGCCGACGAAGTTCTCCACCACGCGTTTTATCATGAACAGCGGCGGATACGTCGCGCCCGTGCCCAGTTTGAAGGGCGTGCACTGCTGCTCCCTCACCGTGTCGATGACAAATAGAATCTTCTCGGGTAGATTGAGCTCGGGCACGTTCCTCACGAAGACGTAATCATCCGCTGCGGTCGTAGTGATGGTGGCGGCGGCGGCGGCGGCGGCGGCGGCGGCGGCGGCGGCGGCGGCGGAGGCCTTTTTGCTATCCGCAGGTTGACGCGCCGTCGCATCGTTATTATTGTTTTTATTTCGCGAACTCTTTCCCTGCTGCTGCTGCTGCTGTGGCTGAGCATTGTTGTACGCCGGCTCGTTGGTCGTGACGGTCTGGAGCCTTTGAGATATCACCTGGATCTCGTCGTTCGTCGTCTCCTTGTCTGACATGTTTATTACTCCACGAGTCGCGGATAAATCTAACCTCTCTTCGCGCCGCTCGAGATGACAGTCCGCAACGCCTCGCCTCGATCGACAAATGTCTCGAGTCGCTTCGATACAAAATTCGGAAGCTTCACATAGCGCGTAAGTTTCGCACAGTGGTGGATAATTAAAAATTAAACTATGCTCCTGACAACGTTAACGTCAAAAACGGATCTAACCCTCGAAATGACCCAACATGACAGTGATGCGCCATCAGCGCCATCAGGAGCAAATCGAGAGAAACTCTTCGGCGCAGTGGCGCCATCCAACGACTGCAGTTTGCACTTGTTGCGCGAATACTGCTTTTGCTACACATGTGTTCGCACGGGAGTGCTAACCTCGCGTCTACGATTTTAAATTTTAATATAGCTACGATATCACACAATAACACGGGAAAATGTCTGTGCCCGACAAAGTGTTGATGCGAAAAATTAAGAAACGCGAAAAGACGAAATTAAACGTGCTGAAACGCCGGGAAGAACAGAAAGGTAAGAGCGTGCGAACTTTGAGGTTAAGATCTCTGAAAAAGAGTTGCTAATTTGCTGATAGTTATCTTTAAAATGCGTCCAATTTTAATTATTTTTCAGCTAACAGAGCAATTGTTAATTACTTATTAAAGCTAATGATTTTTTTACTGCTTCGTCTTTCTGTTATTTATTTTAAACGAGGTCTGTTTGTCACGCAGATGCAGTTGAATCGGCAGAGAAAGCAATTGAAATAAGTCAGGAGCACACAGAAGACATTCCTCCAAGAAGTAACAACTTATTTTAATCTACGTTTTTGTAGTTTAGTTATTTTTTTGGATTATATTCTTGATCATACATTTCAAACATTCATATTTTATATAATCCGTTTTACTGAGATAAATAATAATGCATGCTGTGTTTGTTAGTCTTATTTTCTATTTTATTACATGATTATTAATTATTAATGAAAATGTCTCTTATTTTAGAAAAAGGAAATTTTAAAATATCTGAAGAAAATAAAAAGTCTGAGATAACAGAGAAATCTTTGACCACTGAAAATTGTATGTATTTCTAATATGATTCTAATTGTTGAATGATACTTGTATTCTGTCTAATATTATATATTGCTATATTTTGTTTACAGTACCTGGTACAGCTGTAGGTTTTGAAGTGACAAGCGATACAAGCTTCTCGGTGTTGAATGAAAAAGTATGCGAGAATACATTAAAAGCAATAAAGGATATGGGTTTTACAAATATGACGGAGATACAAGCAAAAGCTATTCCTCCTCTTTTGGAAGGGAGAGATTTGGTTGGCGCTGCCAAAACTGGATCTGGCAAGACTTTGGCGTTCCTGATTCCTGCCGTTGACCTGATTTACAAATTGAAGTTTATGCCGCGTAACGGTACGTAATCTCAACTCTAATCTACGTCAGAATGGCAACGAAAAATCTTATTTTGTGGATAATTCTTATGTATTTATTTTAATGTAAATAGAATATAATCGTTTGCATATATCGTATCATTTGTCTTTATAATTTTTATAGGTTTGATAACAGAAATCTGTACAATATATTTAATAGCATAAAACTGTTACATATATTTAATATATTTAATATTGTAATTATTCCTATCTTCATCTTCAAGTAATAAATAAAAATAAAAATAAATTGGTAGGATTTGTAGAAGTCAGTAATAAAATAAAACTGTTTTTCGATTTTAATGATCTAATCATATAAAATCAACAAGAATGCGATATAACAAATAGATATTTGCAGGTACTGGATGCATTATTATGTCTCCCACGAGAGAGCTAGCTATGCAAACTTTTGGAGTCTTGAAAGAATTGATGAAATATCACTATCATACGTACGGTCTATTGATGGGTGGTGCTAGTAGGCAGACCGAAGCACAAAAGCTCGAAAAGGGAATCAATATTATCGTGGCGACACCGGGGCGATTATTGGATCATTTGCAAAACACACCTGATTTCTTGTACAAGAACCTGCAGTGTCTGATTATCGACGAGGCCGACCGTATTTTGGACATCGGCTACGAAGAAGAGTTGAAGCAAATAATTAACATTCTTCCCAGTTAGTAAATCCTGTGAACAGAAATGTGAAATCAAATTACATTTTTTTCATCCCATTATCATGTGAATTATTATTGCAGAGCGCCGACAGACCATGCTTTTCAGCGCGACACAAACGCAGAAAGTGGCGACGATAACAACGTTGGCTCTCAAAAAGGAACCTATCTACGTGGGGGTCGACGACGACAAGGAAATGGCGACTGTCGATGGCTTGCAACAAGGCTACGTGGCATGCCCGAGCGAGAAAAGATTTTTACTTCTCTTCACCTTCCTCAAGAAAAACAAGCAAAAGAAGATAATGGTTTTCTTCAGTTCCTGCATGTCCGTTAAATATCATCATGAGCTCTTGAATTACATCGATTTGCCAGTAATGAGTATTCATGTAAGTTATCAGATCTCTTTCTGATCGTTTTCTGTGATAACGAGATTCTCTCCCGACTTAACCTTCGCGCTCTCATCGACAGGGTAAGCAGAAGCAGACGAAAAGAACCACGACCTTTTATCAGTTCTGCAACGCTTCCTCCGGGATTTTACTTTGCACCGACGTGGCCGCGAGAGGTTTAGATATACCAGACGTTGACTGGATTGTGCAATTCGATCCGCCGGATGATCCCAAGGTAAAAATTGATGCGATATTTTACCTTGTGGATTACCCTGACATTTGAACGAATGCGGATTCGCGTAATATTGAACTATGCAATTTTTAGGAATACATTCATCGAGTAGGTCGAACAGCTCGCGGAGAAGGCAGTAGCGGTCACGCTTTGCTGATATTGCGACCAGAGGAACTTGGTTTTCTTCGTTATCTCAAGACCGCTCGTGTGCCCGTGAACGAATATGAATTCTCTTGGAATAAAATCGCTGATATACAATTGCAAGTACGTGCGACATACATATTATAATCTTTTTTTCTAGCTTGTTCTATAAATTGTTTTTTAAATTATAATTTTATTTTAATTTAAGATCTGCAGATAGAATTAAAAAATTCCGAAAGATACAGAAAAAGATCTATTGTAATTGTTTTTTAATAGAAAAATCGAATATAATAATTCCATTAATTTAACAAACATCTCTACACATTTCAGAAGTGAAAAATAAAATACTGTTTGTCTTCTTTTAGCTTGAGAAGTTGATTTCGAAAAATTATTTCTTACACCAGTCAGCGAAAGAGGCGTTCAAGAATTATGTTAGAGCGTACGATTCTCACCATTTGAAACAAGTTTTCGATATAGAGACTTTGGACTTGGCAAAAGTCGCTAAATCGTTCGGATTTACTGTACCGCCAGCGGTAGATTTGAGTAAGTCCTTTTGACAATAGATTTAACATTAAGTGCAAATACGTTTTGCACAAGTTTAATATCTTTAAAGTTAATTATTTACTAGCAACTCTTCATAAAAATAAAATAATTTAGCTTTTTGTTTTATCTAGCATGTATTGAGTTGATGAAAATTAGTTTGGTGTTCCTTCAATCTATTCTGATAATTTTGTTTTATAGGCTTTAGTCTGTTGGAACCATTTTAAGATTTAAATTGTACATACGTAGAAATTTGAAAACAGCACAAATATCATAAGTCTAACATCGTTTTTCTTATTTAACTTTTCATTCGCATATTACAGAAGTGGGGATCAGCAAGGCTTCACGACCACGAAAAAGGCTCGGTGGAGGCGGTTACGGACACTTTAAAAATATTAACGATCCGAATTCGGCAAAGCAGGTGAAGCGCGCCAAGACCTTCCGCCAAGTAGGCAAACGTAGACAAGATAATCGGCAATTCACTAGATGATGATTATCCACGCACTTTTTACACGCATGGATAACAGACAGTATCCAATGTGTCGCATAGCTAAGAATCGTTAGGTATCAATGTATGTACAAATACGTTTATACTGAATCAGAAATGCTATTTAGTTGAGAAACTCGTTCTTGTATTCGTAATTCATTCAAATATTATCTGATTTTTCTATTTTTATTTAAAATAAATAATTTTAAATAAAGAGCTTTTAAATGTTTAAAGTTTTCATCTCTCACCTAATTATATCCTCCCGATAATTTGTCATTTTGAGAATAAAAAAAAAATACGCGGTACGTAGTTCCTTTTTTGAAAATGTGGACCGGGGGCGCTGGTGTACGGGGGAGGGGAGATTAGAGTGTACATGGTGTAAGTCTTACACCATGAGAGTGTACAGAGTGCAGTCACAGGCACAGCACAACAGTAGTTTGTGTGGTATGGCTTTTGTATTCTGTATTTTGTGCTTTATCTTTTTCTCCGAATACAAAAGTTGTATATAAATAGATAGAAACATGAAAAAAGAAAAAACGGGTGATAATAGCCGCCCCTATAAATTAGGTAAGAAAACCGAACGCATCTTCGGATGTCAATAATCATCGGGTTATGTTTTTGTTGATTGTTTTGACATAAACTTTTGTTAATGTTTGTTAAAATTTTATTTATTTGTTCCGTACTATTAATTATGATCATCTAACAGAAGATAATGCGTATAATTTCACGAGTTTTGGAGAATAAGTGAAAATTTTTGATAGGTTATGTTCCACAAGTTAGCTTTATGTATCAATTTATGTACCAAGCTGCCCGTTGCTTTTTATTTTTATTGAAGTAATTAATGTCTTTCAATGCAATTTGTTACAGCTCATCAAATATTGAGCTTAACGGGGATAAGCTTTCAAAGGAAAAGCATAATTGGTTTTGTCGAGTTGACGATTATACCTCTGCGAGACACACTGAGGCTGGTGAAGCTTAATGCCAAGCAATGTAGGATATACAGAGTGTGTTTAAACGACACCTATGAAGCACCTTTCCAATATTTTGATCCGTTCCTGGATATCTGCCAAAGGGACAGTAAACAGTAAGCGCATTTCTTCTCGATAACACAATATTCCAACTTGATATTCCAGGTTGTTAATGGACTGATTATATCAATTTTGTTATAGACGGTCCCTGGAGTTTTTCTCTAATATGCATCTGGCGGCAGCTCAGAAAGTCGATTCCGACAACAACGCCGGCGAATTAGTAGTTCAAATACCACCAGAAGCAGCACACTTGGTCGCGGAAGGCCGAGGATTGAGGATCAGCATCGAGTTTTCCTTGGAGCAACCCCAAGGAGGTGTGCATTTTGTGGTACCGAATTGCGAAGGAACTTTAGCCGAGGTAAGTTTGGCGTATTGTAACCGAAAGGCCTATTTTTTCAGCTGAATTTTCTTTACATTGAAAAACAAAGAGAAAAAAAATGAACGGAAATTCAGTTAAAAAGAACCTAATATTTTATTGTGTACTCCAAGATTACAATGTCATGACTTATTTAGAATCCAATAGAATTTGAATTATATTTTATAGATTTCCAGATGCTTATTATATTCCAGTAATAATGTCAATTTTTTTTCTCCTTTCTTCATAAGGAACTATTTAAGTCGCAATAAACTATTCATATCGAGCAATTTTAGCTTTATACTTATAAAATTAATCTGTAAATTCTATATAATATATAATAACAGTGCAATAGATTCTCAAATTATAATGTTTTTCATATGTTTATAATCTTTTTTCAGAGAGGTGCCCATATGTATACGTACAGCTATGAAAATTCATCTAGATTGTGGTTCCCATGCGTAGATAGTTTTGCTGAACCGTGTACTTGGAAATTGGAATTTACCGTTGACGACTCGATGACTGCAGTTTCCTGCGGCGATCTGGTCGAGGTGGTCTACACACCTGACATGCGTAGAAAAACCTTTCATTATGTGCTCAACACTCCCGCGTGTGCTCCAAACATTGCGCTAGCAGTCGGGTAAATAAATAGAGGAATAAATAGAGAAGCGGTTAATAAATAATTTTATTTTTTGTAAATGTGTAAATTTTTCTTTTTCTACAGACCTTTTGAGATTTTCGTGGACCCTTACATGCACGAAGTGACTCATTTCTGCTTGCCTCAACTTCTGCCTTCTCTGAAAGTGTCCGCGAAATACATGCACGAAGCATTCGAATTTTACGAGGAAACTCTGTCGAATCGATATCCATATTCCTGTTACAAGCAGGTCTTTGTCGACGAGATAGACGAAGACATTAACGCCTACGCCACTATGAGCATCTTAAAGTAAAATTGATCACTTTTATTTTACAGATTAAGCTCTAGTGCTATATTTGCTTATAACGATTTGTTTGCTTTCAGCACGAATTTATTACATTCTACTGCAATTATAGAGCAAGTGTACATTACTAAGAAGGCGATGGCACAAGCGATTGCAGAACAATTTTTTGGATGTTTCATATCTATGCAGAATTGGTCAGATACGTGGCTACCTAAGGGCATCTCCACGTATCTAACGGGGCTCTATGCGAAGAAATGCTTCGGGAATAACGAATACAGAGAGTGGATTCAGTCTGTAAGTACTTATATGTCACAGTATGTCCATATACATTGCTCTTTTCAGCTTGTCAATTATTTAATTCTCTCTATTTTCGCAGGAATTGCAAGAAGTCGTGAAATATGAAGAGCAATTCGGTGGTATAATATTAGATTCATCTCAAGCACCAGCACCATTGCCCATTGCGGCCAATACCCCAGCGCCTGCTCCCCGAGCTCCCGATCCTGGATTTTATTTCCCTATTAAAAATCTACACACCATGTCTCCGAAATATATTGAAGTCCTCCGCAAGAAGGCACATCTGATCATGAGAATGTTGGAACATAGGATCGGCCAAGAATTATTGCTTCAAGTAAATATATTTTCTTTTCCACTCCAAATGTGCAACAGTGAATTTTGAACTGCCAACATTATATATTTAACTTTTTTTTATAGGTATTCAATAAACAATTGTCTCTAGCGGCTAATGCCGCACAACAAAAGATCGAGTCTGGTCTGTGGTCGCACATGCTGATTAGTACGAACGTATTCGCTAAAGCGATCTTTACGGTGACAGGAAAAGATATGTCAGTATTTATAGATCAGTGGGTGAGAACGGGAGGACATGCGAAATTCAGTCTGAGCTTCATATTTAATAGAAAAAGGTACATTTTCCCATTTGAGTTTATAGTTGCATCTATAATTATTTTATATATTATAAAAATTAAAATAACACACACGTTACAGAAATACCGTGGAGTTGGAAATTAGGCAAGACACTACGCATCAAAGAGGAATTCGGAAATACGTAGGACCGTTAGTAGTCAATATTCAAGAACTGGACGGTACTTTCAAGCACACGTTACAAATTGAAGGTACCATGGCCAGAGCGGACATCACGTGCCACAGCAAAAGCCGCAGAAACAAGAAAAAGAAAATTCCCTTGTGTACCGGCGAGGAGGTCGATATGGATCTCTCCGCTATGGAGTAAGTTCATGATTTTTATTTAATTTTAAACTTCGGGCAAGTACCGTAAAACATCGTAAAAATCATTATCCAATTTCAGTATCTTTAAGAAAAATATTATTTACAGTGATTCTCCAGTATTATGGATCAGACTTGATCCCGAAATGACAATCATGCGCGCTGTGCAAATCGAGCAACCTGATTATCAGTGGCAATACCAATTGAGACACGAGAGAGACGTCACCGCACAATTGGAAGCGATCGAAGCTTTACAGCACCATTCAACACCTGCCACTCGATTAGCCCTGACCGACACAATTGAGAACGAGCATTGCTACTACAAAGTCAGACTTCGCGCTGCTCATTGCTTGACAAAGGTCAGCCATTATTGAATATTGATTTGCGTTCGATTCAATTTTACAAGCATATACATAATTACAGGTAGGTAACGCGATGGTAGCAACTTGGTCGGGCCCACCAGCAATGTTGGCCATATTTAGAAAGTTATTTGGATCCGCGTCGTGCCGGCGGATTATTAAGCAGAACAATTTCTCGAATTTTCAACATTATTTTTTACAAAAGGTTCGTGCGAGTCAACACTTGTATCACATCAGAATCTGTCTAGCTGGTCTAGCAATATTTTTTTCTTGTTTACTAAATTCTTGTATATCTGCGCGTTTAGACTATACCAGTCGCAATGGCGGGATTACGCAATGCCCACGGTATCTGTCCACCGGAAGTATTAGCCTTTCTAATGGATCTTTTCAAGTACAACGATAACAGTAAGAATAGATATTCCGACAACTATTACAGAGCCGCGCTAATCGAGGCTCTTGGCGCGACCGTTACACCGGTTATCAGCGTGCAACAAGGGTATGAACATCCGAATTTTACTTAGAACTTACTAGATAACAATCTGACGAAAAAATAAATTTTTTAATGTGCCATTACAGAACGGCTATTACGGCAGAATCTTTATCAATCGACACAAAGGCCATTTTGGAAGAAGTCACAAGAAACTTGAACCTAGAGAAATTATTACCCTGCTACAAGTATACCGTCAGCGTAGCGTGTCTTAAAGTTATACGTATCCTTCAGAAGTTCGGCCATCTTCCAAGCAATCCTCATCTTTTCAGAGCGTATGCAGCATATGGACAATTTATAGGTAAGATTTTAGATTTCGATAACAACATCGGTATGTATATATTCTGAATTGCCAAAATTCTTGACGATGAATTATCCTTTTCCAGACATCCGAATTGCAGCCTTAGAAGCGTTGGTCGATTTTACTCGTGTGGACGGCAAGTGGGAGGATCTGGAATTTCTATTAGATATGGCGGAAATGGATCCACATCCTGGTATACGCCACAGGCTCGTACGACTAATGGTGGAGAATCCGCCGTTCGAGAGAGCCCATAAACATCGCTTGGACAAACCGGATCTAGTTGACCGTATATGGAACTTGATTAAGTACGACAATTTTTTTAATCCTCCTTGTAGATCCTTTTTTAATGTCTCAATTGGTTAACATATAATTTTGTTTATAGTGGCATGCTGTCGCACGATGCGAAGTTACGCTGCGATCTGGTTGACTTGTATTACTCTTTATATGGTACAAAAGTCCCATTTTGTCTTCCCGTTCCCGAAGTTATGGCAGTTACAAAGCCTAGGAAAGCCGGCCCGCCGACTCCAGAACGCGAAGTAAGATTTTATTATGTTATTTATATCTGTTACACGATTGTAAAATTTTCTTTTTTTTTTTACGACAATGTTCTCAACCCTGCATATTCTGTTCAGGTGAAAGCTGCACCGGTGCAACATGTGAGACACGAATCGATCGAAGAAGTTGAAAACTTACCTGTCTCGAACAAGAGGAAACCATCTCCCAGCAAAGATCCTCCGGGTCCCTCAAATCCAGTGGAACATGGTCCAGAACCAAAACGACAGAAAACAACAAACAATGTATGAAAAATGATTTTATCCCATTTCCCTTGTTTTACCCTTGTCCGATTTAAATCGATAATTTATGGTTATCGTTTTTTAGCAGGATGAACGAGGAATTCCGGTACCCGGTGAAGGAAAAGTAAAATCCGAGTATTACAGCGACAATTCCGCATCACTGCCTGGTATCATGGGAACTCCCGGTCCCGTAGGTTTCGAGCCTGGGATGTTTAAAAAGGAGTCGGAAGAGCACAAGCCGAAAAATGATTCCAGCAACAAGGTACATGAATTTTTTCCAGTAGTAGAAATTATTTTTTTTTGTGTAACAATCATTTTCGTGGTATCAGAAATATAAAATATATTAAATTTGCGCATTTTTGCTATTTTTGCAGAACAAGAAGAAAAAGAAGGATAAGAAGAAGCACAAGCATAAACATAAGCATAAACACGATCACAAGCATAATAAGGATAAAGAGAAAAAGGAAAAGGGTAAGGATAAGGATAAGGATAAGGAAAAGGATAAAAGCAAGGACAAGGATTCATCCGCTTTAAAAATTAAAGACGAGACCCTTAGCTCTGCAAGTTCTAGTCAAAGCCCAGAGCCAACTGTCACCAACGAACTCCTTTTCCCTTAGGAACACACTTATTAGTGTACAAATATATATAATTGAGCAATAAATGTATATGAGTTTATATACATATAAATATATAAATAAAATGTATACATTGATAAATATTATATATATATATATATATATATATTATAAATATTATATATATAATATTTATAAATGTATATTATAAATATTAAGATGTATATAGTATATTAACGATATGATATAATAAGTGCATTTTTTATTATTTATTAGATATAAATGTAAAAGTTCGATTGTACTGACACACATAATACGCGATAATAAAGATTTCAATGATGATTATTTACAATTTTTTATAGATTATAATATATAAGTAAATATATATATTTTTTATAGGTATATAATATATAAGTAAATTCGTCTTTATTATTAATTAGACATTACTATAAGCGAAAGAGTCCCGAAAAATGATTTTTCTAAGGTTTTTTTTTTATTATATCTGATTTTATTTTATCCAGAAGCCTGAGAATGGAGGAATGAGGCGTGCTCATGTTTTAAATAGAACCTACAACTACCGGAGCCATTAAGTTAAAGTATGTATGTATATACATACATACACACGTCCACTCTGAGGGCTTCTCCACGGAAATTCGTTACCGACGGCAGAGGCGGGCGGGCTCGTATTTGAATAGCCGTTGCGCGCTTGCTAGGATCAAGGATGGCGTCCGTGGCGTTGCGGCAATTTCGAAGGGACTAGCTAAGTTTTGAAAATTTTCGCAACGACCGCAATAATGGCAGATAATCAGCAGAGCCGATTCGAGAAGTCGCTCGGGCTGCTGACCACCCGCTTCGTGTCCCTGCTGCAGAAAGCGAAGGACGGCGTGCTGGATTTGAAAGTCGTGAGTACTCTCGCGGGGCCTCGCGCGACGGGCCTCCGAAAAAGTTAACCTGTACCCGTAGGTTAAGTGGACCGCGGGCGTACACGTCATGTACGCTCGGGTTGCGGGAATTTTGAACAAAGTGCGCGGGGGGAGGAGGTCCGCGTCCGCGCCGCCCGGACGTTCCGCGGCCGCGCGCGCGGACGTCGCCGCCCGTTGTCGCCCGTCGCCGCGGGCCGCGGTGCGTGGTCGACGCGTCGACGGCGTTACAACGCGTCCTGACACGCGAGCCCACCTTAACCTAAAAAGAGATCTCTCGGCGGGGCGCCTCGGCCTTTCTCACTGACTCACGTACCACACGTTTTACGCAGGCCGCGGATCTTCTGGAGGTACGTCAGAAACGGCGCATCTACGACATCACAAACGTCCTCGAGGGTATCGGCCTCATAGAGAAGAAGAGCAAGAACAGCATCCAATGGAAGTAGGTGTCACTCCCTCTTTTGTTTTCGCATTACAACAGGACGCCGCTCTGCGTTCTCTCTCCCGCGACCAGCTGCACTGTCACGTTGCGAATTTGTGTTCGAAGGGGCGCGGGACCGGGCTGCAACACTCAGGAGGTCGGCGAGAAACTGACGGACCTGAAGGAGGAGATCAGCAAGCTGGAGGATCACGAGCATCTGCTGGACACCCACACCCAGTGGATTCAGCAGAGCATAAAGAATATAGAGAACGACATTATAAATAAGAAATATGCATACATTACATACGAAGACGTTAAGGAGAACTTTGTGGATCAGTTCGTACTGACGATACAGGGTCCTTCGGACATGGAATTAACAGTACCAAATATCTTGAAGGTAATTCAAACGGATATCTAGAAAATGTTTGTTTCAACTGCATTGCAGTCCGGATAGGCCGAAACTTCCATATTGGTTTCGTTACAATTGTCATTTTTGTGAGAAGGGATTGTGGGAAGCCTTTTGTCCAATCTATTTAGTTCTGAAAACTTTTTTTTAACTTATTGCTAATCAATACAATAAATAAGAGGGCTAATGATTCGAGCTAGTTAGTCGTATTAATATAATTCAATATTCAATAACATGTCGATTCTTTAATTTATTGTTTATGTATTGCTCCTATTATTTGGAAGCTTCAGTCTTCTAAGGGAAGGCAACAAATCTGGCAGTCAAATTCGCAACATTTATTGAGATGTCTTAATATCCCATGTCTAGAAAATATTTGATGTAAATTATATTGATATATGTTTTTCCATAATCTTATTTTTTATACATTTCGCAGACTGTCACGCAAGACGATGCCGAAGCGATAAATTATAACATGGTCCTGAAAAGTAACACGGGAGAAATTAAAGTGTACATGGTCCAACCTGAACTAGCGAAGACTTACGATAATAAGGTGTTAGAAATGAGATTGCAAGAAGAGTCGAAGGGTACGAAGCGCGGAAACGAGGAGGATGAGAAGAAAGAGGAGGAGGTTACTGTTAAACCAAAGAGGAAAGTTGGAAGGTAAGCAGAAATTAAAAAAGAAAAGGACATGCAACTCTCTATGTATGCTCTAATCGTGTCAGGAATAGTAAAACAATATTTCTGATCTGCACAGAGCAAATATCAACAATTGCTAATTGCCAATTGATTTTGTATAGGGGGTGAATAGTTGTTAAGCTTAAGCTATTCATTTGACACAAAATGTACAATTCTATACGTTATGTCTGTTTCCCAAAATTACATTTGTATTGGAATTTAATTTTTATTTCAATAATGTTAGGCCACCAAAAAACAGTAAACCGGATCCGATAATAACTGACGACGAAGAAGACGAAGATTCGGAATTAATAGAAGCTAAAATAGTCCTACGTGATGTACGCACCACAGGTGAAATCCTCTATTTTAATTCGCATTCATTTGTTATATGTGTTGCAATTGTAAAGTTTTTAAGTTCTTTATTTTTTTTATTATAGATATTGTCCAAAGAGATTTGGAGTTTCTTGATCAGTTGTATTCTGACTGTAAGTCGAACGCTAAGTTGATATTCATAGTCCGATCTTGTATTCAAAATCGTCGTTAAGTCGCGATCTTGAGACGCAGTAACGGTCATTTCCTGTGCCGGATGGAACCGTAAGACTGATCCACTGATCAGACTTGAGACGATCTTGAGTCTAAAATCGGGACTATATAAATGCCTTTTTTTAATTTTTTTTTACACGTACCTAAACAGTCGAACATATCTGATATGTCTGTATGAATTTGCAGTTTGCGGACCGTTAATGAGATTAAGTCCACCACCTGGGGAAAAAGATTACCACTTCAATCTCAGTGAGAACGAAGGTGTTTGTGATTTATTTGACATTACGACATAATGAGTGTCGCATTGATGTAGCTCCGATATGCGAAATGAAGACTGTGCCAACAGCATTCACAAAGTCGAATCGGGAAAAATTTGATAAAGAGTCATTAAGGAGGATTTTAGGGAAATTAATGGAACACACAATCATTGAGAGTATACAGTATTTTTTTATTATTAAAAAATACGGGGGGGAAAACTAGTGCGAGAGGCATATTTTAAAGATATCCACAACCTGTTCCGACCGCTGCTTATTTTGTACATTTTGACAGTAACTCGGAAGTTTTAACGGCATCTTTTATATAGATTTAGAGAGTATACCCTTGTAGCTTTAAGTTGGCTCAATTCAAGCTTGCTTCATAAATATCACATATTATAAAAATATATAATTGTCCCTTTACAATAATTTTTTATTTGACCAAAAAAAAATACTGATAAATGCACACAATCAAAAAGAGTATAATTTTCTATATTGCATTATACGATATTATGAAGCAAGCTTTTAAATGTTGAATTTTTATAAGAACTTACATGCACGTATCCCTGATGTATATTCTATAAAAAAAAAAATGCAACTTGTTTGGAATTGAATGTATATTGCGTACATGCGCCAATTTTTTTTTAAACGTTTTACGAATTACATGTATTCAGATCTTCACTGCTGACAACGCATATACACATCCGCTTATATTTATGTACAGAGTATATCTTCTTTATCGCGTGTCGCGCAGTATCACGAAGTTGTATTTCTTAACACATCTCTCATATATCTCATGTCCGATTATATCGTCTGAATATACGACTGCAGAAACTCGTATACGGTTTCGTTTTCTATGATCATGCACGTTGCACCACATGCAGCGAATACCAGTATTATCGACTCGAGCTCTCTACGTTACCGGAGAGGTGCTCTGCAGCAGGCTCGACGATTGTTGTGCAACGCGTCGACCGATTCGACGAAAAAGCGCGTCTGTATCGGCGGATGACGCATACCAAGGACAGATAAGAATGGACCGCCGGATTTCGTCACCGTCACCGTCAGCACGCAGCACGTGTTCCGTCAACGTTCGGGGGTTCGGAGGCCACACTTGGCCGCGAGTCAGCGCCGTGCCGCCGTGGTCAGTCGTTCGCGTCATGTCGTAGCGAGAGCTCCACGCGCGAGATCCCCCAGATGCAACGGTCCGTCACGGCGACGCCGCACGCACGCACAACGGTCACAGTCACCTGTCAAAGTCGAGCGCAGCGTTCATCGAGGAGCGTCGCGCGACTCGGTGCTCCCGAGTCCGTTCCCTCGTGACGCGTAACGGAAGGTAACCGACAGCCGACTCCTCGCGCGAGTCCCCCCATGGGATTGACAATTGTGACGTAATGCATCACGAAAATTACGAAACTCGTGCGCGTCATATCGAGATTTTTAGAAAATAAATACATAGATCGTTTGTCGACGCGCGTATAGATGGAAGGTATTGTAGGATGATTTCGATCAAAGTCCATTTAACTTTAATTGCAAAATTACTTTGTTAATCGTACGTAGATCAAATTAATCGGAGCTTTGTTGAGAGAGTGAGAGGAGGGGGGGGGGAGGGTCGGGGAGAAATTATAATCTTATCATCCTTTGTTTACATACATTACCGAGAAGAACGTTGGAGAATAGAATTATTTTCTCATTGTTTGTTACGTGGAAGGGAAGATTAAAGATTAGAAACAATGAGGTTTATAGCCTGGAGTTTTGCTGTAACAATTCTACCGGCTGTATTAATCGTTAATTGAAGTTTGATCGAAGACTTTTGAAAAAAGTGATTATTTATTTCTTGTGAAATCCTGTATTGTTCTCTGTAAAATTCTGTAAAATTCTGTAAAATTGCTCTAAAATTTTTATAGAATAACTTACTTTTTTTTTTTAATTAAGCAATTGTATAATCGTATCTTATCTTTCTAAAGTGCACTTAAATTATTCAGCATATATGTATATATATTATGTAGTTTCAGTTGTACTGTTCAAAAGTCACTTTTTTTTCGAATTCCGATTCGGTTTTGAGGTACTAACGAAGTACAAAATCTCAACGATCTGTAGAAGTTTGTGATTGTCAAAATTTGAATGAATTTATATAGCAATGTGTATGACAATTATGTTACATTATATATATAATATGCTTATTTGAAATGTCTGTAATAATAAAATATAAATTCAATAGTGTATTCGTTGTAAGAGTTGTAAATATTCAATTAATTTTCAAATATTTATATCGACGATTGATAGTGTCTGTATTTTTGGGCCTATTTAAAAATCAAAGTTTCCACTTTCCAGAGCTACATATTCCAAAACATTTTCGAGGAAAATTTTATTAAAAAACTATAGCTTACGCATGCTATAGATTTTTAGTAAAATTTTCCGAAAGCAACGTTTTGCAATGTAGCCCAGGATTAGTCATCATGATAGATATCCTGGCTAATATAATATCGATTTCATGATTTATTGTTAATAAAAGCATAAAACGATAATTTTAAATATTTTTTTTGCAGCCTGGACATCGAAAATGCGCGTCATATTCGTAAAATTCCGCGAGATCTCGCAGAAATATCCGATCGTTCGAGGCATGGCGTCCTACTCGATTATATGGCCAACCGCGAACCTGCTGCAACAGAAGATAAGGGGCAAAGAAGAGCTTAATTACGCGGAGGCCGCGCGATTCGGTCTATTCGGTAGCCTTTACGTAGCGCCCACGCTATTCTGCTGGCTGAAATGCGCGTCTTACTTCTGGCCGAGGATGGATTTGAAGTCTGCGATCACTAAGGTGTGCGCACGTGTAACGAAAATTGAATAATTTAATTATACTACTCTATACACTGTTGCGCGATAAATTTTGATTTATTCACGTAAATTAAAAAAAAAAGTAGCTCGATGAAAATAAACAATGAAATAACTGAATATGTAATAATTGCAGGCTTTGGTGGAACAAGTTACGTACGGACCCGCGGCTATGTGTTCCTTCTTCTTTGGCATGAGCCTTCTTGAATTAAAGCCAGTTTCGGAATGCATCGACGAGGTCAAAATTAAGTTTTGGCCGACATACAAGGTATCAGATCCTCGATAGATGTGTGTTCCCGAAGTCTGAGATTAAGTGGATTAATCGGAGATTATTTTCCTCCTAGATTGCCATTTGCGTATGGCCAATCCTGCAAACCATCAACTTCACGCTAATCCCAGAACGAAATCGCGTTGTGTACGTCAGTGTGTGCAGTTTAGTCTGGACGTGTTTCCTTGCCTACGTGAAATCTCTCGAAGCCAAGCAGAAGGAGCTAGTGAACAATGTTAATCCCAGGATGATCTCGGAGAGTAAAGCGCAAACCAATGAGCGAGCCGGTCGTATACAAATTCCTCTACTACGATGAACGATTTATAGCAAATTGATAGACTAATTTATTTGTACATAGAATTCGCAATTGGAAATGTTTATACTGTACGACGCGACTCACATCTGATTATCTGTGATATTCACAGTACAAAAAAAAATTTTAGCTACTTAATTCTGCAGGAAAATATTTTACATATTTATGATGTATGTTAATATTAAACGAAGAATTGAAAGTATATTTAAATCTTTTTAAGCGGAAATAACACGATTGAGAGATACAAAAACACAACTTTTGACACAACAATTGTTAATATTAATCACAATATTAGAATACAGAATAAAAATTTTAAACGAAATCAGATATCTCGAATTTTGTGTTTCTCTCTAAAGAAGATTTTACAGAAGATTTTTCTCTACGGTATATATTGATAAAAAAAATTCGTTTTTAGTGAAAATTGATCAAATCTTTTTAGCGAAGTTTCAATCTGTACTTGGCATTGCAGAGACTGGTCGAAACTTAATTTTTTAACATTTTTAATATCTTTTTTTAAACTTAAATTATTTCAATTTTTATAATGCATTGTTACGCATGCGTAACATTTGTTATAATGTTAATAACATTGTTGCGCAATTGCAATTATAATATACATATTCTTTGAAAAGATCGAGCACGGAATAAAACTAAACAATATAACATCGAAATGAAATTGTAATCCCTGATAAATACAGGTATTCCTCGCCCGTGTGCTATCCTAATCTCTTTGGTTACCCGTCGGAAATATCCGTGGCTGTATAGTTCAAAGTGCACATTTTGTGCGTATGGAGGCGCCAATAAACGGATTCGCGAGCATGTGTTGGAACACAATAGAAGTCTGTCTGTGGACATGTAGTTCCATCCAAAATATGAGCATATTCGTTCTCAGACGTTTCTCTATAAATGCGTAACTAGATATTAGAGAACGAAAGGGAAAAACATGAAAAGTACAAAAAATTCAGATACAAGGAACAAGTCTTCGATTAGCAACCGAAACGAAAGTCGAGCAGAGGAGGAGGAGGAGGAGGCTCGCGATCGAGCGTGAAACACGTGTAATACCGTGTATAAGGAACGTAGGCTTCAATGCGACGAACTTTAGGTATTAATTGTTTAATTAATTTAATGGTAAAGTTCGTCCTTTTTTCAAATCTCCCAACGGATGGACAATTAAGATGACGTTGCGATAATCACTTTGGCATAATATTTGAGGTTAATTGAGACTGACTGATGAGAGAACGTATTATTGTTGCAGAGTAAAACGTTAATCGATCCTGTGGCGAAGAAAATTAAATCCAGGGTGCGTCAGGACGTAAGAAGTAAAAAAGAGGAAATAAGCGTGTCGTGTTCGAATATTTGTAAGAAACAAAAGCGTGTCGGCCGAAAAAAAAACACCTATCGAACATGGCTTCGAACAATTCTGAAGTCCGTTCGAACTTGATTCAAGTGAAGAAAGAACCCGGCAGTCCCGGCACGTCTGTATCGTCGGCGTCGTCGACGTCGACGTCGGTGCCGCTTTCAGAGAGGGTGACGAGCATTAAAATGGAGCCGGGCGTACCCACCACCGCCACCACCACCACCACGCAGAGGCTGACATCCTTCCGGCTACCGCGGGACCTGACACTAGGTGGAAACGTTAAGACTGAAAAACCGAAGAAGGTGTACACGCCAAATCTCAACGTGCAGAGGAAGAAGAAGGAGTAAGTTTCTTCGATTCGCGACATAGCGTGGATGATAATGATAATTTGATTTTTCAGCGATTCGAGTCCAAATTTAGTCAAAGCCGAGACGGTAAAAGTGAGAAACAGCGATCGCGGAAGAGAACGAGGGAGAGGGGAGAGAGGACGTGGAAGAGGAGACTCAGGAAATATAATACAGGTAATACTGATATTTTTTAAATATTCTTCCAAAATAGAGAATGTTCTCTCATATTTTAGTTTTTACATCTTCAGTTTATACTGATTTAATTATTACTTTTAATTTAATTTGATTTAATTGTTATTAAATACTTTTAGTTTATTGTTCTCAAAATGGTTTACGATTCATCTCACTTCTTTACTCACCTTTAAATTTTCCAATTCAACCTCTCATAAAATGGGATTATTGATAATATGACAATATGTGAATTTGAACTGTTTTCTTGGAATGTACTTCAATATCTTATAATAAAAATTGCAAATACAAATTTCATAATGTAAATTATAAATTAGATAATTGTTTTATTTCTAGTCTGTTGGTGTATGGTCAGAAGGAATATACACAGCACCTGCCAGTCGTAAAAAGAGTGAAAGTTCTGGTAGAGCTTCCAGTAGCACAGCAAATGCTGCAAAATACCTGGAGAAATCAAAACTAAATAAGATTACCGATAAGATAGAAGACGAGATGAGATTAAAGAATCTCTTAAGGGACGATTTTATCGACGACGGTCCAGATGTTGATGACAAGATGTTTCCTCTTATGCTGCCACGAGTTAAAAAGGATATATATGATACAATTGATAATGACGAGATTGATAAGAAACCGATCATTTCGGAAAATGGTGAAAGTAAGGGTAAAATATCCTTTTTAATAATTTCTTTTTATCGAATTCGTATATTATATATATTTTTCTTTCATAGTAATGAATATAGAAGAGGAAAAGGAGACCAAACAAGAGAGAAAGGAAGACCTAACCATTTCTCAAATAATCGAGAACAAGGCTAATTCTTATACCTTAATACAGGTAAGAATATCGTGTGTAATCCATTATTAGCTATAACTATTATTTAATTTAATAATTGATCAACAGTTTCCAGAATCCTTGCCAGGTTTGGAGTCTAGTAGAGAGGAAACAGGATCGAAACAGTCAAACAATTCTAATACTCGTAGCGAGAGTGATAATAAAGCAAAAAGCGAGCTGTGTACTTTGAACAGTTTACAAAGTGGTCTCTTAGGCAAACTCGAGATTTTCAAGTCTGGTAAAGCGAGATTACGTCTGGGCGAGATGAGTTTTTTCGTCGATATTGGCGCGCAGCAACGTTTTCAACAAGTACAAAATTATACTTTTATAATTTGTAATTCAAGAAAATATGACAATACTATCGCAATGCTCAATAACTATTTTTTTAATTGCTTTTCAGGACCTTTTAGCTGTAAAAATAGACGCTACATCACAAACCGGTGATCTTATCAATCTTGGCCAAGTGAACAATAAGTTAATTTGTTCACCAGACTTCGAATCCACGTTAGAAAATTCATAAGATTCTGTAAATATGTATATCATCTTTAATAAAAACGTTTGTATATAAAAGGATGTTGCAGGAAATTCGTAAACAATACTACAATGCAGGTTATAATTTTCAATACTTCTATATTTTTTTTCGTAATACTAGCGAATTACGTAAATTATTAAATAAATTAGATTACGTCTGCAAATTCGGTATGGCGATTCTGATGTCTAGGAGAAATTAGGAGTCACTGTAAAACAGAAACGATTATATCATTCGGGAACACATAGTTTTTGCAAATAGGTTTTCGATTGTTCTTCGTACACACACATTGCTGTAACATTGTCATTCAAGTATACTATTTATTATTTTCTAAACATCGCAATGAAAAGCTAAGCTTTATACAAATTAAACGAATCGCTGTGTATACGAGTCCTAATTTCACTTGAACTTAGGAACTAAAAGTCTGAAAAAAATGTATGATATTTTCTTGTCGGATTCTTTAAAATGTAAAATCTTAATTATATCAGCATACATAAATAATTCGTATCAATATGAATAAGTACACTCCTCTGTACACTGTTTTTACTGATACGAGAAAATGATGTATCTTCACGTAATTCTGACAAATCTTAACGAAACATGAAGAGGATGTCAATTGTATCTTCTTCATCACGTTTATGTGAAAGCTATTCCACATGAATGTCATTTGATCTTGTTCCGAAGAGATTGAGTGAGATAAAAAGTAATAAATTCAATCGGATTGATAAGAAATGAAAATTATTCATATTCTTAATTAAAATGCTTTGCGATACACAGAGATACACGCATGACACATTCTTAGCGATCATACGTTAGTCTCAATCACTTCGTTCAATGCTATGTCCCTTTTTCATAGACTTTAATGCCTTCTCCCGAAGTTTCTTTTCCAGCTCTTCGGTATTACCTTCACTTACATCAGATTCATCTGAATCCGCGACTTTCTTCTTCTTGTGCTTCCTGTGCTTCTTATGTTTCTTATGCTTCTTGTGCTTCTTCTCCTTCTTCTTTTTCTTCTCTTCGACTTCGCTCTCCTGGAAGTACCAAAAAAATTCGGTTTAAAAAAGAATAAATTTGTTGCGGTAAATTTGTTTGCAACAAAAATTACCTCCGATTCGCTGGTGCTGGTTTTCGTCTTTTTCTTGCGCGTCTTCTTCTTCACCTTTTCGTCGTCCGAGCTATCGTCAGCTCTCCTCTTCTTTTTCGAGTCTTTGTCCCCAATGTCGTCGTCTTCCGTGCTTGAATCTCGTTTAGATTTCTTTGATTTTGATTTAGATTCGTCTTCACTTGTCGAATCCTTTTTGGATTTTCGCGATCTAGATTTTTCGTCGTCGGACGAGGTGTCTCTTCTCTTCTTTATTTTCTTAGGTTCTTCATCGGAGCTAGAGTCTTTCTTCGATTTCCGAGATCTTGATCTACTGTCGTCCTCGGTTCTGCTTCTCTTGGATTTCTGCTCTTCTTCTGAGGAAGAATCTCGTCGTGATTTTTTTGATTTCTTCAACTCTTCCTCTATTTCCTTCCTTGAACGCTTTCGCGAATCATTTTCGGCAACATCACGTTTTCTATCCCTTCTATCTTTATTACGGTCATCTGTTGAATCTGTAATAAAAATTATTTTTAAAATTGTATTATTTTCATTTATCAATCATATTATACATTTTAACAAAGCATGCAAATTATTTATAATTATTTAGGAAAAATTTACCGGTTCGGCTAGTATCTCTAGCTTTTTTATTTTTATCTGAATGCTTTCTGTCATCCTCGGAGTCCGAGCTGGATCCAGCTTTGCTCTTGTCAGATTTATCTTCATCTGTCGAAGCTTTCTTAGACTTTTTAGATTTTTCTAGTTTTCTCACTTTTCTCTTGCCTGTAAAAAATAAAAGAAAAAAAACATTAATATTTATTTTACACGTTAACTAATTAAAATGTTTCTTTTACCTTCACAATCACTGTCTTCGCTGTCTGTAGAACCGTCACGTTTTTCTCTCTTTGTTTTTTTAGTCATTTCTGCAGGTTTTTTGGATGAAGATTCCAACGACTTTTGAGTAGATTTTTTATCTTCTGGTACTAATTTTGTCGTTTTCAAAGACTTTTCGTCCTTCTTTAGTGGGAAAGCGTCTCCAACGGTAAAATTCACCTCTCCGATCTTCGTTGGTGATTCGTCCTTAATGTCGTCTCTGAAAGTAAAAAATCAGTACATTGTACACAATCGTAATAATGAGAATACTATTAATTGTGAAAATATCTTGCAACATACTTAATTGTCTGTTTAACTTTGACAGCTACTGCCACGATGTCTTCGGTCTTCTTAAACGGCGAAGGAGTACGCGACAAGCTCTTCGAGAACTTGAAAATAAAAATAGAAAAAATGGAACTTTTAATCTTATTTTACATATTTTATTTATATCTTTTATTTATATGATTAACATAAATTTATATTGTAGATATTATAAAATTGAGTCTCTCTCTATTAATCTATAATTAAAAAGGACATATTAAACTTACTCTGTGTCTGGTGATAGGAAGTGAAGGAGCTTGAAGTTTCTTGGGAGAAACACTGGGCTCGGGCTTTTTCACGACGACAGGCTCCATCTTCTTAATTTCCTTCTCCGTTCGCTTAGCAGGTTCTTCTTTCATCGATTTCTCTTTCTCCTTCTTCTTGGCGTCATCCGCGTGTTCGCGTTCCCTTTCTCGCTTCTCCTGCGGCGTTTTGCGCTCGAGCGATTTCCTGCAGACAGAGCGCAAGCACATTTTCTATAGGAGACCGTTCAACAAACACGGATACACCACGACCATCGATTTATTATCCACCGATTGTAGACTCCGTGAAAGTATCATGTTTCAAAGTGAAAATTTCACTCACCTAAGTGACTCGTCCTCATTGCTAGAGGAACTACTCTCGCTACTTTCCGAGCTACTCGACTTAGACCGGCCGTTTCGCAATTCTTTTCGCGATCCTGTATCAGGCGGTCTTTTAGCTTTCTCATCCACTTTCCTGTCCTTCGCCTTATCCTTGGTACCCTTCGAACGATCGGGAGACCGCTTCCCGTCCCTCGAACGATCCACCGATGATCTCGGATCCTTGGATCTCGATCTACGATCCTTGGATCTAGATCGACGATCCTTATCCCGTCGTTCTCTGGAGCGATCCCGCCTACTTGATCTGTCGCGTGAGGAAGATCTATCGTACCTGCTCGATCGATCCCGTCCGTCCGGCGAGCGACGTCGGCTGCCACGTCGGTCCGGCGAACGGCGCCTGTCACGTCTCTCCGACGATCGTCTTCGACGATCCAGCGATCTCTTGCGACGCCTGTCTTCGGGGCTCGGTGACCTACGACGATATCTCGCCGGGCTTCTGCGCGGGGGACTGCTCAAGAACAATCTCTCTTAATGCACGCGATGCAAAGGTGAACTTATTTGGTATGCAAAAGGACACCAACCTGCGCCTGTTAGGCGGTCTGCGCACCGAAGGTGGTCGCATGCTGCGACTGCCGCTGTATCGGTCCAATCTCTCCCTCTCCCTTTCGCGTTCTCGCTCTCGCCTCCTGTCGCGTTCCCGGTCCAATGATCTCCTAAAAAAACAAAAGACATCGGAAATTTATACAAACTCTTAACTTTCTCGTTAAATCTTTTGTGACACAAAAAGATTTTATCGCGAATAATAATATTGCATTGTAATCACGGTCGCCACCTCTCTGATTATCGCCCGGAGACTCCGGCTTATTCGACGAATCTCCGGCTCTCCGGCACACGAAAATAATCTCCGAGTGAGCGCTTTAAATTTTGACCTTCTTTTTGGGAAAACACAATGATTTTTCTTAATCTCTCAATAAAAAAATTTCCGGCAGAAGAGTCAATTTTGATGATCTTTTTTTTTTAGAAAATGTCTATTTTGAAAAAATTTTTAATAGCGTGGTTAAATACATATCCGGCACAATACTCCTTAGAAGATGGCAACCGTGATTGTAATATTTATTGTACTTGATTTGATGCAAGATATAATTGTTTCTTGATAAAATAAGAAAAATTGTGTGCAATATATACACAAATATATATCTTTTAGACAGCTTTTTACAACTAAAGAAATCTATTATCAAAGATTTATAATTCTTACCTTCGATTCCTATCTCGTGATCTATCGCGTGATCTATCTCGCGATCTATCTCGCGACCTGTCTCGCGATCTGTCTCGCGATCTATTTCTGTCTCTGTCCTTAGATCGACCTCTATCCTTACGCGGCGAAGAACTTCTTCGCTTAGGGGCTGATTTTCTCTCCCGACTAGAGTCGCTATCGCTACCGCTGTCGTCTTTGTTGGTTTTCCTGTAGGATCTCTTGGCTTGCACGCCGTCCTTCTTCTTTCGTATCTCGAAGTCGTTCTTATCCTTCGCATCCTTCCCCTCCTCCGATCCAGAGCTGCTGCTCGTACTACCGTCGCGTTTTCTGTTAGAATCCGCATTGTCCTTCTGCTTCTCCGGCGACTTTGAGCGAGACTTGGTGGATCGCGAGTCGCTCGAGTCGGATCTCGATTTCCTCGACTTGCTCCTGTCCTCGCTCTTCGATCGGGATTTCTTGGATCGCGATCGCGAGCGTGATCTCGATTTGGATTTGCTTCGCTTCGACTTCGTACGCTCTTGCGAGCGCGACTTTGATCTCCTGGATTTAGATCGGGATCTTCTAGATCTTGACTTGGAACGAGATCGTCTGGACTTCGAAGCGGGCGATCGCGATCGACGCGTCTTCGAATCTCGGCTAGGTGACTTGGATTTCTTCGAACGACTCGTCGGCGACTTGGATCCTGATCGCGACTTCCTCGCCGACTTGTCCAACGATTCCGGCGACGGTGTGCGATTATTCTTCTTCTTTCCATCAGCAATGCTCATCAGTTTGGCTTGCAATCTTGATATCGCCACTGCGGCTTCCCTATGAAAGTACATAAAATTTAAAATATATTTACGAAATAAAATACATTTCAACAGCGCATTAAATGTGATTTGTTACTTACGGCTTGGTTTTGACTGGCATCAAAGGTATAGCATTTTCCGGTTGCGGCGAATCTTCCCGTTCGATCTTAGCCTCGAGCATATCTTTCCCGTTATCCTTCGAATTTTTACTCGGCGACCTCGAAACGGATCTTCTCTTACGACTCGAGCGATCACGATCCCTATGTCGATCACGCGATCTGCTCCTTTTCCTGTATAAAATAATGCAAGATGAGCAACATGACATATAACCATATTACGCCTTTTTGCATGCATATCAAACAGTTTCCTTCAACAGTAATACCTGTCTCTATCACGATCCCTGCTTCGATCTCGTCTGCGCTCCTTCGACGAACCCCTTTCTTTCTCCTCCTTCTTCACTTTAATGTCAGCGTCATCCTTTTCTTTCTCACGCTCCTTCTCTTTCTCTTTCTCCGCCAACGATGCTTGAAGCTTCTCTTGCTCTTCCTAATTTGATAAATTACAACATAATATAAACCAATATTTCTTACAAAATAACGCTTTCTTACAACTAAATATAACTAAGTTAAAATTGATCTCATCCATTTGGTTATACTCAATTGAACATAATCACTGAATATCAAAATATAGCAATTCAATTGTTCGTTCGTGTCTAAGAAACTTCATGTAACACTTATAAAAATATAATAAAGCCAAACTGTTTAAAGTTGCATGGATCCACATATACAAAATGCTAAATATGACTATCGGATTCTGAATCATAATTATTCAGTGATATTGTAAAATTGATCACGTAAACGTTTCATGTATGAACGTATCAAGTATTTGATAAATAAAAATTACACTCTATCATCAGGTAGTCATATTTAATAAAAATCATGCTGCAGATGCTTACGAGCTTTTTTTCGATTATTACGTAAAAGTGAATTATTGATAATTACCAAACGCTTTTTAATTTGATCTTTTTTTTGTTGCAAGAAAGCCTCGGGAATGCCCGTAACACTTTCTTGAGCAGAGACCAGAAGGTCCCATAATTCACCCATGAAAGAACGGGCATTCCTACCGTTCAGGAAGCCTGTCAGGTTGATCTGCATTTTTCGGGGGTCGGGAAACTGTAAAATATATATACAACGTACAAATTTAATTTTCTCCGTACGTAAGAGTAACGAAAAGTGTTTGTGCACACAGATTTTTAACGGCAAAATAAAAATAGAATATGTCAAATTTGGACTGAAATTTTGACAGACATAATCTGTATATTCCTATTCTGTTATGAACTGCTTTTCCCCCTCGAAAAAGCAGATATTTATTATTCTATATCTAAGCGTGCCTTACCACCGCAATGCCGCCGACCGCACTCTCTCTTTCTCTCTTTCGTACCTGCATTAAATAGTTACATGCTGAGGAGAAAAAAGAATTATATTAAATGTAAGTAGCAGAAAATAGACCGATACCTCGATTACCCTTTATTGATTTTAATATTTACACCGTTTAAGGTGCGTGCACTGAAACGAGAGAGAAAGCATGTATATATATATCGAAATCTCTGGCAAAAAATGTCCGCTTGAAAATCTGGAAATATAATGTGGTATAAAAGGATCAACCTTTTCACCAACCTGTGACAGTGGCAAAGTGTCAAACCGTGTGTAGGGATACCTCCCGGCGCCGTTTTCGCCTCAATCGTGCCCGACGCGTGACCGACAGTACGTCCGGCAGAATATCGAGGTCCGTCGCGAACCGAGTTTCGGTGGTAAGTAAGCGGGCCAGGTTGGCGCCCGACCTTGCTCTTAGAGTCCGACATTGGGCGGTTCCGACGGGGGAGAATCGTAGCTTGCGGCAGATGAAAGAGTTCCAAAGATGCCCAAATTGACACGCGGACGCCACCACGTCGGGGAAAACGACGACCGTCGCGAGGGTTGAAGCCTCCCCGGATGACGTGAAGACTGCGAAGCTTTCCCGCAGCCCGCGATGATGACGCACTACCTCGGTTGAGGCAGCTACGTGAACGGAAGTCGATGCGGCTCCGTCGCAGGCGACTCGTAGACATCGGCGGGCTCGTGTGGTAGCTCCGGAAAGGGACGCGAGAGACAGGAACGTGATGTGATCGCCTCGTGATGCCAGCGATGTCTCGTGATGTTGACGTTGTCGTTGTCGACGGTGTGCAGCAGCCATGGCGGTGATGGCGGCAGCAGCAGCGGCACCAGCAGCAGCAGCAGCAGCAGCAGCAGCAGCAGTAGCGGCGGCGGCGGCGGCAGCGGCGACGACGTAACTGGTGAAGCTGTAGATTTGTCGGCAGTTCTAAGGTGATGTTGAGATACCAACTGCCACAGCTGACACTAGGGTTGACGGCTGATAGAAAGGCGGCCAATCGGATGTAGAGAGGAGCACATCCGAATGCCATTTGGACAAAAGGGTTGGGCCCCACCAACGGTCTCTACTTATACTAACGGGGAATTCAAACACATATGATAAAGGCTGACTTTGTCACAGTTCAATGTGGCAGGATCAGCTACAAATCAGTTTTTTTTTTAACCTTTTTTTCTCTTTTTCTTTTTGTCGAAAATGGATATGCTTGGAAAGGGATATGTAGGCCGATTAAAAACGAGGGACGATGAAACTTGTATACTGAGTGACGATGATACTTATGAAAATAAGAAAAAAAAGCAATGCGGCAAGTAGTGCCAAAAGGCTAAGAGAATGTCTGTGCCCCATTGCTTTGTGTTATCCAAACTCTGCACTACGTGCCGAGTTTGGATAGTAAACGCTTGCGATTTGTACGAAAACATCGTGCTGAAATAATGCATATTTATCGATTTCCTATGATGAGGGGAAAAAGCCAAGTGAGACTACATTACTATGTTTTTCTTTTTCTGCTTTTTCACAAGTTTTAGTACTAAAAAAATGTATCTCTTAAATCATAAAATGCGTCTAATTTCACTCGAATTAAGTGCGACACGGTCTCTTACCTTCTCCTCAAGCTGATTATAAACAAACTCTACCACCACGTCGTCTTCCATTCCCAGAATCTGCGTGATCTTTGTTGTGATCCATGGCTTAATCACATCAAGTTTCACTTTGCTCATATCCACCTGTGACAAATATATTAAAGATTCGTGGTTTTAACTCACAATTTTAAATACAGAGATGCCGAGTATCAAAAACAAACATTTTGATTATTAATTGATAGTGATTAGAAATAAAGATTCAAATGTAATTCAAACAAAATTTTTAGTATTCCAATTCAATCAAGAAATCAAGCTTTACTTTTGTAACATTTAACTTTGATGCCAAGACTCTAACTATCGAAGATAAGAGAGAAATGCCAAGAGTTTAACTATCTGAGATAAGATCGAAGAGAGATAAAAAAAATTTCCGACATTCTTGCTAACGCAAAAAATTTATCGAGTAAATTAAAAAAAAAAACTTAAAACATTTTTTTAAAAATAAAAATTACTTTTTGTGTCAATGAATCTCCAAACTTCATTTGCTTTAGAAGCTTCTTCTCCTTGTCGCTGAACCTGGTGTCCTGCGAAGCAGTTGTCCCCTGAAAAAAAGGAGATAAAATTCCATATAAAAATATAATTGGTTCTCGATATAGAACTTAGAAATTACAAGTTATCAATTTTCTAAAAATATTACGCATTGTTTTTTTGTTCATCCAGGATGAACAAAAAAAAAATCGATCGCTCTTCAGGAAAAATATAGAGGACAGTTACGACGCGACTTTTGGAAATGCTCCAATTTTCCTAACCCTCGAATTAGAAATTTGCCAAAGTGCAGTCTCTCTGAAGTTAAACAGGAATGTAACATCTTGCCGTTCACTCGCGTTTCTCGAGGCCTACTCCGGAAAAGATCAATCGCTAAAAAAATCACGAAATGTCCCCGGCATTTTCGCTGAAAGCGAGGTCGGGGATTATGTCAGGAAATAGCGCGCCGGTGACGCGCCAGACGCCCCTTACCGTGTACATCATCTTGGCAACGTGCAGCAGGAATCAGGAACTCGGCGAGACAAGGTGCGCTCAATCGGCGAGACGCCAGTCGACAGCTTGTCCTCTGCGACGAGAAACGAACGGGTTAAATGACAGTCCGTGCCGATCGTCGGCGTGCCCGACGTCGGGTGTTCGGAACGCGGGACGCGAGATTTCTCTCGCGGACGAATTACCTCGCTCAGAATCATATACGGACGCAAACTCGGCTCGATTTATTAATATGGCGGTCGTGCCCAGTCGTGCCGTGACTGCCGTGCGACCCGTGCGTGCCCGTCGTTGGATCACGCAACAGAAGCAGCGCGCGCAGCGGCCACGGTGTACGATTGTCACTAGATGTATGACTACAGAAATTTCGACACGGAAACTGCTAAACCGGAAATAAGTGGGCATTAACAGTATCGCGCGTAAAGAGGGCGAAGTGACAAAAAAAATTTAAAGAGAGAATTAACGCACTCCGAATTAACTCCACGTCAAAATTGGAAAACTGAAAATTTTCCAAGTAAAATATATATTTTCAGGTAAAATAATATATTTCATATACAAAAGAACATCTTTATTTAAAAAAATATATTTAGTCATATATCTTTAGAAATGTACATTTCGTACACGAATTAAATTACTTCTTATAATTAAGATGTACTCGTACCATTTCGTTATGACGCTTGACGCTCATTTTTAGCGTCAAGACAGATCACGCGATCAAAATTGATATTCGAGCGTCAGCTTGAAAAGATTTATTTATTCTTCATTTTACCATTATCGCAATTAAAAGTTACATTATATACTTATATTGATCGAAAGAAAAAGACATAGAAAGACGATCCAAATTTTTCAATATATCATTACAATTCTATAAAATATATAGCAACTTATATCATTTTGAAAAAAAAAAAAGAATTCTTGCGGCGTTATTAAAAATTATAAATTTCGTGACGTCTACGCAATTTCATTAGAAGCTACCCGTATTTGATTCAATTAAGTGTGAAAATCGCATGGCGTTTATTGTGTAGATTATTCCCGCGTGCTTAAACTGCAGTTAGAGGCCGGTATTCATAATCGGTTTTTATATCAAGATCGTTTTAAGAAATATTTTAAGAGGATTGCTATAAGACTCTGTGATTAATTTAACTATTATGACACTTAAGATTGTATACTTAAGATCTTAAATATAAGATCTTATAAGTACAATCTTACATATAAGTAATCGACTATGAATATCGATCAGAGAGATTTATATACAGATTGATATAAATAACAATTATATAGATATATTTGATATGGCTATAATATCTCCAGAGATCTGATATTTCCAGTTCAGAAGCACGTCACTCTTTTCGTTCTCGTTTTTTAGATTCGCCTCCAGTTTGTGGTTTGTATCATCCAAAATTTATAGACTCGTTCATGGATTTACATTCATACGGATTATACGTAATGAATATACTCGGCTAGGTGTTTCTAATCACTGAAATGTTAAAAAAATTACTTTTCTTCAAGCAAATATTTTCGTTATAATATAATTATGAAATTAAATTAATCTACTCTTCATTTATAATATGTTCTCCAAGAAATAACTCATATATTCTACTTTTTTTTTTAGCAATAATTACGTTTGAGTAGGATCGTCGGTTGGAGTACACAAATGAACAAAGTTGCATATGTCCTCGATAGACAAGCCTAAAAATAGTAGACTTGCGAGTTCTTGTCGATACGAGTTCATAAAGTCTGTGCATACATCGGTCAAACTACGTGGCAAACGATAATTTACGTCACATAATTTATCCAATTCAGTTTGAATGTTGGCCTGTAACATTAATTATTACTATATCGACTAGATTGAACAATCAAACCTATGTTAATTAATATATATAATAAACGGCGAATTAATACCTCTGTAATGTTGTCTTTGATAACATTATAAATCTGCGTTATTGCAAGTAAACAGAATGGACAATCTGGCTTATTTCTTTTTGTAGTTATCAAATGCTTAGGAATTTCTTCCCACATATTTACTGTCTCGTCTGATGGGCAAATACGTATCACGGAACAAACCTTAAATTGCGCAATAAATTACACTTCATTGCGTGATTCCAGTGTTTCAAATACGAAAATATATTTACCAGTGATGGATCAATTTTCTGAACAAGTATGGATACAACTGCATCCTCATAAGTATTCATAAATTCTTGACATTCGCCTTGAACGACAGGAGATATTCTTGCACATATTTTTTCAACAGATTCTCGCACTTTCATCTTAAATTTTAATAGATTTATAAGCCTTGTGTGCAAATACACACACACACACACACACATACACGTACACATATGTATATATAAAATTTTACATTTATTATTACCTCAACTGTAGGATTTATATTAGTGTCAATATAAAGAAATGTTAGCATAAAATATTCGCACAATGTGCACGCTCTCGTTCCATTAATACTTTCGGGTTGCAGTAAGGGAAAAGGCATCAATCTTTCAAGTGGCAATTGCATTTTCTCAGCTTCTGATTGTAAATGTTCCTCGTCAATAGCAACCTCATTTGTAGATTGTTCCTGCGTCATCATATTCGTGTTGGGATCAGCATCTATAATGATCCCTTGAGCTGCAGTTACTAAAAATTAGAAAATTACATTCATATAATTATTAATTATTTTTATAATTAAGCTGGACATATTACAAAAGTCTAGAGTTACAAAAAATAAAACGCTTTGTCAATAATTTTCAGAATAATATATCCTCAGTTTTTTTTGTAACAATGAATAATTCACCTAACACAGATAGCGTTGTCTCGTTTAATAATCCCGTCGAATTATTCTTACACCAAAATCGTATATTTCGCTTGTCTACATTGTTGTTATCGCCGTACATCATTAAAAAATCCGGCTCAACAAATGAATGCAGAAAGCATTTAAATATCTCAATTCGTATTCATATCTTATTTTTATCGAAAAATGCGTATTTATTTATTTGTGAAATTCTATAACATACGTAACGTAAACTGATGCTGACTGCGCATATTTATCGATAAAAGTGAGACATGAACATGGATCTTCTCACACACATTTACAATTTCTTATATTATTTTTGCTACCGTCACTATACATATGTAGTCATGAAAATACATGAGCGTCTCAACAATTTTGAATGGATATCTCGTTTGCTAAGGAAACATACGTACGATTATTTGTTAATATTATTCGATAATAAAAGCAGTAAAGCAATATTTATTGCAATAGATCATTGCCGCTATTTTATAGCAGTATAACATTCCGTCAATAATTGGTATATTCTATATTTAAACTAACAAATTATAGAAATTCAAATCATTAGAGAGTTATCCCGTTCGCGTATTATATATACAATTTCTTCGACATGAGTAATAAAAACGCATTAGCCGCGGCGACACGAGAAGGACGAAAAACGATATGGAAAAGCAATAATAATAAAAGAAAGAAAAATCAGCCCGCGAGAGAAGAAAATCGAGAGGATCTTGTAAGAAACGACGAGAAGTGACAAAAGACCGATAAAATCACACATACTGAAAATTTAAAAATTATCATTGCACGCAAATAAAACTAAACGTCGCTCGCAAATAAAACCTATTGTATGTCGCTTGCAGATAAAACAACATTTGCTCGCAAATAAAGTTTTAAATGTACGTCGCTTTATTTACAAGGTCAACATACAGTAAAACTCTGTTTCCCTGTATGTTGACATGAGTGGGAAATAATCGTTGAAATCATCTTATTGACGTCGATTCCGATGAATCGATCATTTCTCGCTGGATTATCCAAACATCGAGAGGGACAAGATAGTTTGAATAACCGAATTAATTTGAATGATAGAGGCTCGCTTAGTAATTTCGGTAATAAGAGCTGACATACTTATTAGTTTCCGATAATATTAGGAGTTGATAGTTCAGAAAACTCGGGTTCTTATTCGAATATTCGGATAATAATTATAAGAGCTCAGATATGAGTTCGTATAATTTGAAGTTCGGAAAAACGGAATTTTACTGACAATTAAATATTACATGCGTTATAATTATCGCGCACTATATAAAAAAAAAAAAAGAGAAAGAATTGCGTGGATAAAAATAATAAGATTACCGCGGTGATAAAGAAAATCTTATGACGTAAGACAACGTAATAGAATATGTACGTGGAAGAGCTAATTAAATCTGATCAATATATTATAGCAGAAGTATCTCTAATATAATTTATCTATTCTTAATTGTAAGTTTATTCTTTATTACTGCACTGGACTAAAACTTCCTTTCTCCACCAAATTTAGACTATACAGCTAGGACATATATTTTCGGACAGACTCAAAAGTGCTAGATTAAAATTAAACGATAAATTAAATAATTTTTATTAAGCAATCCGGCGATGCCCCCTTATATAATAAGAAACTATAAGGTTCCGTCGAATACTATTGTTGACTGCGCATTCTTATACGGAAACCCGTAAAAAATTTTACGTGTTATACACGTCGACCCCTGTTGACATGTCCATCAACGGGATAATGAACGCATATGACGTGCAATTTAATACCCCTGGAATTTTTCAGAGGGTGCATATCATTCATCAGTGCGCTATAGATGCAAATATATATGCTTTGAGTAGATGCAATGATCGAAGTTGCAGGTCGCCATTTCGAACATTTGTAGCAATAAAATAAACAAAATATAATTAAAAATATATGATTTTTTTTAATTCTAATCTAACCTTGCAGAAATCAGTGTTCAACAAGACTAAAAACTGACGTCCAATGGCTTAATAAGGCGTCGCTGCAGGACACGGGTTATTTAAAAAAAAATTGTTAAATTTAACGAGATCTATTATCCCTGCAAATTTGTCGCAATTGTCTGGAAACGCTCTGTACACCTATTTTATTTTAAGTAGAAAGAATATACGGATCCGTTCTTTGTGTGACTGAACCACAGTGTACACTTGTGCCTAAAATGAAATAGGTATACATTTGAAGCTATTAGGCGAAAGCGAGATAGAAAGTTTCAGTGCAGTCCCACTGAGCCCAGTACAGTGACAAAGAACCCAGGCCCCATTTATGAGAGAAAACTGTCGGACGGAGAGGAAAAGCGGGCAGGAAAAGCGCAGCGACTCACCAGCCAGAATCGCGCCGAACGTGATCAAAATCTCCTTCATGCTTTGCCCCATCACTTCAAGGTTGACGTAGCGAAGACTATTTCGATGATACAAAATTGCGCACAATTGGATTACCGCGTGCGAAGAACGCGCGACGATCAAACGGCGTGAGTCGTGAAACGGCACTTCCTAAAGACTAATCGACACCGCGAGTTGCCGTAGAGGTCGAATCGTCGTAACGATTCAAAATATCGCTTCTCGTCGCGGGAAACAATTCACTTGGCTTCGGCAAGAATCGGTAATATTCGTAATTTCATGCAACTTTATACGCAATCCGACAATTAAATCCGACGACAACATTCGTGTTCAAGCGTGCGCATAGATTACCGAGCCACGTGTTTTTCATTGCGCGTCACGCAAAGCTATAAGTACTTTGTCCAATTTTCCTGGATGATTCCGAGAACAAACATCTTACGTATGAAACATAAAACGATACCGTCAGAATTGTATTTCCGACCGGATAAACTACAAATTTTCATGCCATGCAGTTGGAGAGATTTTATATTGTCGATATTAAAGTTTCTGGATTACGATTATCTTGTGATTGGAAAAGAAATTTTCCAGATAGAATACTTCACACACGAAAGATAGTTTTATTTTAAAAAAATACAATATAAATCATACATTTTTAGAATTAAATTCACATAGAATCAAATATTTTCGCATCTTTTTATTTTACCATTATCACAGTTAAAAATAACAGATCATTGCTAGTAGGTTAAATATATTGAAAAAAAGTACACGTAGAGAGACGGGATTTATGTCTTTTTAATAAATCATATTGATCATATAAAATAGCAACTTATTTTATTTTAACTGGAAAAAACGGATCGTTATGGTGCTATTAAAATTTACGAATTTCCTGATGTCAGTATAACTTAAGTACGGTAAACTACGCGTTATTATTTGGTTCAAGTGCGAAAATCGCATGGCATTCATCGTGTTTACACAGATCAATATCATCAGAGTGCTCGAATATTATTATAGAGATTTAATAAAAAGATCATCGATATATATAATATCATAACATGAAATAGGCTATTCGCTATATGGCTAATATCTTTAAAAATCTGATACTTCCAAATTAGGAGCGCACCATTTTTTCTCTCTTTCTTTTTGGTTCGTCTCCGATTTGTAGCTCATGAAATTAACCATAGTTGACAAGACTCATGCAACTTCACCATTTTTGCGGCACTCTTCGCACTGCTTCGTGACCTAATTCGAAACACAAGCAAAACACTTGACAATTATGGCGACTGTCGTTCAACCATTAAGGTACCTTTTTCATACTGACGCTCGACGCTCATTTTTAGCGTCAAAACAGATTCACATGATCAAAATTGACGAATACCAAGCATTAATTTCGATCATGTGATTTGTTTTGACGCTAAAAATGAGCGTCGAACGTCAGCATGAAGTTGTACCTTTAATTCCTAATAATCTCACACGTGTTGTTTTTACACTTACGTTGCAAAGTCTCGCTACCTCCTCGTTTTTACTTTTTAAGATTGCTCTTAATTGATCGCGATACACGTGGATTTTTAAATGACATCGCGAAGTAATCACTGGAAGAGCACAAAGCCATTTTGGTGCACATTTTTTCGCTATCCACATGAGCCTTTATCATATTTATTATACTCCATCCGTAAATGTCTACCATCTTGTTGCACTGCATAGAGATTTAAAAGTTTTTTAGTTGAAGTTATTGGTTTTTCATTTAAAAAAAAATCGCAAAGTAATAAGATATTACCATCTCTTGTTTACTTGCTGGTAGGTACTTGCACACTTTCTTAACTACTTCCTCGATCTCAGCTTCCACCTTTGAATCACCTAGCAACTTATCGATCTGCGATATAATTGCTCGACATAAGGCACATTCAGTTATAGATTCTGTAAAAATGAAACAATTAAATCATACACGTATTCCAGATGGTATTATTAGCAAAAATTATAATACGTGATTATTACTTCTATTACCTTGAATCTGTACCATGCTCACGTTGCAAAGACCTAGCAAGGTACAGGCCTCCTTAGGACTGACATCTTGCGAGAGAATGCTTATCACGACGTCAGCATACTCATCCACAAAGTCATTGCATTCCTTGGCAACAGTCTTTGGTAAATGATTGCACACACCGTGCACCGCCTTTTCGATCTTGTCCCGCGTTTTTTGATTACCAATCGCTTTATCGATATATTGCATCGCGAATTCGCAGATTATACACACACCGTCGTCTACAATATTCGTGGGCTGAATCATGTGTAACGGATACTCAGGTATCTCATTGGTTACTGAAATGTTATAAAAAAAGTTTTTCCAGATTTATGTAGATATCTGTATCGTAAAATAATTATGACAAATTGCTCTGTTCTTTTTATACATATGTGTATTTTAAGAAATAACTCACGTATCTCTCCATCTTTTCCAACAATATTGTTTCGTTTTGGACCAACATCTTTGGTTGCGTCGCATAATTTAAGATAGGTGCACACTTCCTGGGGAGACAAATCTGCAAGTAACATTTCTACGAGTTCTTTGCTATACGTGTCCACAAAATCTATGCATTGGTCGGTTAAACTGCGTGGCAAATGACTACATAATTTATCCAATTCAGCTACAATGCTAGCCTGTAACATTAATAATTAATGCGTTAAATAAATTGTACAGTCAAACATAATCATTGTAAGCATGATAAACGGCGGACTAGTACCTCAGTTTTATTGTCTTTGATAACATTATAAATCTGCGTTACTGCAAGCAAACAGAATGGGCAACCAGGCTTATCTTTTTCTTGTGTAACAATCAACTGTTTAGGAACTTTTTGCCACATGTCTAATAATTCTGCTGATGGGCAAATATGTAGCATAGGACAAACCTTAAAAAACAAAATAAATTATACTTTAAAATACAAAATAAATAACTTTATTAATCTCCTCTATATTTTAAATTAAAAAAAACATTACCTGTGACGGATCAATTTGCTGGACAAGTATGGCCACAACTGCATCCCCATAAGTATTTACAAATTCTTCACATTTACCTTCAATGGGAGAGGGTACCTTTTTACATAATTTTTCAAGAGTTTCTTTCACCTTCTCCTTAAATTTTGATATATTTATATCAGTTCTACCTAATATATATGTATACATAATCTAGATTCATAAAATTCAATATTCTCGTTACCTCAGTTACAGGATTCGAAAGAGTGTCTTGGATATAATGCAACAAATATTCGCATAATGCACACGCTTGAGTTCCTTTAACGCTTTCGGCTTGCAGTAAAGAAAAAGGCATCATTCTTTCGATTGGCAATTGCATCTCTTCAGCTTCCGATTTTGGATGTTCTTTGCCAATAGCGACTTCAACCTCTTCTTTTCGAGGTTGCTCCTCCTTCATTATTCTTACTCCTATTTTTGCTACCTCTACTGGAACCAGAGGCCAAATCGGTCCCTATTGTAACATAAAACGTAAAATGTAATCAGATCTTTTAATCTAAAAAGCATATTTCGTTATATATAAAATGCAAGCGTGTCCTTACTTGTATCATTTTGCCAGGGCCAGGACAAATTCCGGAAATTTGACAGACAAGATTACTGTCCAACCCTTTTGTAAGATACTCATAAATCTGCGCGTAATACTCGTCAACTATGCTTTTACACTAGAAATACTCTCTATTAGTACCAGATATATAAAACGATATATGTGTATTTATTTAAATTAAAATACAAACCTCGTCGGCGAAAGATCTAGTTTGTTTACAGAGGCCCAGGAGAACTTCTTTAAATTCCAACTCCGTCGTGTTCGCAACGAGAAGATCTTTCAAATGACCCACAAGTTGCTCACACAACTTACACGGAAGATCATCTCCGACTTCTACCATGCCTACACTTGACAGTGGTGTTATCTCTACTTGTGGAACCTACCATTGCAATAGAATATTAATACATAATTTTGTATAAACAATCATAAATATATTATAATATATTAATATATTTACTGTATCATTTTCGTGTTTGTGATATTTGTCACTGCACTGCCCCGACAAGTGGCATATGTTATCCGCATTGAAATTATTTTGTAGATGGTCATAAATGGTATCAAAATGATTCATAACAATAGCCGAGCAGGAATCCGAGAAGGAACCAAGTTGTCCGCAAATGTTCAAAAATTGCAGAAGCATCGTGTTCGGTTGTGTACGATGCAATTTATTTTCCATGTACTTTGCTATCGTGTAGCATTTGGTGCACTCGTCAGGCTCGAGTTCATCATTCTTTAATAAAATTGATTTCTTTTCGTCCTTCTAAAAATATAACACACGTTCTTTGTCAAGAGTCAGTTTATCAATCGTACCGACACATAACCGACATTCTTTATCCACTGCTATTTACAAAATACACAGATAAAATTCGATATAACATTTATAAATTTTTTATTAAGATAATTAAGCGAAATAATGAGTATATATGTGTAAAAATATTAATGTATGCTATTTTTATGGCAGATTACGCCCCACTAATCTAATCTAAATTATTCAAAAATATTCGAAAGCAGTATATTATATACAATACATGTATGAGTATATGTGTGTATACATACGTGTGTGTGTGTGTGTGTGTGTGTGTGTGTGTGTGTGTGTGTGTGTGTGTACATATATATATGTATATATATGTATGTATTGTATACAAATATATGATATAGGCTATTCAATGACAATTAATTAAATAAATTATATTTTGAAAAAAATAAAGTAGCTTTTAATCAATAAATGAAAATTTAAATAATGCACAAAAAAAGGAATAAAAAATATTACATAACTCTACAACAATCTGAACAATCACCCCTAAAGCACAAGATAAAGCAGAATCTGGATTTGATTGCCAGGCTTATTGCATTGGATAATAAGAATTAAAAACCGAAAAAATATTTTAACACAAATAAAATTTGTGCAAAATTTAATCCCAAGATAGTTGGCAATAAACAAATTACGAGATACATTGTTTGGAAAACGAGAACTTCAAATAATAATACTTTATTATAATACTTTTTCCTCCAGAATGGAGATTAAACAAGTGGTTTTACCTCATCTCAAAAAATTGAATTTTTAATGAAACCAGTTTGAAAACTTTCCATTCAGGCCAATGATATAATAAAACAACAAAACTGACAACACTATTCTTACCTTTAATGGAGCTTGATATTCTTCAAGCAACTTATCAATATGAGCATTGTTACAGAGTCCTGCGACAGAGCAAACGACAGCAGGATTCATTTGAGACGCCAACGTCTCCACAAGTTCAGGGATAAATTGATCCACGAGTTTAATACATTCTTCAACAATTGGATTAATGTGAATTAGCTTGCAGCTTCCCTCAAAGACGTCCTTCAGATCTTGCTGAGTCTGATTACTTTCCAATTGATCCCGCGCCTGCTTCACCATATCTTTACAAATTCCGCATACATCGTCATTATCCTCTGGAACTTCCATCTGTTCCCAGTATCGATGAATACAATGACTGACAGCGCTGCATCCCTTGGCTGTCCTGTTATTAATATCAATTTAATAATTAAATTAACATTAATACAATCAACGTTATTGCAATGTTACATTAATTACATCAATTGTGAACATTTTATTAAAATAAGATATATAAAATTTTAATTTTGATACTTTATCATTATCATTATTATCGGTCTAATAATCTAAATAATCATACTGTACATTATGAATATACAATGTAATAAATGAATTTTAAATATGTTTGATAAATCAATCTCATCTTTTAACTATTTTTTTTCAATATATAGAAAATATAGGTATTAAATTATAAATACAATTACTGAAACTTACTTTAGGTTCTCGCACCAATAACTTGGGCCCCATGTACATTCATCTCTACCTAGCAGACCATCTTTTGGTTCAGCGACTATGACCACAGCTGGAGTAGCTGCAGTTACTAAAAATTAAGAAATTGCATTCGTATAATTTTCAACTACGTCATCTTATAAGCTGAAAATTACAAAAGTCTGAAGTACAAAAAAAATAAAAAAAAATGCTTAATAGTTCTCGGAATAATATTCCCAGCGTCTTGTAATAATGAATAATCTCTAATGCAGGAAGCACTCATTGCCTCGTTCGTGAGCTTCCGGTGTCTGCTACAGTCCGACTAGTCACGGAAATAAGTGAGCGACTTGGCAATATAAAATTTTGCAACAATGTCATTTTCCATGAAAACACTCGATAATTATACTCATCAATCATTGGATAAGCAAATTATCGACAACATTATTTCAAGCAATTATTCTCGCAGTGTAACATTCCATCATTAATTGTGCATTCCAACAAAATTAACAAATTACAAGCTTAAATCAACTGAGTCATCCTATTCATCCTAGTTCCTTCCCAATGAGTAATGGAAACGTGATTACCCGGCGCGACGTGAGAAAGACGGCCGAGTGAGACTGAGTGAGACGGGAAGAGAGCAATAACAAAAGAGCGAAGGAAAGCCCGCGGGGAAGTGACTGAGGGAGGGGAGGAGGGAATCCATAACGGAGCAGAGAAGAAAAAAGCGAGACCGATGGAAGTCACATGTGTGCGCCGGACGCTAGACACATCGTTCACACAAACAAAACGAAAGGTCGCTCGCCGATAAAACTAAATGTGGCTTGCAGATAAAATCGAACGTCATAATGTTTACGAGGCCGAGGTACAGACAAATATAGATTACGTGTGCGTGAGAGCGCGAGCTGCCAAACAAAAAACATTTCAAGAGGGAAGTGCGCATTGCACGGAGCGACACATTGTCGCGAGGATAAAGGGAAACGGAGATGACGCGAGACGCGATCACTTTCGACGACGTTGCGGAAAAAAACCGTTGAAGAGGAAAAAAAACGCGGATGTGGGACACTCACCAGCCAGAATCGCGCCGAGCGCGATCAGGAGCTCCTTCATGCTTCCACGGGCGCCTCGTCACTCCGCCTGCCAGTCCGAAGACGATTACGCGAATTGCAGCGAATTGTGCGCAGTTGGGGTATCGCGTGGAGAGTCGGGCCGCGATCGAATGCAATCGAATGAATCACGAATCACGAATGCCAGGCACCTTCCGACGGATCGACACGGCCGAGCGCTGAACGCGGACAAATCACTCTGCCAACCTGCGCAACGCAACTCCGGCAACTCCGCGAGAACCGCTTTCCGGATCGGAAAACGCAATTCGTGCCTTCGGCAATACTCGGCGACGTCCGTCGTTCCGTGCAGTTCACACGCAATTGTTCGACGCGACTCACGCGACCAATCCGTCGACCTCGTGGCACGTATGTACGTACACGTGCGCGCACACTGTCAAAGCCGTCGCGGCGACCAATCACGCGCTTCCGTTTCTCCCTGTCATGTGTCGCGCAAAAGTGTGTGCTCTTTGTCCAAATTTTCCATGTGGAATCCTGGAAGTCAGATAACATTTTTTTCTAGGGCGGAATCGTGAAAAGTGAAAAAATGGAGTAAGTTTTCACTTTTCACTTTTCACCGTAGTGAAAAAGTTACATAATCGTTATTCCTGGAAGGACGAACTGTTTACGTTTGTCTAAAATAAAACTATAATAATCTATAGAACTCCGTCTAGACTCTAGGTAGACTGAAAATTTTTTTATCCCATATATTTACAGAAATTTTATCTTGTCAAATGCAGTCAATCAAGCATTTAAAATTATATTTATTGTGTATTTATAATATTGGAAATCAATTTAAGATTATTAATAAAAAATCAAATTAAGATTAAAATGTTTGAATGACCTGATGATGCTCTAGGCTATATTTGAAAAGAATTGGAAAATTGAAAGAATTTTAATAACATTTCAGAATTAAGTCTACTTCCAGCGAATCTGTAATTTATATTGAAATTCAGGATAAAATTTTGTGATTTAAGCGAAAAACATTCGTAAAGTCAGAAATACAATGCAACATAAAATATACATCGAAGTAAACTTTTATTCTGAAATCAGATGCAAATTAAAGATTATCTAGAATGGAAAGTCTTTATTTCTACATTTATTATGTACGGTTTGGAAATGTATGTTTCATAGTTTATCCAATTACGCTACAAGAAATATTATTCATAAATTCCATAAAACAAGCATAATAAACTCTACATATAAAGTTTTCAATTTTCATTACAAAATTTAGCGTTAATAAATTTTGAATGCGAAAATTCTGATTTGTCTTTTTCATCAACTTTTAAGCTAAGATTTTAACTTCGAGCAGCTTCGGTTTAGCAACTTTGTTTCTCGCATAACGACCTCCTCGCTTCCGAGACCACGTGACGTTCTGCGTAGAAAAATTCTGATCGCTGCTGATCGTTAAAAATAAAACCAGAGGTATATATAAACGCCTACGAATTGCGAAATCTAGAACGGAATGATATTTATGCGCGAAAGCCGAGCGAGTTGTGACACGGTCGATGACGGAATCGAGTGAAACGATGGTGGAACTTTTGATTTTTTTTTTACTCGTTCCGATTCGCGATCCTGTCGAAAACCCGCGCGAAATCGGGCTAACGATGTTTTTTCGACGAAGCGCACGTAATCGCGCGACTTTTTCCTAACGAGCGATTTTAATCGGCGATAAAACCGACGTATATACGCGATCGATCGGGCGCTCGGGACATACCTGCCGCGTGATCTTTTACGCGATAATTTCTTATCGCGGGATGCGATTATTACGCGCATTTAACATCTTCCGTCTCGATTTTATTTTCGCGAAACCATCAGCGTTCACGATCCCAGGCAATTTATTTTATTGCCGCTTTGTTCTTCGAACGTGCCGAAGGCATCGATGACTTAGCAGATAGGAATATTAATAAGCGGATAACAAGCGTCGAGATAATTCGAGTCGCGATCCATCGTACGCAAGTCAGATGACGTTATCTCGCGATAAAATACGCTTCAAAGGCAGTAGTATCTTTTTTTTCCTCATTAACAACGGATATTGGATAATAGCATATATAATAACATAGATGGGACGAGTGCCCCAGATAATTCAAAGATATCGTCCTGCAGAAAACACGCGCAGCAGGCTCGTACCTACAACCAGTTTCCGTGGTGTAGTGGTTATCACATCCGCCTAACACGCGGAAGGTCCCCGGTTCGATCCCGGGCGGAAACATTTTTTTTCATCGTAAATATTAAAATTTAATTCAAGAATCTGATTTGACAATACACGGCGGACTAGAAGACAAAAGCCTATAGGATTGTACCCTGTAAATATGCTATTTTTAACAAAGAGAATCAGAAAAATTCAAAGTATTTCCTTATAGACTGGGAAGTAAACAACGGTGATATCTTTTAAGATAGTAAATTTAACGACAAAAAATAAAAAAACGAAAAAACAGCTGAGATAATGTTGAGACTTATTTTATTAATTGTAGCACGTCTTTTTAGCAAGTGGCATATAAGAAAATATAAGAAAAAAATTATAAGCAATTAATTTACAGAAGAAATCAAATAATCACAGTCGAGAGTTTTAAAATAGTATAGACATACAATTGCATACAATTTTCAATAATTCTCAACTGTGATCAGCCAATTTGTTTATTCCTTAATGTATTTTACAACTTGTTTTTTTACTTGCCTTTAAGCTAGTTATGAGATATTGAATAATGATGTCGGAATATCAGATTAATTGACAGTGAATTTTATAGGCTATCATATTCTAGCCATGTGTATTTTAATCAAGAAATTACACAATTACTAATACAAATACAATAGCTGTACATACTCCAAAAAAAGATCTTATAAAAGATAAATTTGAAACAGCTTTAATTTTCTTCGACAAAATGTTGAAGATGTTTTTGAAAGTCTTGAAGATAAAATATCTTAGACATTCCAACAAAGATATCCATGAAATGTTTTCTAAATACCCATACCTATTGTACGAAAGATGTTTTTTAATTACACACAACTGCGCCGAATACCAAAGCGTGACGCTTTGAAACTCAAATCTTATCTCGATACAAAGACATTAAGTGTAACTCGATCTACTTATGATTAATATGATCTGAGTAATCATTTAGCCCAACCTTTGGCATCTGTGTGTTATGAAAATACAACGTAAAAATATGTAGATATATCACCGAACCAAAAATACAGATATGATCTTGATTTATATTATATAAATATTCATCTATTATCAATATCATTGTCAGCCATTCAGTTATTGATCAAATTTCATACTTTTCTTTGTATGCAACAATGATATAATGAATCAGTTTGCATTATAATTAAGTTTTGCATGGTGCGAATGTGCGTTTTTAGTTGGAAACTATAAGTCTGTAGCTGTATAAATCTTTGCTCAACGTCTTATTTGTAATCTTAAGTTTCATATAATGTAAGCCAATAGGATCGCTTGTAATAAGAAAATAATACGCGCTCATATCTGTTCTCATTAAATTTATCATTCAGTGATATACGTATATGTATAACCGACCTGCTATAAAGCAAATTTTCTGAGTTCCGGCGTATCAGTTTGCTCAATTATATCTTTTGGAGCAAAAAGATATCAAGCCTCAAGCAAAAATCGATCGAGCCTTAACAACAATACATTTCTGCATTTATCACACAAAATATATATTTTTTATAATCATATATAATTGTTATGTTTATAAAATGGTAAAAATATTCTATCAACATATATATATATATTTTTTAAATTAATGCATTTATTATACGTTGATAATGTAGTTTAGTGATACCGACAATATTTCTTATCTTTTGAATTTCCGTCTCCTCAGATAAACGAAGTAATTTCACTAGTTAATGTCACTAGTGGCTCATAGATGGCAACTTTCATATCATAAATGAAAATATCTCATTTGAAATGGATTATCAAAAAGCTGGTTTTCATCTCTCGTAAGTATACTTATAATAATAATCCTGGATATTTCATATCCAGGATTATGTTAATGAAACATTTTAGAACTAGAATTTTCGATTGGGATCTCAGTTATTGAATTCAATTAGATACAATTTAAAACAGTATACTATTAAATTAATATTTCAAAAACGATAACATTCTATTGTAAAAATCTTAACGTTTGCATTTTTTTAATACTTTTTTACATACACGGGAATTTGAATATTCTAGCATTTTTATAATGCATGCTAATCACATTATAAAGTAAAAACCAGTTAAACGTATACATTTCTTATAAGTAAAAGATTTTTTTTACAATATTTATATAGTTGAAAATAATAGAGATTGAGACCGAAAAAAAGAAAAGAATAAATGTTCCATAAAATACATAGCACGATATTTATATACATACGTTCCATTATGAACTGTACATTACTTATTTTTTTCCAACAAAATGAATGAGTCATTCTCAGACATTCGAAAATCCTTCCCCGAAATGAATCCTCCGAGTATCCCGGGGATTATGAGGGATACTCATTTAGTTGCATGAGCCTTCATCGCGATTTTCTGCCGTCGTGAGTGTTCGTAGACGACATCTGCCAGCGTGGGAACGATAAATCAAGAAACTTAACGCGGCTGCGTTATTAGCATTATTTTACGGAGCAACGGCGACACGTGCTTCGGCATGCACGTGTGTATCTGCAAACTCATCGCGCGCACGCCCGCGGCTCGCGTGCTCCCCCCTCCCGCCCTTCCCGCCAGCACTTCTCGCTCCTGCCGTCGTTCGTTACGTAAATTTATTCGAGCCCTTCGCAATAGGCATTATCGAGACGCGTTGTCCCGATATCGGACCGATAACGATTATGCTTGCTCGCGGGACTCTCGGCATCGCCGGTGTGGGTGAGAACGTCCCGTGCCGCGGCAATAGAAAAGGAAAACGGGGCCACTCTTCGCCGAGAAGTACGTATTTTCCTAACATTATTCCGGAATTCGAGCTCCGATTCTCTTATGAACGGGACGACGCGCGTCCGCGTTCGCACTCTAATGTCGTTAGGTCGTATTAATATCATTTCCGAACTTTCGTTATTTGTCGGCTCGCAACAAACATGTTGTTCACATTGAAAAGTAATTTTAGTCTAATATAATTGAAAAGTCGGGCAGGATCGATTGTGAGTACTGAGCGCAAAGAGGGGAAATATTTAAATCCCTAACTTCAAATTTATTCGAGATTCAGTTTTCCAAGATATCCATACATACTCCTTAATTGAATTGCATTGATGAAAATAATTAGAAGGTCATTTTTTATGAGGCACTTCTTGGAACTACTTGTAACTACTACTTGGAACAGAAATC